ATTTTTAAAATTAAAACAAAACAAGAGATAACATCAAAAATATAGGAGATAATAGAAAAATTAATTTTTAAAATATTAATTTATTTATAAAATAAATCCTAAGTCATTTTAATATTAAAAAAACAAAAAACAGACTTTTTAGTAAAAGAAATTATAAAATAAAAATAAAAAGTTTTTATAAATCTTTTGCATTTCTAAAAAGAAAAATAAAAGAAAAAGATTTAATAAAATAAGAAGAAAAATATAAAAAAATATAAAAAAATTAATTACAATAATTAGCTTAAATTAAAAAGAAATAAAAATTTTATTAAATTTAGTAATAAGTTTGTTTCAGCTTTAATATAATTAAAAACTAAATACAATTATTTCAACAATTATTTAATTAAAATATCAAATTTTAAGATTTTAAATAAAAATTATTTATACAAAAACACACTATAAACACTAAAATATCTAATTATAAATTGCTAATTCTATAAAAAAAAAAAAAGTGTTAAAAAAAAATTTAAAATAAAAATAAAAATAATTTGATTATAATTATCTATTATTTAATAAAGATGATATAATTTTATTAAAAAATTTTTAAATAAAATAAATATTATACAAAAAAGTAATAAAAATTAAAAAGATAGTTTATTTATAAAATAAAAAATTTAAAAATCTAAAATAAGATTATAAGATTTTAAAAATAAATAATAAATTTTAAATATTATATTAAAGTAAATAAATAAAAATAATAAATTTATAATATTATTCTTTTTATAAAAAGAAAAAAGATATAAGAAATAAAAAGAAAATTTTAAAATAAAAATAAAAATAAAAAATAAAATATAACAACAAAAAGTATTTTTTATATTTCATTTTATTTTTCAGTTTACTATCTATTTTATATTTACATGTAAAAATCAAATGAAATGCGAAAATCATGTATTAAGATAGTTTCTTCAAATTGTCATAATCGAAAGGTTGTACGCGTGTATGATAAATAATAATAATAATATGTTTATATTAAAGTTGGGGGTAATATTATAGGTTTAGTTATTAATAAATTTTAATTTAAAAATTTAAGTTTTTTTTTTTATTTTAATAAATTTGAAGTAGGAGTATTCTTAAAGTTATTTTTTTAGTGAACAATATTTAAATTTAGACGAAAAAAGGGTTTTTAAGTATTTTGTATTTAGAATATTTAAAATGAATATTTAAATTGTTTAAAAGTATTTAAAATATAAAATAAATTAACATATTAAATTACTATATAAAAAAATTATATTATTATAAATTAAACTTAAATAATAAAAAATTAAAATATTATAAGCTATAAATTTATTTATAAGATTAAAAGTTTATAAAATAATAAATTTAAGTTTATTTATAAGATTAAAAGTTTATTAAATAATTATTTTAAATTTATCTATAAGATTAAAAGTTTATTAAAAAATTATTTATAAGTTTATTATAAATTTTATAGTTTATTAAAAAAAAAAAAAAAAAATTGTTTATTTTTATGATAAAACTGCTTTGCTTTATTAAATTATAAAATTTTAAAAATTAAGTTTAAATTACTCCATTGATAAATTTAAGTTTATTTAAAATCTTGAAAAACTGTTTTGTTTTATAATTTGGAGTAAAGTGGTTGTGGATTAGCCGCTCTATGGTAACACACTAAAACAATATATTCCTTATTTTAACTAATAAACAAAAATTTTTAATATTAATCCATTATATAATATTTAATATTAAAACCATAATTATTAAACATTATTAGTAATTATTAAATTGATAATTACTAACAATTATTAACAAATATTATATTTATAATTATTTATAAAAAACTTTATTATATATTTAAAAATCTTTAAATAATAATAATTTTTAATTTATTTTAAAACTCCATTAGTTAATTTATTAATTTAATTTATAATTTATTTAAAATAGTATTTAATCTTACAATTAATTATTGTGTTATATTTTTTATTTATATAACTTTATATTTTCATCTTGAATATTATACTACTTTTTAAAAGATCTGAATATATAGAGTTAAGAAATATAGCAGAGTGCTAAGCTGTTTTAGGAAACTTTGCCAAGGAATCCTGGGATAGGTGTAACATTAAAAAATAGTAAAATATTTTATAAAATAATATAAATATTATAAAAATATGTTTAACTTATTTTAATAATATATTTTTGATTTTCTTAAATTTGTATAAATAAAATTTAATAAAATTTTAATATATTAACTTTTAATAAAAAAGTTATATAAATAAAAGAAATATTAAATTAAAACTTAAATTAAAAATAAAAGTTTAAATTAAAAATTTTCTTTATAATCTAGTCTAAAAAAGTTTAAAATTGGTATATATAATTTAATGTTATTAATTGTAAGTTCTTATTTATATAATATATGATATATTTAAATAAATATCTATTAAAAGAGGGTACTAGGAAGCTCTGAGGGTTATAGTAGCTGAGCTAGGTTACATAACTGTGCCTGTGCTATGCTCGGCGAAGCTATACCTTATAGTGATATATAATATAATTATATTAAATAAGGTTTCTAATATATATATGGTGGCTATAAAATTTATAAGGATATGGTGTGTATTCCTTACAATTTCTTATTTATTTATCAATTCTTAAAACCAAAGTCTTCCTCTCTAAGAAGCCTGTAGATTAAGATGTGGTATTTTGGAATCCTAACACTGTACGGTCTAGGAAAACATCCCCTGACATATATATGGATAAAAAATAAAATAAAGAAGATTTATAATTAAAGAATTTATTAATTTATAATTATATAAATTAATAATTGAAAAATAGAATATATATAAATGGTTTTACCGTATTTTTATATCCCAAAATTGTAATAATTGATTAGTAATTGATAATTTTTTGATTGTTGAATTTTATTATTATTGTGATGTGTTGTTTTTGTTGTATTTTTTGGTTACTGATTTCTTTAAGTACTTCCGAACCATGATTGCTAACAGAAGCTATACCTCGCATATATGCTTATGTATTAAACCTATTAAATTAATATTGGCCTTATTTTTGCTAATCCTCCAACTGATCTTGATATCACGTGATTGGAGATTACATCTGGTCACCTTGCGTTGTAGCAATAAATCTGATCAGGTGAACTGGTGTCAAAGGCTGCGCGTTGCTAAAGCAGAACTTCTATTCATCCAAAACCCCAAGATTTCGGCCACGAAGCTGTCTTTGTAGTATTTAAAAGCACGAAGACATAGACCTATAGAACCAAGCAATAGCTACCACACGGGACTATGGCCGACAAACAAGCAACAGTTTATATCGTGGACCTCGGAGCTTCTATGGGCGCCCACAATGCTGGGAGAACGGAAACGGATCTTGAATATGCTTTAAAATATCTATGGGATCGTATCGCGACAACAGTTTCGAATGGTCGAAAGACGGACACGATTGCAGTCGTTGGGTTCCGAACCGATGGTAGCGATAACAGCCTTTTCCAAAACGATGAAAATTACTCCAACATCAGTATCCTGAGTCCCATGAGTCAGTTTCTTATGCCGCAGATACGTGAGCTCAACAAACTTCTGGAACCGAGCGCAACTGATCGAGGGGACGGTGTTTCTGCCTTGGTTGTCGCCCTCGATATGATCGAAAAATATTGCAAAAAGCTGAAATACATTCGCAACATCGTCTTTTTGACTAACGGCACCGGAAATTTCGATTTTGATGGGATCAATGATATCATCGAGCAAATTACAGAACAGAAAATCAACCTCACTATTCTTGGAGTCGATTTCGATGACTTAGAATTCGGGGTTGCGGAAAAGGACAAAAGTCTCGACAAGGCAGAAAACGAAAGGGCGCTTAGGGAGCTATGTGATCAATGCGATGGTATGTACGGCACAATAGCAGAAGCTATAGAAGAGATCCAACGCCCTAGGACCAAGAAAACTAGGCCCGTTCATTCGTTTCGGGGTCAATTGTCGATTGGAAACGAGTCCACCAACCCGAGATCGACACTTCTAATTGACGTGGAACGTTTTCCTCGCACAATGGTTGCAAAGCCTCCTACAGCTTCTAGTTTTGCAGTACCCTCTGAACGGGATTCAGTGGGTGGCAATCTTCATAAAATTCGAAATACAAGGACTTTCCAAGTAGGGGACGAGGATGCACCAGGGAAAGCCATTGACATTGAACAAGAGGACATGGCCAAGGGTTATCTCTACGGACGGACAATCGTGCCTATTAGTGTGGAAGACCAGGAGATTGTAAAATTCGATACCGAGGCGAGTCTCAAAATTGTTGGATTCATACCGAAATCTGGATTCGAAAGACCTATATGTCTTTCAAATAGCAATATTATCGTTGCGTCTAAAGCAAACGATGAAGCGATCATGGCGCTATCTTCATTCATACACGCCCTTTATGAATTGGATTCCCTGGTTATTGGGAGGCTGGTAACCAAGGATGATAAACCCCCCGTTATGATTGCTATGGCGCCGATCATCGAGCCTAGCTTTGAGTGTCTCGTTGAAGTCCAGCTGCCTTTTGCTGAGGACGCGAGACAATACAAATTTGCACCACTCAATACCGTTAGGACGACAGCCGGAAAGGTTCTCGACAAACACAGGCTCATACCGACCCAAGAATTGCAAGAGGCGATGGACGATTACGTTGATTCGATGGATCTAATGAATCTCGAAGGCTTAAATGACCCATTGCTTCCTTTCGCCCAACCAGAAGATATTTTTTCACCGCTTCTACATCGGATACAACAGGTAATCCGTGCTCGGGCCATTGCGCCTAATAGTGATGGGATTCCTGAAGTTAGCCCCATTCTTCTGAACTACTCTACAATCCATCTGGGGCTAGATCCTGAGGAGGATCTTGATAGACTAAAACAGGCCGCCGACGTTTGTTTGGTTCCTGCAAAAGCCAAAGGGAAGAAGATCGGAAGGGACAAGCCACTATCAGGCCTCGACGTGGGTAGGCTTTTAGAGGAACGTACGAAATCCAAACGAATCGATAAGAACAACCCTATCCCAGAATTCAGACAGATGATTGCGTCGGCACAACAAAGAGAGGACATCCAGCTTTTAGTACAACAGATGGGCGATATCATTAAGGACATAATCCGGTATAGCATTGCCGACTTGCACTATAGCCGAGCTATTGAATGCCTGAGAGCTCTGAGGGAAGATTGTATAACTTTGGAGGCATTTGAATTCTATGATTCATTTATACGAGAGCTAAAATCATTTACAGAAGCAGACCGCAAAGATTTCTGGTCTAGGGTGAGGAAGGATAAACTTGGTCTGGTGCTTCCTACGGAAGATATTCGTTCGAAGACAACCATCGAAGAGAGCAATAGATTGTATTATGGGAGGTAGTTAGTCTTTCTGCAAAATTTTGGGAGTGTCGCACAGCCAGGTAGCTTGGATGATAGTTTTGGTGTTTTGTTTATTTTATTTATTTTATTTCCAACTACCCAGGCAGTGGAATGAAAGAAATAATGAGTAATAATAATAAAATAAGAATAATAAGAATAAATGGACCAATGAAAGAAAACGAGCCAAATTCATGCAAAACCTTAGTAACTCCATATTATTTCCCGTATAACCTTTTGAATTAAGCCATCGTAAGATTCCGAGTGAGTGATTATCAAAGACCCACGAAGAATGAAAGAAGTATTTCACATGAAAGCGAATCAGCCTCGAACAAGAATTTTTGGATACCAGGTATCAAAGCTTAAGGAGTAGAACAAGCATATGATCACGTCCCAGAAGCGCTTTCTTTAGTAACAGAGTGTGTACCCACAACCAAAAGGGCAACCATACAGGGAGTTCGTCTGTCAATCCAAGATAGTGTGCGTATAGTGAAGACAAATGGATGATAGACGGAAAATGGGAGAGTGGGCAACTAGGATAGAAAAATGGTTGAAAGGGCTAAAAACCAGCGTGAAAAGGTAAGCTGGTTGCTGGATTCCATTTCCAAGGCCTTATTTTTTTGCTTTTAAAAATCTGCGGGGAGGGTGGTTAAAATTTATTGTGGGTTTCATGGAAGTGATTCGAGAGGTAGTCAGGAGCGAAGATACGGCAGCGAAATCGGGAAGAAAGAACATCCAGGATCCTCTAGTCCTGGCCGCTGCCTTGCGATCGACGCGTTTTCTCTGCCTCAAGGTTCTCGTAGAGGAGGTACAAGGCCTTCTCGTTGCTTTGTGGGCTTCCGACAATGGTGAACATTCTTTCACCAGTGTCGTCGTGCGGAGCCTTTGCGATGCTGATCCTAGCCCCAGAGCTTTTACGAATCTCTGAAATTTTGCTGCCACCGCGCCCGATAATACAGCCAACCATATCTGCCGGGATGCTGATGTTTTGGGTTTGAAGCTCCTCCCCGTTTTCGGTATTTGGGGCAGGTGCCGAGGCCCGGGAAGTGGAATCGGAGTGGCCTCGTCTCGGGAAGGATGGAGAGGGTTCCGAAAAGTCGGTACCATTGCCGGTACGTACTGGTCCACGGTTGGGGCGTTCGTTGGTGAACCTATCTGTTGGCCCGGAGGTCCCAGCACCGCCGTTGGAGATAACCGATGGACTGGAGCCTGTGCCGTGAGAGGTATTTGATCGGACGGCTGGATTGTAAAGTATGGTACCTGTGCCCCGCTGCCAGTCGTCAACGAGACATTTGCCGATTTCCCAGATTGCTTGTCGGATGCCATCGGCTGATCCCTGAACCTCGACGATACGCTCGGTAGATTGTGGTAGCATTTCCTTCTGAGCAACCATCCGAACGCCGGAAACATCCTGTATGTGTTTGATTTTCAATCCTTGGCGACCGATGATTGTACCCATCTGGTTATGGGATATGAGCAATCGGACTGCTAAGTAGTTCGTGAGATGTTAGGCCCTAGCTGAGGAACAAGGTGTTTTTGGGATTGGTATTGACTTACGATGAGTTCCCATTGGAGTAGTTGGGATGGCACCTGGTGGGCTATCAACAAGAGTCTGAGCAACCATCGCATAGGCTTTCGCGACCCCGTCTAGATTGCCTGTGACAGTTAAGACTCGGTCGTGAACACCGGGAACAACCTTCGAGACGCCTGCCTTGACACCAGTTTCGTCTCTAAGGTCAGCGACATTTTTTCCTGCTTTGCCGATAATGACACCAGCTTCCTTGGAGGAAACGATAGCTCGAAGAGTCAAGGGAGATTGGGCATAGTCCTCGTCGGTTCGTACGGGTTCTCCAGCTTCACCTTCCCGGTCTTGGCCGTCGTTGACCGACAGGGTTTGAAGCTTGTTTGAAATGCTTGACACTTCAGCGGTGGTGGTTTTGTCCTCAGTTGACATTTCGATAGCGGTTGAAGTAAGATTAAGGTTTCTGTAAGCGAGACCGTTTGTTAGTGCGATTGATATGTGGTAGGGGAGTTTTTTTCAGTTGGCAGATTGGGTATTGTATTTGTAACCTCATTCAATTTGTCGCGCGTTTACTAGCATTAATTAGGGGAAGATGAAGATGCTTGGCTTGTGGCTTACCTTAGCGGGTGAGTTTCAGTAAGGTGGCCCGATGCTTTTGACGGCTACCGCTTTGTTGGAGGCAGTATTATGATCGGGGGGGCAAAAAGATACAGTGTATGTTTGTAGAGTAGGTTCTAAAGCTGTGAAGAAGGAAGTAATGTTAACTCGGAATAGTTTGGTGATGTTGGAGCTTGGGAGGATATGCAGTCGGACCTTGGAGAAGAATTCTCACGAAGGGTGGGCTCAATACTATGGCACTGCTCCGGCCTGAGCAATTTCAGAGCAAGAGTAGCTGTGGATTAAGTATCTCTTCTCTTCTGCCCACTGCTATGCAGCACAAATATTTCAGATTTAGTGGCGACGAGGGCTCGCAGGCGGGGGGAGCAGGCTTTACATACTTTCTATAAGTGGACCTAAGGGTATGTGGTCGAGAGTGAGGTCTCACGGGCTTCGGTATGAAGGACGCACCCGGAGAGAACGATGAAGATGGGGATGTGGGGACGGGGTAGAATGTGTGAGTGTTGGAGGAGATCGGAGGGGAGAGGGTGTTTGAGAGGCGGAAGAGAGAAGTCGGCGATGATGGTGGTGGTGGTGGAGAGGTAGAGGATGGTGGATGGCGGATGGTGGATGATGATGTGGAGGTGGATGAATGAGTTTTTTCGATGATTGGAAGAAAGAAAACGTATTTTTTTTTGTGCTTTTGGACAGATTAGGCCAGAATTGCCTGTTTCGGTAGCTGTCGATCTGTCTCTAGCCGTATTTGGAAGCATACATTGTACCACACAAACACCACACGCAACACATCTTGATCCGATATGATATCCTTCGGTGTTCTTGCAATTTTAGATTTTGATTACGTATTTGGCTACTGGGTGTTTAGGGAGCAGGTAGGCAGGTAGGCACCTAAGTACTTAGGTAGACAGGAACCATTTAAATAAAATACATTTGCTAGCGAGGTGCTGACTTCCCCACATGCAATCGGCCAAACTACCTGGAAAAGCGGCCCTCTCCATTGGCAGTTCTTGAAATCATCTTCACAAACGCCTCCATTGTATACCTGGCGTCATTCCCTAAATTGACAGAATATTTAGCCCCTATAACCATGTACATACCTTATGTTGTATATAATATTCGAATATTACATAGGTATTTTTGGAAGCTGAGCCTGGAGTTGGAGACCCTTACCGGCATTGTGGAGATTCCATGCTGAGATATCCAGCTCGCTACATAGCCTGCTTAAACCGATCCCGTCAAATGTATCAGCAAATGCTTTCCATATCTCGACGGTATCAAATATCATCGAGAAATCCTTCAGTTCGTCATCATATCCGAGTTTCCGTAGGTATTCAATATCAGCATTGATATCGTGGCCGATAAGGATTCGCTGATATTTTTCTGGTGCGCACATAAAAGCCACAATAGTTTCTTTGATCTCTGCGAGAGGAACCAGTCTAGAGTTCCCGAATTCGAAGTTGCCAGATGCATCCGCAACATAATTGCCGTTCTTGTAACGGCGATGTTCTTTGATAATGATGTGATCGCTGATTTTTTCGCCAATTCTTTCACCTTGGTCAACTTTTGTACTAGGGGTATATTTTGTTAGCCCAACCTCTGTTACAATATCGTGGTTCCTCTCCCAGCTTTCGATGTCTATCGAGAAGAAGGCGCAATCCCCTTCTCCGTTGAAGATCTCAACAGCTGATCTCAGCATGTTGCGCCTATTTTCGATTTGCGTCTGTCTTTTTTTGTCTGATTTTGCGGTCCTATTTTGTCTAGGACCTTTGATGGGGGGATTGGTACTGGTACTGGTGTGTTCACGGGTTGGGAAAGAAGGGGGCGATGAAGATGCTGCAAAAAGTCCCTCATAATCGTCCCAGCTTGACGATCTACCAACGAGCCGGATAGCATGGTTTGTTGGGGGGCCAAGGTCTAAAGCTAGCTCTCTATCGCTTCTAAGAAGAGCTACAGCTGTTTCTGCCTCGGTTTGTCTGAAGAAGGTTTTTACTTGTTCCAAAGGAACCACTATCCCGCCTATGTCGTTTCCGTTGGAAGAATATTCCACAATGTAGCTAAGCAGGAGAAATGGCACTGTAAGTTCAGAGTTGAGAGGGTGAGCGGGTGGGTGTCTGCCACGATGAAATGGGCTTCAGCTTACAGATCCCATATGCGATCGAAAAAAGGCTCCTTATCGAAGAACCTCTTCAAGACCACCTGGTTGATTTTGGATGTTTTTGTATAGGGCCACCGTCTAACGGTCTTTAGGAGGCAATACTGCGGAGTAATGGGTGTGCTCATGATGACAATGTTGTAGAGGGAGTCTTGAAGGTTATCTGATTTCGGGCATGGATATAATAGTGGTGGGTGGGAAGGTAGTTAGTTGGGTTGTAGAGCTGTGAGAGGTTGGAATTACACCCGTGCTTAAGTAGTACCTACTACTTGTGCCTGATGATAAGATCATGAGCAAACAAAAACTGCCTGCAATCCTTCCAGGCTCACGAACAATTCTAACCTTTTCATATTCAAAGAAGGTAAGGACCGACAGAACTTCTGGAACTAGAACCAAGGGAGTTCTGGTTAGAGGTATTCACATTCGGTCCTATTTAGCTCTTAAAGTGCCTATTTAATAAGTATTTAGATAGGTGGGTACCGGTCCCAGCAAGTTGTTGGCAATAAACGCGCTTGCTGCTGGGCAGAGCGCGTCAAACCAACACAAAATCAAGATGCGTCGCCATCTCCAAAGGACCATTACCAACTAGCTCAAGTGTATACTACCTCCTCCTTAACAACAATCCTTCGGCGGAAAGCTCCTGAAAGTGACTGGCGTCGTTGTCGTCATCACAATCACCATCACCATCACCATCACCATCACCATCAGAGCCAATGGACACCAGGTTCTCGCCAACATTAACATCATCTGGGAGCAATCCCGATGCCCATTCCATAGTTTCGGAATATATCGATTGTGAGAATTTCCGAACAGTGCTATTTGGAGGCCGAGCGTATCTGTACATCTCTTACACAAATGTATCGCCTAGACACAGAATATCTCCACTGCGATATCGCACGATCCCTTAGTCTCATTCACAAGCTCGACTACGATTATGGGGTCTGCGCCGCTGCAGTCCATGAGGTCGCTACCGAATACTGCGCCCTTGCAGAAGGGGGTGACCAACCTCTACTAAACACAGAAACTGCTCTAACAGGACGACTGGGGGATATTCGAAAGGGGATTGCTAATCCTTTAAACTCTGGGCTTACCGACCGAGAAGAAAGCGTCGCGGAGGCAGTCAGGCTTTATGAAACCGTGTGACCCCTGTCTCCTTTTCCTTCATATTACTAGTAAATATTATCTTCACTGACCTCGGCCGGTACCCTAGGTCGACAGACACTTCAATCGACTATCCGATATCATACGCCGCCTTCAAAAAATAAACGTCGTGCCGAGGCAAAGTTTGGTGCCAGAGCTTAGCAGGGACAGGGGACCTTCCAACCAAAGCGATGCGCAAATGCGTATCACGCTGAGGCTCGATGGTCAGCGTCGAGCATCATTGCCATCATTATCCCGCCACCAAACCCCCCGTATGTCGAGTGTCTCGGTGAGGAATTCTACAGCGTCTAGAAAGAAGTCTGCAACTCGTCTGGTTGACGAGAAGGCCATAACTCGCAAATCTAGTAGCTCTAAAGCAGCTTTGACTTACAGCAACAGCTCCCAACAGATGGTACTTGAGTCTAGCAGCGAATCTGATTGGGATGATCCACCAAACCCGCGAGCAGTGATCTCCGAAGCAGATCGGAAGTCTTCTCTTACACACTGTTCCAGTGAAGATGGCCGCCGGCTCCCCTGGTTTGAGCTCCAGCCCTTGGAGCTCGCAGTCCTGAGGAAGCGAATGAAGAAGAATTCATCTTGGCAGCCATCTGACGCTATGATGCTTAAGCAGCTCGAAATGCTGGGGCGTGGAGTGAGGGGTTTCCGAAAATGGGCTCGAAGAACTGGCCAAAACAGAGCAGACATTGAAAAAGTACTAGAAGGGGGGGAGGGTTTGACTAGTGGCATTGCGATCGGAGCGCTTAAAAGAAGTCAAGATAACAAAGGGATGAGATTGAATGTGATGAAACGTGCAAAACGAGAGAGGGAAAAGGCGGAGGCTGCCGCTGCAGCCGCAGCTCAAGATCTCGACAGCTTGCAACATCCATTTGAGTTGACCGGGGCGTGTGAAGCCGAGGGAGTCTCTCGGCAGAGGTCGAGTATAAGACGGGTTTCTGCCCAAAATGGCAACGACCCACGGACTGAACCAATTGGCCCAGGTTCCGTACCTCCCCACAAAATAAAAACCGACACCAACCCTAAACGACATGCGACTCTGACCGATTCCAACCAACCGGGAGCGAAGCCCGACCGAGGCCAGCCCCATAGCGTCCGGAAACTCCGAAAGTCGGAGGAAAACGATATCTCGAACCAGAACGGGGAATATGGTATGTGTCCTGTATTCTGAGAGCTACTCTAAATGCTGACATGAAATAGGTGACGATGGTGATGATATGCCGATTGACCCCAATGAGCCGACATATTGCCTTTGTAACAGAATCAGCTTTGGTACTATGGTGGGGTGCGATAATGATGACGTATGCGTTCTTTAAAATGGCTACTTTACAGAATAAAAACATCGCTAACTCGCTAGCAGTGCCCTAAGGAGTGGTTTCATATGGAGTGCGTCCAGCTAGCAGCAGAGCCTCCTAAAACGGTGAAATGGTATTGTCCCCTTTGCCGTGATAATCCGAATTCGAAAAGGGAGTCAAGCCAAAAAATCGGAAGGAAGAAGCGTAAAATAGGAAGGTAAACTTGTGAACATTAATTATCTTTTCATTTAAGGTTGTAAAGGGAGGGTCTGCTCTTCATATAACGTTGACTGGCCTCGTTGCACCGATATTTGAAGAACGGAAAAAAAGGCCCGTGGTCAGGGTTCATGGTTTTACTGTAAATCAATCATTTGTACAACTATTAAAAGTGCCCGTTAGCCAACGCTGCTGCGACTCAAAGACTAGTCTTCGCACCTTTCACCTCTGTGCTGGACAAAAACCTAAGGCTACATTCCTCGTAACCCCCTTAACTGATATTTTTAACTCGTTTCTTAACAACCCTAATTTTATCGTTGACCCTACGTTGTTGTTTAATTAGTTATGCATGATATTGTATAAGAGAGAGGACGGGTGGTACCTTTCTACATCGACACCAAGTGAATCAAGGAGTTGATTTTGCTCATCGAGCTCCCGCCCGATTTCCACTCCGACTTGTTTTTGACGGCCAACTGCCTTAAGCAAGGCCTCAAGGTCTCCGTCCTGGGACTTCATGATATCTTGTTGTAATTGTAAAACACCAGAATTGTCCAACTGCCTAGTTCTATCGGTCTCGGAAACGGGGGCTCCTAGAACCCTTCCCGCGGATCTTCCGCGTATATTTCCTACTGCTGCTGCCAGCGCCTCTTTTGTAACTGTCACTTCCGATGAGTTTTTGATACTACCCTGAAGTTTGTTCGCTGAGAGACTATTTGCAAGGGCTTCAAGGGAATTGCGCTCCTTTATGCCTGACGCTAACAGATCCTTGCGTCGTCTAATTTCGCCATCTCCTAGTATTTTAGTTCCCGTCACCCTATCTTGCAACGTCAGTCCTCTTTCCAAATTGTCCAACAAGCTAGATACTTTAACGAGGATCTTTTTGGCAGCCGCTGATGCATCGTGTTGATCTGCAACTGATGTGGCCTGGTCCCTTCTCGAAATCTCTGATCTCGCATCTTGTAGGAGCGCTTTCATTTCTCGATGTGCATCTAACCATAGTACGGGGTCAGTCAGCGTGTGGTTGGAGATCGAGCTCAGGTGAGACGTTATGCTGGTTGTTGATGATTCGTAGTTGGATGTGGATGAAGGTAAGTTCAAGAACTGTCTCCAAGGGGGCGATTCCCTCCATCTTGAATCCCTATTGTTCTGTATTGCATGTATATATTCCTCGAGGCCCCGGCGTCTCTCCTCGGCGAACTCGTTGTTTGATACCGTGGATTTCAGGTAGGATTTTGGGGGGAGGGGTATCGGGGGTGGTATGCCCTCTGAAGAAATTAGGGCCTTGTGAAGCTCATCGAAATCCGAGTATCTTTTCTTGAGTGAAAAAGAACGTAGGGGTAGTCTAATGCTGACGTTGTAAATCGTATGCGGTTTTGGGAGAGCTTCAGTCCCATAGGAAGCAATCGAAAGCTCTGGCTTATACATAATTGCTACAGTGCGGATTGATAAACAGATTGGCGGGTGTGTGTTCAAGTGCGGTCCCGCAGTGAATGGCGATGGCTTACTCAAGTATGTGAGCACATGGACAGAAAGGTTGACGAAGTGGGTCCCTAATAATGAACCTCTCACCTCGGCTTTGGACCAGCCTTGGCCAAGTGCTACTATCCACGTAAATAGCAATGGCATGGACAGGGATATCTCGCCTAACAACATGCATCCCCAAACCGACATCCCATTCCGGATACATTAATCGAATCTGCTCGACCTCCTATCCATACCTCGAACCACTCGAAATCAGAAGTTCTCCTCTATTCTTGCCCCTCTGTACTTTTTCAAGAACAGGGGAGTAGGTACACCACTTGATTTTATTCTATACGCCGGCAGCGGAAATCTGAGAATACTTCATATCGGTTGGAAGCAAACCCCGATGACGATATGGCGATACCACTTTCACTAATGTATGTCCCACCGGCCCTGTCTCAATCGCCCACAAAGCTGCCTCTTACCTAACCTTCGCTACTCTTTATCCCATCAACAATAGCCCAGTAAATCTCAAAGAATCGGCTCTTGATTCTCCGACCTTTCGGGCAAATATCATACATTTTTGTGAACAAGTTGATATTGTGGAGAAGTGGCTTGAGGGATACATTCGTAGCATATTGAAAGTTGTCCAGGAACTAGGAGGTAAGCGCACTGAGGGAAGTTTTCGGTTCAGCTGGAAGCCTTGGTTTTCTATATATGGGCTATCCAAAAATCTAACGGCATACTTTCGGCGTAGGTCTAGAAGAAGCTCTCGCAGCAACGTTTTCCCAATCGATACCATCTTCAATTTCCGAATCAATCCTTGACCATGACTACTCGCTTCTTGCAATTGAACTCTTGGCCGAAGCAGGGAGGGATTTTTGGAGTATCGCAATTGCTTACTCAAAACGAATGCAACCCCAGATGATAGAGCCTTTATCTGAATTTTTAAGAAATGACATCCGGCAGTTCAAGGAGTGCAAACGCGTTTTCGAAGCATCCCAACAGCGGTATGATGTGCTTCTCCAAAGATATGCGGGACAATCTAAAGGCAAGGAGGCCTCTGCGCTTCGAGAAGATGCCTTTCAGCTACACGAAAGCCGCAAAACATATATCCGTGCATCATTTGACTTTTGCGTCAAAGCCCCAGAATTACGCGCAGGACTTGATAGAATTATTACACGCGTAACTACAGACCTATGGAGAGAGCAGGTCCGATATAGAAAAGGATTTACATTAGGTGTGGATCGGTATGAATCAACCATGGATAGGATCAGATGCTGGAGTGACTCCATGGAATCTTCAGCCAAAATATTCAAACAAGAGCTTGCACTAGCTCGTAAAGACATGGAAGAACAAGCAAGGCACATAACAAAGCCTTCTAGGGAACTCGACGACTACTCGAGTAGCACCGTGCCATTTTTGACAACAAGGGGGAAAGAGTCTGCCGCCCCCACATCTAGAGGCAGCGAAGCTATCGAGAAACAGGGTTGGCTTTTTATTAGATCCGCGACGGGCAAACAAGGCACCCGGAGCATTTGGGTTCGGCGCTGGTGCTTCGTTAAAGACGGGATATTCGGGTCTCTCGTACTCCAGGGGCAAGGTACAAAAGGCAGCGGGGTTGAAGAAACTGAAAAGGTTGGTCTACACGCCCGGTCGGTGTATTGGGCACCCAGTTATTGACATTATTGTTGGTTCATAGATTGGACTTCTTTTGTGTAATGTCAAACCGGCTTTCCAAGAAGATCGTAGGTTTTGTTTCGAGATCAAAACCAAAGAGTATACCTCCTCTGCAAGTAATAACCTCATCAGCAACATATTTTACTAATTTGCAGCCATTCTCAAATTTAGTAACAGCATCCTGCTGCAAGCAGAAACACAACAGGAGCTGAGCACCTGGCTAAATGTTTTTGAAGCTGCCAAACAGGCTGCGGTCCTCACCTCATCGGGAGCCGCAGCAGCTGTATCAGCTTTTTCTATATCCCCCCCTCGTGCAGAATTTGCTTCGGCACAAATGTTACGGCAAGATGAAACAGAAAAGCCTATCAGTCTCGGTATTTCGAATTCCGAGCAAGTGTCCCGTGTCAGTGCCGATATGGGGAAACGAACTCCTGTTGCTATTGATGACATGACTTCGGGCTCCCAGACCTCGAGATTAGGGCAAATACTTGAAATACCATCCCGAAAGAACACAGGCTTAAACCCTAGCCAGATAGGTAATGACCGGAAGTCAATGCCTGGCGGTGGTATACAAGCACTTATATCAGCAAGTCACGGAGTTTTGCCTCTCAACACTGTATTACAGCCCACCTCAAATTATACGATTACATCGGCCCCTGGCTTAGTATCCAAAGGGTCCAACATCCCCGACGGACGCACGTCGTTATCTCTAGCGCCTAAAACCCTTGTAAACCTGCCAATGTCAACTAACCTTTCTAAGCAAGCCCTCGCGGCTTCTACAACCTCTGATCACACTGTAACTGTGCCTGGCGGGCTTATGGCAAACTCCTGGGGTACATCAGTAAGACTCTTTTGCCCTCCTTTTGCTAGTCAATTTGATAACCAATGGATTTTAAACCTAACGGGTGCAGAATTGGGGTCTCTCTGGCAGATACGATGAAGCGATCAATAGGCAGCCAGATCAAAGCAGAGAAAAGGTCAACCTAGCTCCTTCTATACTATCGACATCTGACACGAGTGGGACTGCCCATAGCCATCGTAAAGCCGTCTCACTAGATCTAGACTCACAAGCTTCGTCAATACCACAAGCCCAACATCCTTCCAAGCATAACTACTATCCAACAAACTATCCAGATGAGCTTCGGCAGCACGATGCACAGTTCAGAATACTATTTTCCGAGGTTCCACGGGATGAAATCGTTTTATTGGTGTTCCGCGCCACGTGGAAGCCAAACGATGCCCAGGAATTCCCTGGAAGGGCATTTGTCACATCTACGGCAATGTACTTCTACTCACATTATCTAGGTCTTGTTCTCGTCAACCAGATTAGACTTCAATTTATAACAGAGGTTCAAGTCACCCCAGGAAATACTAGCGACCTAATCCGCCTCCATCTCAGAGAAGTAGAAGAACTGGGACCTCTTTCAGGTGAAGATATCTCTGTGACTACATTCCTGGAGCCTATCTGGGTCCTCCAAAGGCGGCTTCGATACCTTGTAAATCTTACGGCTATCGAAAAACAGACATCTTTGTATGAAATTGTGGATAATCTTACCCATATGGACAATGACCCTCAACAAAGTCCAACCAGTGATAGCTGGGAGGAGATTAGCTTAGGCGAGGGCTTGGAAGATGTATCCTCAAAATCGAATCCGACATCACATGGAAATCGATCGATGCGGTAAGCCCATCTTACCCTCTATACCCAGCGTTTTGAGTAATTCTAACAGCGATTCCTAGTCAAATCGTAGAGCAGGTGACTGGGATTCAAGCTGGAAGCGGCCAAACACAAGTCTTAACAACTTCGCCATATACATTCGTTCCGCCCGCAAATACTGTCAATGTCTTTAGCCAAACATTCCCTATTTCGGCGAAATCCTTATTCTGCTTGTTGTTTGGCGACAGATCAAAAGTTTTCAACCTTCTGTATTCAAAACGACGGTCCTCCGGTAAAGTCACCAATTCGTGGAACTGCTTGGGCCAGCACACCGACTAATTTTAACACTTTGGCCTTAGAAATATTGCTTAGTCCTTGGGTGGTATCCGGGGATAACAGGGGCAAAAGAACGCTCTACTATACGAATAAACACGGTTGGTTCCTCTTACATCTTGAAACATTGATCAGTACTACGCTTGCTAATTTAAAAAAAAGGATCTAGTTTGACCGACTTCCAAACCATACATGCTTTGGAAGAAAACAGATATTACACCGTTTTTGATGAAAAATACCCTTGGATGATCCCATCCGCAAAGGCCCTTACATTAGTAACAACTATTGTCATAACCCAGGTATCGAAATCAAGCTCGAACATCTCGTTGTGGATAAACATTAAGTGGCTAAAAGAGCCGCTCATGTGGAGAGGTATGTAAAATTGAAAACATCCTAGCTGATCGACACCTTTGGTCTGATTCGGTTATAGATGCCGTTGGCAACCTAGCGTGGCAAATTCTGCAGGAAGATGCACAAGATCTGGCTTCTATCATTTCTAATGAAGTCCACATTCTTGGGGCTGGGGCGAAATTATTTAAAATCATTAGCCAGTACGGACAAGCCACTATTAATGGGGATTCAATGAATTTTGCGGCTCCTGAATCCGTCTTATATATCCCACCCTCATCGGCAATGCTGGAAACAACCTACAAAGAGTTTTTTGTTCGTTATTTAACAGCACGGGTATACAATTTTACCGGCACCATTCTCCACGGGCTTTCAATCGCATTTACTGGAGTCTTCAGATCCTTGAAACTCAACCTGATTCTGTTGGGTGTGTTGGGAATTTCTGTCCTTTTGAACCTCGTTGTATCAGTCAGTACCGCGAAGGAATTCTGGCACAGCAGAGCAGCCCTCTCATACGTTGAGAACATTGGAGTTGTTCCTTCCAGTACCATGAAACGGTCCATCACACTCCAGGAATTAGAACTAGCCACACAATTCAATGCACCACGCTTTCATGCGAAAAACGGACAGTGGTAAGATAAGGCTACTATTTTCCCGGTCTATAATAACGCAGCTACCGGAGCTAACACACTCTACAACCCAGTTTCCAAAAATTCCTCAATGCTCATGCATTTGCAGATGATATCGAAACAGGCTCCCAGAATCATGTTGCATTCTCGAGTAAGCTCGAATTGGCAAGGAGAAAGCTCGGTATGTATAGACATGATATACTCGTAACATTATCCTTGATAAATAGCCTTGAGAAATCGGTTCTTATGAGCGAATGGGAACTCTGGGTATGGAGAGAGCGATCGAGATGCCGCCAGGCAAGAACAGCTCTTCGGAACTCAACCATCTCTGGGGATCGGACCCAGAACGATAAGTCGGTATCTATCGAGGCTTATTGCCGCAGCTGCGACGCTCGGGTTGCTGTTGACCGAGCGAATGAAAACAACAGTGGCTAATAAAAGATAATTTATCACTCTATAACCCAATGGTTTTATCAACTCAAAACTGTTTCATAATTCGAAAAGCGGCGTCGAACATTTGAGGCATATGCATTGGAGCGTTGTAATGTTGTGCTTTGGCCGACGTCTGGAGTTTCGTTGTACAAAACAGATCACAGTTGTAAGATGAAGGGGGTTTGTTGTAATATAAGTACTAGGTAGTACCCAAGCACCCAAGTACCTAAGCTAGTGCAATGCAGCCAAACAAGGGAGGTGTTGAGATTCCTGTAGCCTTGATCACGAACCAATTAAGAAAACCTAAAGAGAATAGTCGACAAAGCGTATATAGGTAAGAGGTAGTAGGTAAGTGCTTAAGTAGGTACTTGAGTAAGTACTTAAGTATATACCTGATACGATTACGACCGTAGGAAGATCGATATCGGGCACTTGGAGAGAGAACCCCAGGCTGCCACAACGGACTGGAAAAGGCTCAACCAGACCGGTATGCCAAGCAACACCGGACAAAGTAATCAAGAAGTGAGTGTTAGATATGCGACAGATGCGAGAAGAAAGTTTGCACGTTTGGCAGGACAAGGTTATATATGCACATTACACGAAGTGGTTGCAACGATCGTCAAAAGAGGTAATAGGTACTTACTTAAGTAGGTACTGTATGTATGACGGAAATCCCTACGTATACTGGAAATTTACAAGGGGACTGCAGTAGGCGCCTCAAGTGTTGTTACAGCTATAATTACTTACTTGAGTACTTTTCAAGTACTTACTTACTTACTTAGTACCTACTTACTTATATACGAAGAAATCATGTATGTACGTACGTACGTATGTATGTATGTATGTATGTATGTATGTATGTATGTCATACATACTTCTTCGTATATAAGTAAAGTACTTACTTATATACTGTATAGGGTGTGCCGGAAGCGTTTAAAAGTCGCTTGCGTTGGCACATGCCCCCCCCCCCGGAATGGAAGCGCGTGAGGATACATTCCCGGATTCAATTTTAGTTAAATTTAGAAGGAGTGTTATCTTGGGCAAACCTGGGGAAATTGGCATTTGACATTTTGATAACGAACCACTTGGGGAAGCGCCTACGCCAGGATTGGAAACTTAAAACTGGCACCGATGGGATGTGACGACGTTATATGATATGATATGATATGATACAAGTGTATATATGTTTTTGACATGTCTTGGCGTTTTCGCCAGGCCGGACATTGAACAATAACAGGGAGGTAATTGACTTACGTCTTATCTGTACCCGTTCATCCATCCCATCCCACCCTATCCCATCCCATCCCATCCCATCCCGTCGAGACCGATGGTGTTTTAGGTTGACAGTTTCCTAAAAAAGAATATTCTATTCTACTACATCCTATTCTATTCTATTCTATTCTATTCTATTCTATTATATTACCTATATAATATAATATAATATTTTATTTTTATTATATTTTGTTTTATCTTCATTTCTCTTTCTCTTTCTTTCTTCCTTTCTTTCTCTTATTTTCCTCTTCCTATTTAAAATTTTATTATATATATAAGTACCTACTTAAGTACTTATGTAGGTACCTAGGTAGTTATTTTCATTCAAATTCAACCTCCATCAGCAAGGACCAGTGCAGGTAGGTTATACATCATGCAGGCGGTCTAATCAGGAAACTTGTGTGTGCCCCAATCAGGAACATTACCAGGATAGCGCCCACGCGAGGCCTGGTTGCTGGCTTGTTCGGGCATCATGAAACAAAGTCGTCGGCTAGCTAGTTTGGCGAAAGCTATTTTTACCAATCCTCACCAGACCTCAAACCTCATCGAACCCCCCCAATCCATCCTTGGGAGAAAGGATGTTTGCATGCGCGCACATTCACAGCACTACCATGTATGTTCTTCTCTTCGGCACAGTTGGAGGGTTATATACTTAATTATAATTACTGTGTATGTAGGTACTTATGTATGTATGTATGTATGTATGTATGTAAGTAAGTAGGTACTACTTGTGATTGTCCCTTGCAGCTCAAACGAATTCGAAAGGCTCGAATATGTAAACGGGGACAAGCTCGACAGATTTCCGGAGGCACACGATGAGACCAAGGAAGATGGGGTGGTCAGAAAGAAGCAAAGTGTACGAAAAAAAAAAAAAAAAAAAAAAAAAAAATTACAATTGGTCTCCTTACTCTCGCCATCCTGGGTTAGGCTGGGTTATACTATGTATGCTTTTCCTATTGGACCATCTCCAGGAAGGGTAAGTCGGTCTGAATATGTTTTATTAGATTCTCTATTCTTTTTTTTTTCCTTTCCTGGGGGGCACACACACATGTATGTATGTACGCCTGTTACAGGGGCCGTTTCGTTGGCGCTGGTCCGGTCTGGTCTGGTCTGCGAGATCTCGACGATATATAAGTAGGGCCCTGTACATGCACATGTACCGGTGGTATATATATAGAAAGCCACTCGCCTGAATAGACCGCTATCGATCAGTAAGTACTTACTTAAGTAGATAGGTTTATATCTCTTATTTACTACTCTACTCTTATTTACTACTTCCTACCATATATTATATTATCTTGATGTTCAACGATTCCCTTTCAAACTAGGTGCTTCTGATTGCTTTAATTCTATATATCCTTTTTTCTCTCTTTCCTTCCTTCCTTCCTTTCTTCCTTCTTTCGTTCTTTCATTCTTCAGTTCAGCTTTAAATCACCTCACATTCGAACATTCGGGTCCGCTATTACATTCGTTATCGCGTACGATCTGCTTTCGCTCGGCATCGACTATATACTACTACTTAATCCTTTCTCTTAACACCTCCCTCAACGTAAACAGACGATTATATATATTTTGACGACCATTGGAATTTCTAAAATCAAATACATCCACTCGAGCTATCTATCCACACTTACATATCAATCCTATCACCCAAATATTATATTATATATCATTATAATATATATATACACTTATATATAATAAGCAACTGGGAAAGCCATGTACTCCCCATTTGAGATGGACGACTCCGCATACTCGTAAGTATTCCGTCCTAGTCACCTAACTATTCTAATTTAAAATTATTATTATCATCATCATCATCATCATCATCATCATCATCATCATCATGATATTATTATTATTATTTTTATTATTTTTATTATTTTTTTTTACTAATCAATCAAACTCTTACACTCTCCAGCGACTGCACTTCTTCCTCCAACAGTGTATACGACAGGACTTCTTCCAATAGCCCATTCGACGCTAACGCCACCCTACGAGGTCTCCCAAACAAATCATATTTCGAGTCGGGCCAACAAATAAACGAAGAAGCTCACTGGCAAACCCAGGCCCCACGGAACTCCCACGAAAGGTTGAGTAAGTCTTCCATTCTCAGCCTTCAGGGAAGTGGGCCCTCGTATGGTGGCCCTAGCCAGCTCTGGTCGGCTGGTTGCTATCAAACTCGGACTGATGCAAACCCATCTATCCCAAGCCAACCAACGGTCCAGTCTTACGATGGTAGGCTCTCCCAACTACGCTAAAACATATCGTTAAGGTATTAACAGTTTCTAGTTGCCTTTTGGCCGGTGTCGCAAGATGGGATAATTGTTCGCGGTGTGGACCCAGAACCATTGATCACCGACTTCCCTGCGAGTGAGGATCTTGATACGCAAAGTGTATATCTTCACCCAAAATTCTCCTATCCACAACCGGTATCCGATTGTGATGGTAGTAGCCTTACCGCTTCCCTGTCGAGAAGGCTCTCGGACGCATCGACCTCCATCTCAGCGGACCTTATCCCCTACGATAACATTTTGTCCTCGCAAGAAAACAATAATGCTTCAACTCTCTCCTTCAATGACCAATTCGGTGGCCGTGGGGCCTCAGCTCATTCCTGTGCCTCAACTACCAACCCATCCCCTCTCCCATCCCCTCGAAATATGTCCGATCTTGTTCGGGTGCCGAGTAGGGGAAAGGCATCACCATCTCCAAGACAAAATTCTCGACTCACGCCGTATTCCATGGAAGGCCGGAACAAAAGATGGTCTACGGGCATGAACCTCCCGGGTAGCAGTCCGTTTGGTGGATACGGAAACCTTGTAACCTCGATAGCCTCGACACTTGAGCTAGCAAATGGACCTAACATGTCAGAAGCGGGAATCTTGCATACCCTGAATGAGTGCTCACCAGGTCATTGTGAATCCGATGCATTTCTTTACCCACAATACAATCACGCCGTGTTCCATGCCAACCGTGTACCGCCAACCTTCTTACCGGCTCGGCCGCTTCTAGAGTCACAGGTTGACCACCCTTTCCCTACCGGACAACAGGCATACCTACGCATGCTCCAGTCAAACAATGATCCACACTATCACTATGGCGACATGTGCAGCCCCCCAGATCTCTACGCCGCTTTATCTGAGGAACAGTTGGACCCGCCAGAGGAAGACATGAATCCCGAAGACCCCGACATGAAGCCGCATGAACAGGAGCTTCGATTCGAGGGTGATTTGTATACCCCAAAGTGGGTTCGTAATCATGGGAATAAAAGGGAAGGGTGGTGCGGCATTTGCAAGCCTGGAAGGTGGCTCGTCTTGAAGAATTCTGCCTTCTGGTATGACAAGTCTTTTACCCATGGCATCAGTGCCGCTACCGGCCAGGCGTTCATGGAGCCACAGGATGTCCGTCGCGTGGATGGTAATCCAGATGTATGGGAAGGCCTTTGCCATTCTTGTCACGAATGGATAAGTCTCGTAAGCAATAAGAAGAAGGGAACGACCTGGTTTAGACACGCTTACAAATGCCATGTCCACCAAGCTCCTAAGATCAAGGGTACTCCAAAGCGCCGAATAAGAGACTCCCGCCCCGGAACTGCTAGATCTTCGGATAGCACCTAATAATAATAACTGAACCCGGATGGGTATGCGACATTTAATCATCATCTTTGACCACCGAGTTCCTCAAAATCAGCATTACATCGGCGTTTCACATTTGTCAAATTTTACGGTTTACTTTTTTTCCCTTTACTTTTTTACTTTTTACTTTTTACTTCTTCTTTTTTTTTTTTCTTTACTTTTTTCCCACACACTCTCTCTCTATATATAAATACGTCCGGGTTATAGACTCTAATCACATTGCGTTTTTGAACGACCGCAGCAAGTGAACTTTCCAGGTTGGCGGTTTCGTCGTCGTTATATTTTGTCGTTGTTGTCGCTGTTGTCGAATGCAGTTTTGTTTTTTATCCAAGTCTTGATGTTTCTATTACCATTTATCGGCGCATGCAGGAGAAGCCTCAAAAAAAGCACAGCATTATAAAGGATTCTAATTTTTATTTTATTTTACGGGTTTCATTTGTGTTTTACTTTTTATTCTCCGTTCGGGATTGTTTTTGGGATTTCGGGATGTTCCTTTGTACTTACTACTTACATGTATATATATATGGTCGCCTGCCTAAGTTAGAACTTGAATACTTCCTCAACTTACCGCACAGTTATCCAGTTAACATAACATCCCTTGCTTACAAGGTAAATACTAAGTAGATATGTAGATGCATGTACCCGATTAAGCACTGTAACTACTACCTAGTTCCTGAATGGTGTTTGTGCTGTTGCTCGCCATAATTAGAATGGTCTATAGGTACCTACTAAGCTTGAGTATTTACTTAGTAGGTACCTAACTGCTGAGAGGTTTTGATCGGTGGAAGCTTCTCGAACTTCGTCTGTCCAAACCCACACAACCGCGCCCTTGTATGGAGAACACCTTATTTTTTTCCAACCTAGTTTTCCTCCTGCTAGAAAGCACAGACTCTAACCCTCAGCATCCATACGGCCGGCTAAGAGTACAATATCCTCCACCGATCGTGAACCCTTCCTTCCTTCCTTCCTTCCTTCCTTCCTTCCTTCCTTCCTTCCTTCCTTCCTTGCTTTCTTTCTTTCTTTTTGTTCGCTAGCTATCTAAAACGGTTATCAACTTACACGATCGATATTCTCCATCCCGCATCCTGCGAAAGGATTCAACGGTTTCCTACAAACGGAGCAACCTATTCTACCAACGAGATTGCAACAAAAGCGTGACGGACAAAGATAGCAGCCAAACACTGGAAGTAACTACGACTAGCCGGTTTCAGATCGAGCCGCCAATTTTATATCTCCGTGGTATATCGCTTGTCTCTATTTCCACACTATCTCGCCACTTTAATTCGACTCTATTAAGGCCCGCTTCATATCGACAGCCGCGTGAAGGATTGTATCGAGCTCGTTCTCGAATTACTTCCACCCTTTCCGCGAAAAATCATGGAAAAATCGCCTGTTGACCATCCTACACCGATGGATGTTGATAATGGGGTTTCTTCTAGTGATAGTCAAACCGGATCCGTAGGAACCCTCGATCCTGAGGTTTGTAAGGATCTTGGAAACGATTTTTTCAAAAAGAAAAACTATATTTCCGCGATAGCGGAATACACAAAAGCAATCACTGCGGACCCGTTAAATGCAACATACTTCAACAATCGGGCAGCTGCTTTTATGTCCAATGGTGACTATCGAATGGCGTTGGAAGACTGCAAGGAGGCAGATCGTTTACAGCCGGGTGTCGACAAAACTGTACTCCGGATGTCGAGAATCCTGACCTCGATGGGTCGGCCGAAGGAAGCACTCGAACTCTTGGATACGTACTCGTTGTCTCGGAATGGGCAGGCACCCAAAGGAATATCAACTTCGGATAGGAGCCTTCCTCAGCAGATGCTGTCGCATATCCAGAGCGCTGAATCATCACTATTAAGCGGAAGCCGCTCGATGACATTGTATGCTCTAGACCGTGCTGAACGGATGCTAGGGAACGGTGCCGAAGTTCCAAAAAAGTGGCGCCTAATGCGTGCGGAAGGAAACCTTAAAATCGGGAATGCAAACAGTCTCGGGGAGGCGCAAAATGTTGTGATGTCCCTGTTAAGGCAAAATTCAAAAGACCCAGATGCATTGGTCATGCGTGGTAGAATTCTATATGCACAAGGCGAGAACGCCAAAGCGGCGCAGCACTTCCAGGAAGCGTTGCGGTGTGATCCCGACTTTAAGGATGCAAGGGTATATTTGAAGCGGGCGAAAGAGCTCGATAAAAAGAAAGAGATGGGTAATGAATCATTCAAAAAAGGCGACTTTGAAAACGCAAGGATATTGTATTCCGAAGCTCTGAGTGTCGACCCTGAGAACAAAGGCACGAATGCAAAGATCTACCAAAATCGAGCGATGACTCTTGCGAAAGTATATATATTCTCTCCCCCCCCCTCTCTCTCTCTCTCTTTCTCACTACTCAGGAATCCATTGCCTAAGATACTAATATTTAAATCCTTCATAGCTTAAATGTTACGATGATGCTATATCGGATTGTGATGCCGCACTGAAACTCGACCCTACTTACATCAAAGCAAAGAGGACGCGAGCCAAGGTTCTCGGCCAAGCTGGTAAATGGGAGGAGGCTGTCCGGGAGCTTAAGGCACTTTACGACTCGAACCCACAAGATGGTACACTTCCGAAGGAGATCCGACAAGCGGAGCTCGAGTTAAAGAAGTCGCTGCGAAAGGACTACTATAAAATCCTAGGTATCGAGAAAGACGCAAACGAGCAGCAGATTAAGAAAGCCTACCGGCAGATGGCAATCAAATGGCACCCGGACAAGAACCCGGACAACCCGAATGCTGATGCTAAATTCAAAGACATCGGTGAGGCATATGAGACGCTATCAGACATGCACAAACGTGATCGTTACGACCGAGGCCTTGATATTGAGCAGGATCCTAACGAGATGTTTGGCGGTGGAATGGGCGGGGGGATCGATCCTAGCGTGTTATTCGCTGCTATGGGTAAGCTATTTGAACCATCCCTTTATAACCGAGAAGACCTGAATCCCATCAATCTAACTGCAACTCTGACTTAAAGGAGGGGGTGGCGGAGGTTTCCACTTTGGAGGAGGTGGGGCAAGCCCCTTTGGCGGGTTTGGGGGTGGCGGACATTCCCATGGAGGTCGCTTTTCTAATGGCGGCTTTGATTTTTGAGGGGTTGGTTCGCATTACCATCGGCTTACTATTGGATCTTTAATACAATTAATTCCATGAGTGTGATAGTGCTATTAGGTTAATTGGTGAATGGCAACAGGCTACTGTAGAGGTACATCTGTCTGCCACGCGGCTGGAACGTGCGCTGCAGGCCAGGATATAACTTGTAAGAACAGCACATTCTCAGGGAAATGGACTTTGGGACATTCTCTTTTCCAGAGTCATAAAGAATGGGGTGGGGTGGGGAGTGGAGTCAAATGATTTTATTCTACGGTTTATAGCGTTGAGGGAATTCTCTTGAGCACGGAATAGAATCTTCATCCGGGATGGAATTAAAAAGTTTCATCGTCGTGGCCGCCTTGTTCTTCCTCGGGTATTTCGAAACCATCCTGATAAGGCAGCGATTAGATTATGTCATTATTTCATATTCTAGACAGTTTTCAAAGGTACTTACCTCTGTTGAGTATAGGATCTCATGGACCCTCTTTATGACACCACCCTTGTCTTCGGCTGGGTCTTCCTGGGATTCTTGCAACAAAAGTTCTATGTCACGCAATTTGCTAAAGTAAAAATCACGCTCACGCTCGAGTCCGGCAACGCTTTCCTTCAACGTTGATATCTCAGCTTGAAGAGCGCTTGTAGATGCACCGCCTAAGGGTGTTCTGGTCCTCTGCCCGGTGACCTGAGGGGTTGTACCCCGCGCTTTCGGTGCCGCTGTGGAACGTGGGGCGGAAACTGGGGCAGTAGCCACGCCCTGGCCCTTCCGTCGTGCCACAGCGTCATATTCTCCACCAGGGAAGTTGGCATCCCAGTACCTCTTCATCCATTGTAGAAACTCTAGGTTATCCTGCATTTTGCATTTGACTAGACTCTGGACAGGAACCGGGCGGTCGATTCCTTGGGAGGAGAAGGCATCTGCATATTATGACGACCGGCCTATTAGTTATACTAGAAGCTTGATTGATGCGGCGTGTATACTAGAACTCGAAACATACTCGTTAGAATTTTAAAATTCTGGAGATACGCATATTCTGTATTGACATTGAACTTGACCCTTGCCATGGGGATATTTCCTAAGGGTCGTTCATTCATTCATTAGTTTTCTTTTGTTTTATTGATTTTGCTGTTGCTTTGGGCGGGTTGGTAGACGAACCGGAGATGGAGTCCATGATCTGGCAGAAGGCAGCACTGTTGTGGACATGTCAACGTCTGGAGTCTTAAAAATAACATCAAAGGAATATCATACCCAGTTCCACATTGTTCAACCTTTGTTAAGTTGAGTTGCAGCAAGGCGTTTAGCCAGTTTATAAGTTCTTGTCTAGGGAGGGAAGGGGTGTTAGCCTTGACCTTACACTCGGGTGTAGCGTGTGGATAAAAAGGTACCTTGACTCTCCCATTGCGAACGAGAATAAGGGATCGTAAACCGAGGTATTTAAAAGTTGATATGTAGAAGGCCCACGATGAGAGCGCGTCTATGTTCTTGTGGCGTCGTGAGGAAGGACGAGGAGAAGGAGGATTAGGTCGAGATCGGGTCTTGAGTGGGGCGCCTTTGTTGACAGGGCTCGCGGTGGCAGCTACGGATTCGAAAACTTGGGGGCTCGCTACCTCCACCTGCACTGAGGGAGGTAATCGGAGGGTCTCGTTGGGTATGGCGTCGGTAGAGGTCGCGGTAGCTAAATAAGGAAATAAATTAAGAGGTGCTTGAGTAGATAAACAGTAGTATGCACCTATGGATGAAGATGAGGGATGATGGGAGGAAGGGAGAGCTTGGTTAGCTTAGGGAGGTGGGAGTTTTTTTTGTTTTGTGGTGGAGCTTTGGGGGAGGTCGGATACTTGGCGGTTGGCACGTTTGATTGCAACCACTCAACTTCTGTAACATGTCACTGCTTAATGTGCTTAACATTGTACAATCTCGCGATATTTTTTTCACAGGGCATACATAAGTATCCATGGGGAAATTGATTGGCAATAGCTAGCTTAATGGCTGACTTTTCTAGGGTGATGAGAAGCGGAAAGGAGAAGTGTTCCTCGGGGTCTATTACCCGTGTCGTTTCAAAATCAAGTACAAGGAAAAGGAAGAAAGGGGAAAATATACAGACAAGAAAAAAAGAAGGATGGCATCTTGAGCAGTAACAGTTTAAGACACATAAGCATAATCGAGGCTGGTAATAAACAAACAAAGGTACAGCTGGAATTTTATTCAGTCCTCCTGTTTGGTCGCTGCCTTTGATTTGCGTCATTCTTTTTTTTTTTGGCCAAAGAGACCTGAAAGCTAAACTTCATAAAAGCGAAGGAGAAAAGAAGAGCGGACGGGGAAAGGGAAAGGGAAAGGGGGAGAGAACGGGGAAGGGAGGCGGGGAAGCAAAAGAAAAAAAGAGGGAAGAAAGGATGGAAAGACAAAAGGATGAAGATATTAACAAACGCGATATTATAGAAAGAAAACAACGGAATCTCGACAAAGCTCTTTGGAAGCACGCAGGAAAACGGTAACGAGGAAGAGAAAAAACAGGACTAAGGTAATCATGTTAGATAAAAAAGATCACGCAGAGGCTTCGACAGACGACATCTGAGTTGGCAGCTCAGGATATGAAACAGGAGATTCACTATCGGGTTCGTCCCTCAGCTCTACATCTTCGGAACTATCTTTTATTTTTTGCAATGCAGCCTGGATTTCTTCGCGTAATTTTTTGATGACGCTGAAAGCCTCGACTCGCGAAAGGATATCCTCCGGCCCCGAGTGTTTCTTATTCTGAGGTGTCGCCGATGGTGTATGGTCTTCCAGGCTTGGATCAATCATAGAAACATCAATGCTAGATCTGGCACTGTTGCGACCGCTGGTCCCTTCGGATCCTTCCAGTGTAATTTGCTCTTCAGAATCGATTTCCATTGCATCTTGCGGCGGGGGAGCCTTCTGAAGAACTCCGACACTATACCGGCGTCTCTGATCGGCATCGAAAGACGCAGCTAGCGTGGAGGCCGTGACGCTAGGGAGCGTGTCCCCGGTTGTCGTGTGGGCAGGAAGATTCGGATAGCTTACACCAGTGGATATACTTGACATATGGGTGGAAGCTGGGGAGTGAGAAGTATAAGAAGTTGGAGGAGTGAGAACGGGTGTGGGGCTGTTTTGGTGAACAGAAGGCGTCGGGTGTCCTGAGGAAGTGTGTGGGCTTGGTGGGGGTAAAGATGGTGTTCTGTTATAGGGAGAGACGCCGGTGGTGGTGTAATGGACACCGGGTTGAGAAATCCCTGACGCTGCCGCTGCCGCCGGGCTTTCATAGAGACTACTGGATAGCTGGGTGAGGAAGTTGTCCGCCTCGAGCAGGTCAGCCTTCTTGTGCATAGTATGTACCATAGGCCCAGGTGTGGGTAGCTGATAATGGAAATGTGGCCCGTGAGTTGCGGAGACGGTGGCAAGCGGAGCGGGGTGATAGTCCAGGTGGTGGTGGGCCGAGGCAGCTGCAGACTCAATAGCCACGCTACTCGCCAAACTGTGAAGACTAGCAAGGCGGTGGGCAACCTCGGGGGTATAGCCAGGACCATACTTTTGGCGTTTCACGTCGTCTACGAACTGTGACATCTCAGCGTCGAAGGCAGCCCTCTTACGGGGCAAACCTTGGAGGGGGTCATGGGTGTGGCCACCGCCGCCGTAGAATCCAGCGCTAGCTGGTGCCGCATAAGCCGTTGGTTGGGGATAGTAGCCGTTTAGGCCGTACGCTGGTGCGACGGACGTCTGAACGTACTGCTGGGGAACAGCGGCGTAGTGTGGAGCTTGCTGAAGGCCCCGGCCACCGGGGGGACGACGGGTGGGATCTGGTTCTGGGCTCCGGATCAAAACAGAGTCGTCGGCATGGGTTTTGATATGCTTTTTGAGGTCCTGTGGTCTCTTGAACGATTTGCTGCAGATTTCACACTTGTGGGGTTTGAGAGGGACGTGGACCCTGATATGGGAAGTAATATGATCTCTTTTGACGGTAGTGGTCCGACAGGTACCCCAGTGGCACTGCAAGCAAAGATTGTTGGTTGATTTTCTCCCCACATGGACATCACACAGATGAGTCTGCAAAATAGAAGAAAAAGGGGGCATTAGAATTCTTCAAAGTACCGTTCGTGTTCTCGAGAATAGTGGGTAGGTCTTACATAGAGCTCATCGGGGTTCTCGAAAATTTCTCGACAGGAACCCCACTGGCAGATGAGATTACCATGCTGATTATCGTTAGATGAAGTGCCAGCTATGGCAGACTGGGCGACTACAGGAGCCGAAGAAGAGGTAGCTGGAGTCTGAGTAGCAGTCGAAGTCTGAGCGGCAGACGATGAGACCTGGTTCTGAGCACCAGCGGGGGTGACAGACACAGCAGTAGCAGCTACAACAGAGGCAGCAGTTGCAATAACTGGGGAGCTGGCCTCGGTTTGCACAGCCTGGGAAGAGGTGGAACGTGGTTCCGTGTTATCCATTTTGAAGGAAGGAGCCGGAACTGAAGAATTCTGGGGAGGGCATAGTTGATGTTAGTGGGCCAAAGATCTTCTTATTCCTCTTGAATTTGTGTCAAGTTATTAAAAAAAAAAAAAGGTTCCTTTGAGATAGGAAATGAAACCGGGTTGAAAGTAAATAAACGAATCAATCAAATGAAAAACAAAACCAAAAAATGGGTTGGTTTGACTTGAATAAACAGATCTCAAGGATAAATAGTGATGTTATATAGGTATATACGATGAGGATGAGAAAGTTGGAGGAGGAGGGAGGAGAGGGAGGAGAGAGCGAGAAGAGAGCGAGAGAGAGAGCCAAGCCAAGACTCTTGGTTTCCAAGACCCTCAGCAGAAAATACCACAAGAAAGATATCTCATACAAGAAGATGATATCAAGATGGAAACAAAAGACCGAAGACAGTGCAAAGAGTCTAATGGTGGTGAAAACCAAAAAAAAAGCTGGGGAATGAGCCTGGGAAGTCAAGGCACGATCGGGGGATTGGGCGGGTATTTCTCGCGATGAATTGGGAGAGAGACACAGACAAAGCAAAGGGGGCCGGGCGGAGATTCGACACACAGAAAAAACACTTGATATAAAAGAGAATGTAAAATGTCCCACTCACCGAGCTTTGGGTCGATACGGTACTAGACGATACAAGGATGCAATACAATACAAGATGAAGATGAAAATGAAGACGATGAAGAAAGAGAAAGAGAAAGAGAAGGAGAAGGAGAAGGAGAAGGAGAGAAAGGGAAAACCAACAAGGGCAAAAGTGGAATTTCCCCGGTTTAAGTACTGGAACTGTGGCAGGCTGCACACTTGCCCGCAAACCCCCCCCCCCCCCTTCTTCCAGCTTTCTGGCTCCCGAACTAGCGATTCTACCAGCCAAAACCCCCCAAAATGTTGTCTGATGGCGGGCGTCGACGTTGGCATCGTCGGAGTAGGTTCATTATATACCATCACCACTTTTTTGAGGCTCCAAGATGCCATCGAGGACCTTGAGAACCTCGAGCTTGGCGGCAACAACACATTTTGCTGCCAGTCGCCAAGTATTCATAGCGCTTGGCGCCAATATTTGCCGAGCCAGTTTTGACTCTTGGCGCTGACTGGTTCATATTAATCAAGATCGATTACGACATGGAACAAACTACCGTGTTGGCTAAGTACTTAAGCAGCGACATCATGAAACTACCTAGGTACCTACTTACCTACTTAGGTAGTTAGGCCGGTAAGTCGGTAAGTAGCAAGTATATACAAGTAGGCAAGTACCTAGATGATTTTTGATGGAACTGGGAACATGTTCTCCAGTCCCCGGATCCCGCTTGAGAAATCCAATACCAGCACCTGCGAGTCCTGACTCGTGCTCACAATCCGTCTATCATCTGCTCGAGCTGCCAGTATCCAGCTCCCGTGCCATCGTGGGAAATTCAACAGCGACTTTCCTTCTTTAAGATCCCACACTCGAACGCTCTTAATACACATTCCTCCTGTTAGATAGTTCGTTTAAAGAAGAAGCACCCGCTGCAACATACCTGATCATAGCTGCCGCTGATTATTCTCTCGTTCTGGCTATCGAGGTATAAACTACGCACCAACGATTTGTGCGCATCCCGGATCTCATACCGAAGATGACCACTGTCAACATCCCACACCCGGATAGATTGGTCATTGCCCCCAGAGACAACTGTCTGACGATCCTCTGACAACTGGATACACGCCAGACCTCGTGTATGCCCGCTGAGTGTTCTCATGCAATTTCCGTTCTCAATATCCCATATTTTGATATTAGCATCCCCCGACGCGCTCGCCACAACATTGCCCCGCAGTTGAACAGCATTGACCGGTCCTTCATGCCCTCGCAGTCGGTTCAACAAAAGCCCTGTGGATCGCTCCCAAACACAGATTGATGTATCTTTGGAACATGAAACAATATGCGACTCGTCGAAACAAACGTCGAGGACGCCCATTCTATGGCCCTGTAGTGTTAGAAATGGTTCGAAGTCCGGGAGCGAGTAGATAATGCATGTGTGATCGCTCGACCCAGTCACGAGAATCCGGTCGTCAAACTGCAAACATAAAACCGACCCTTTATGATACCCGATGGTGCTTGAGCCGGGTCTAGGATCATGAGATGCCCCTATAACCCTAAGGCATTGGCCAGTGGCGATATCCCACACCCGGACGGTGCGGTCCCGCGAGCCAGTGATTATCTTTTCCCTAAATTGAAAAAAAAAACCCCCCAAAAAAAGGGGGAGGGGGGAATTCGTCAATTGGAAGTATTCTTGACCGGGCCGAGGGCCATCAACCAAAAGGTACTTACTGGTCGAATTGAACGCAATATACAGAGTCTGAATGGCCCCTGAGGTAGGTCGGGTTGACTTGACCTTTCAGCCATCGTCTGTTAAGGCTCCTCTTGACTTCAAACATCGACTTCCAATCTCTACCATATAGTCTGCTGGGTTTCAATTTACCGTACTCTGCTTCAAAGGTATTTCTCCATACATGAGAAGAGAGTGCTGCTGAATACCAATAACGCGATACTAGTTCGCAAGACAGAAGTGATTTGTGATCGAGGTACGATAAGATCTGTGCGATAATTTCCGTTGGAAACACCGTCATGATATCTGAGAAATTAATATCATCCCTCCTCCATTATAATGCGATAGATAAGCTCTATTATTATTATTTTCTTACCGGTGCCGGTGCCAACAACGCCATTGTGTCTACTTCCTCCACCGCCGTATAGCATCGTACCAAATCCGCTCGGTATCAGGTGGCCGAGAGCCTTTCGATGATTGCCAGCCGATGACCCATGAGCCCTTTCTTTGCCTTGAGCATGACTTCCCTGCCCCGGTATACTCGAGAAACCACCATGGGGCCCAGTTACGGATTTTGTCTGGCCTTCATTGCCACCAATGCGAAATTTCAATAACCACGTTCGGATGCTTGATGTTGTTCTGGATCCGTCACGGCGGTTCTGCACTATCCATAGTCTCCGCGATTGTTCTTGAACGTTGTTACTAACTCTAAGGTACGGACCAGTCCCGTCTACTGATACGGCATTGGGGATATTTTCGGTAAAGTTCAAAGGTGTATCGTTACGTTTTGGAGGCGGGTCTCTCAGGATGCGGGTGAGAGTAAACCTCGCGCAAGTAGATATTCGAGTGCGCAAGCGAGGTGTGCTACTGGCGTCGCCCATCTTGCTCAGCAGGGTAGACAAAGTTGCTCCTTGAATGAGAATAAAATGCGCTCTATCCAGGGAAATGTATATAGATCATAATATAGAGGTTGAAGCAGACCGGGCACTTTACTTAAGAAGATCAACCGTCTATACCTTACAGGTTGGGCCTGGTAAAACTATAGAGACTTCATAAATAATATGTGATTAGAAGGCGTGAGTATGTGTGTATGCGTGCGTGCGTGCGTGCGTGCGTGGATTTGTAGGTGTAGTTATGCGTGTCTATATATATTATAGGGGCAAAAGTTGCCGCTTCGTAGAGACATCGAAGTCGAGCTCAAAATTAGAACTAGGACCGGTCAGCGGACAGGTGACATTATGGCGGGGGCAGAGCATCATGTTTTAATAACTCTGGATTTGGATTTGGCGTCCTCGAGACCTACCAGTCACCAGGTTATAGTCACTCGGCTTCCGAAGTCGTCCTGAAGAATCAAATATCGAACTCTAAAAATCCAAAGCGAAAGTTTCGAAGGGTAAAGGGGAATAAAATCATTTTAGTAACAAGAAGTATATTTTTAAGTTCCACAGCGAAGACAGGGCTGGAGACTTTGGGGGTGCTAGGCGGAACCCAACGTGCCAACTTAGCGGGGATCCAGACCGGAGAGACCCTGCATTCCTTTGGTTGAGACACCGTGGGTGGCTAATGTGCAGGCAGGCCATGCTCGGCCTCTTGGCCACGGTCTAGCATGATAAGATATGGATTCGATCTGATGTGTACTTAATTAGTACATACATGTAATGTAGTATACTCTCTAGTAGAAGAAGTATCTTTCCACATCTCAGATATCACTGACATATTATATTATTACCTTCTGCCCAGACCACCACCCGCCATGAATAATCAGTTAAGCAAGCACTTAAGTACTTGAGTATTTAAATTCCCTAGGTACTCCTGTGCTTGGAGTTGCATTGTGTCGAATTTATGCAAATACTTAAGAAGTAAGTAACAGCTACCGTACCTACTTGAGGACTCGGTAAGCTACTTACTTAGTAAGAGGTAGGTCATATAGTGGGGTGTAGATATTGGGGTGCAGTGTACTGTACATGGTGAAGTTGTGGTGTAGTTGTGGTGTAGTTGTGGTGTAGTTGTGGTGTAGTTGCGGTGTAGCTGTGGTGTCGGAGTAATTAGACGCAAAATGGTGTTGTAATGTAATACCCCGTCCGCAAGAGGGGAACAGTAACAAGTTGTCATGGTTCCAGGCTGGCTGGCTGGCTGGCCAGACTGGCTAGGTCAACATCATCACAACACAACCCGCACCCGTAACCGCACCCACAACTGCAACCTCCTCTCCTTCTCCTTCTCCCTCTCCCTTCCCCCCTCCTCCCTCCTCGTCATCATCAATATCACCACCACCACCACTACCACCACCACATCATCATCATCATCATCATCATCATCATCATCATCATCATCATCATCATCATCATCATCATCATCAGCCATTACCATTTATCCTATCTTGCTTCTTCATCTTTTCAAACCGACCCTAGTTACCGATACTTATGAAATACTCTGTAGAGTCCTTTATATAAGAAGTATATCTTCACTATCGATAAACGCGTCAACACCCTAGTAAACCCCGCCCTCAGTATATCGCTACCGATTTCCAAAACGGTTACTCAAGTCTCCACTACCAATTCGAACCCTGGCTGATTCGAAGTCCGGCCTCATCTAATCCATTTATCTCATCTCGACTATACACTTCTCCTTCAGCCAGCTTTCATCCAGTCAAGACAGAAATCAACCAGCAACCAGCAACCGGCTCTTTATCGCAGGTACTCACCACCTGCATAACGAGCGATTGGAATATTAGCCAAAGTGTCGGACCGCAACCCCCCAGAACAGCAATACCCTGCTTATCCGCCGACAAGGCCCCCCGCAATGTCGGCAACCTCAGCCCCCCTTCTGCGGCCGCCCATCACAGCCCCTACACTCGCAAGCCGTCCGAATTCTGGGGCTCGGTCTCCCATGCTTTCATTATCAATTCCACAGTCAACGGCTCCTCCATCGGCCTCCCCAGTTCCCCAAATTTTACCCACTCCACCTAGGGGTCCTCCAAAACTAAGACTAACCACGACACCCAAACCGGAGATGCCAAAGCTCCAGATCGCGACTCCAGAAGGCACATCTAGCGCCCCTTCCTCGCAGGCCTCTAACCGCAGACCTCGTCTCCCGCCGTTGAAGCCTGTCCCAGGCAGTTCATCTGACCTTGGTGGAAGCCGCAGTGGATCATCTTCTTTGACAGCCAATAGTTATATCACGCATGAAAGGTCGCCAGGAGGTAGCCTCTACGGTTTTACGAATGGTTCCCCTGATGGTGTTTCGGCAAATACTTCCCATTCTAAGGAGGAGGAAGATGCGAAAAGGGCAACGATGGACGTAGAAGAACTAGACGATGAAGGCTGGAGATTCGCTAGCCGAGATGGGAGGATTCAAGAGTTAAGTAGTCTGGGCGAAGGCGCTGGGGGCGCTGTCACGAAATGCAAGCTCAAAGGAGGGAAAACAATGTTTGCTCTTAAGGTATGGGAGTCACACTTACTGCTACGTTTTCTTCTCAATAGGCTGCAATCTGATCTTAAACTCTAGATAATAACAACAGATCCAAACCCAGCGATAAAACGGCAAATATTGAGAGAACTAGAATTTAACCGAGGCTGTAGTTCGCAATATATTTGCCAATATTACGGGGCTTTCTTTGACGAAACATCTGCCACCATTTCTATCGCTATGGAATTCTGTGAGGGTGGGTCGCTAGATGCGATCTATCGAGAAATAAAGCGTCTCGGGGGTAGGACCGGAGAAAAAGTTCTAGGGAAAATCGCCGAGGGTGTTTTGGAAGGCTTAACATACCTCCATTCCAAAAAAATCATTCATAGAGGTAATAATATATAACCCTAGTAACACTCTTGCATATGTTAACTATCACTTCAACTTACAGATATCAAACCCTCGAATATCCTTGTTTCGAGAAATGGCCTTGTCAAATTATGCGACTTCGGAGTTTCTGGTGAACTTCTAGGTTCCAAAGGGGATGCAGATACTTTCATTGGAACGTCTTATTATATGGCGGTATGAACAAACTACGTCCTATTCCTAGACCTTATACTCATAATCTTATGTTTAGCCGGAGCGTATCCAAGGGATGTCATATACAATCACTTCTGACGTCTGGTCTCTGGGAGTCACACTGCTTGAGGTTGCACAGCACAGATTTCCATTCCCGGCAGATGGGAGTGGTGATCGACAGCCCCAAGCTGGTCTGATAGATCTCCTCACATACATTGTACGCCAGCCAATACCCGTCCTTAAGGATGAACCCGACAAAGGAGTGAAGTGGAGCGACGCCTTCAAATATTTTATTCAATGCTGGTGCGTACCCCCGATTTCAGTCTCAGGTAGAGTTGTTCTAACCCGTTGAAATTGAAAGTCTCGAAAAGGATACAGCCAGGAGAGCTAGTCCATGGAGGATGCTAGAACATCCTTGGATTGTTGACATGCAAAAAAAGAAGGTCAACATGCATAAATTTTTGGCCCAGGTCTGGGACTGGAAAGATTAATCCATTGCGTGCTTGGTTTATTTATATATATTATAGAGCCCTTCTCAAAGGTAAGATGCCGTAGTTATTCGTATGTGATTGGCGTGCGTGCATGGGGAGAGCCTTTCGTTATTGGAAGCCGGTTATTTGAGGAATTTGTTCTAGCACCTGCATTTACACCATTGATATGCACAGCGGATAGCGCTTGTTGATTACGGGACCTCGATTGGTTCGGCTCTGTCATGTCTGATTAGGCTTGTTTGTGAGTAGGGTTGGCTTATACACACTGGACTGGTGTCCAATTTTTGACCAATTTCCTGGGCTGTGTTGGTCTCGTACCCAGACACATTAAAGTGTTGCTGGCTGTGTCATTTTGTTTTACTCGGAAACTGGTTTCAGGGTGTTCAACCCAGAGACCACAACTTACAATTTAGGAGATATATCTCGGTACGAAATCCTCTCTACACACTAAATCAAGTGCAGCCCTCCGTGAAATCTCGAAACAAAATTAGTGAAGGCCAGTATCAAGAAAACGCCGAGATTATATTCTATTAATACATTTTCAAGTATAATCATACTTTGGGAATCTAAATACACTTTGGGTTTGACGACTCAGAGCATTCGTTGGTGTCCGAAAATAGGTTCCCAATCCTCATCATTCATTCCCATCTTCAGAAAATCGTCTAAATTCGTTGGGTACTGGCTATTTGGCTTCATTTGCCCTCGGTCTGTACTCTGTCCGGTATGGCTGAAAGCCTCAAATGCCATGTGGTCTTGGTCTGTGCTTGGGGTCCCGGCCACGGGAGCCGATAAGCTCGGAAAGGCCGGTCCTGTGTTTTCAAACCCAGGATTATTGGGGTTCTCAATTGAATAAACATAAGGTGGAAGGGGCCCATAAAGCTGAACTTCCACGTTATCAAACGAAGGACTTCCTCCACCAAAGCTTTGTCGGGATGGCCCAGGCGCTAGCCTAGCATCCCGGTTAAATGCATGCTCGCCTGGGCTTTCGCTGCCCAATGGAACATCAAACATCATTGCCTGATTGCCGTACGCAAACGCATTTGAGGCAGGAAACATTAGGGCGTTCAGGTCAGGCATTCCAGTAAATCCACCGAGGTGCTGTTGTAGCGAACTCCTAGAGTCTTCTGTCATGGCTGTGGGGGATAATGTAGCCTGCCCAAGCGTCAAATTGTCGTCCGAACTTCGTCTCGCCCCCGGGTCCAGCGGGTTTCCAGGTGTTCTCACTACTGCTACCCTAGAGCCTTGGCGTGAGGTAGTGATAGGGAATGTATTGGACCTGATTGACGACTGATCTGCTTGAGTACTAAAGCCTCTAGTTGCCAGCGGCTGATCCGCAACGGAGAGTGAAGGCGCCGGGGAGGCCGCTCTACCACGTTTCTTGGTCTGTGCTTTCCCAAATCCTTCACGAAGGCGATTAGGCAATTGCTCAAACAAGGGCTGTGTCAGTTAGCATATTTCATAAAACTATTCTTTGCGCAGCTGGAAACGGGGGCAGCAAGGTTTTCCCAAGGAACCTACCTTAAGTGCAAGGGAACATCGCTCTCCCGCCATACTCGAATCTTTGAGAGACAGTATACAATCCTTACCGATCGTTGCATCCCGTAAAACAGCGGGGGCATCTGGGTGTGTGATGTTTTCGAGTACGAAATATAGAAGCGATAGTACCGAGAAAAATGTCGTATAAATCAAAAACCAATATGCTCCACTTAAGATATCGTTTTCCCTCATTTGTTGGCATAGATGGACTATTTCTCGGCATGTATTAATACAAGCGGCGGCGCTTGCGAACGGTCTCTCGTCGCGGACCCGACCGTCTCGTGGCTGGGCGACATAATGTATGAATGGTCTGTAGAGCATCATTCTCACATGCGCAAGGGAAATCTGAAGAAGGTATTGGGACCTTGGGGGAATGAGTGAGATTCATAAAGAAGTGCTATCAGTAATACACACCTTAAAAACCGAGGAGGCGAGTCGTCTCCTCTACGTAGATACGGCGGTAGTTCCTCCTGCCATTTCGCCAAATCTTGCTCTATTCCACGTACAACAGCATAACTTATCATGTATCCGGCCCGTTTACCATATGTGCTAGGTTGGAGACCTTTTATTGGATATATTTTTTTGATAACCTTCCCAAGGATCTGAACAAGCCTGGTGTGGGCGTTCGCTGCTGAGGTACTATTAGGTTCCCCCAAAGCCCCAGGCGTTATTCCATCTTTTGTTATGTGTTGGTCATCAACTTCTGTGGGGTATTCTTGATCTATGTCTTCATCATGCACCATTCTCGGCAACCCAATTAGGGCACTAATAGAAATGTCCATTTTCTGAATCGTGCAGAATATTCTTTTCCTAATTTCAGCCTCTATCGGATCAGGAAAGGGTATCTTGCGATGAAGACCGAGCCTGAATGAAGCACTAACGGCAATACCGATATAGGAATAGCATGTTGCTAGCTTTGCCGAGGACTGGAGAAAGATAATCATCAATAGAACACCCTGGAGGGATGTAACGTCTCTGCAGTCCGTGATATCCGTCAACTTCCTCCCGGCGGCAAAATATTTCGCCCTATAACATATTAGCCGCCTCGAATATTTTGGATACGAACGGGTCCTTCAGTACTTTAGTAACTCGAATTAACTTACCCTTCATCAAGAACATTGGAAATACCAAGCTTATCAGACTTTCTTGTGAAGACGCATCCAATTGCAAGTACAAGATAGAACACCGGTAGGAATGAATGCTCCTCATTGCCATATTCTTCGAAATCACGAGAATATAACCGGTCGGCAAGACTGTCAAAAGTTGGGCGGTGAATGAATCGGAACAAGAGCAGTGCTTCGCCGAGGCAACTGTTGGCAAGCTCTTGGGCTGTCTCTCTCGGAGGTAGAGGCACTGTGTCCAGTAAGTAGCTACTACCCGGAGACCCAGTATTTGAACGTGTCGGTTCGGAAAGGGGGCGAAAGGGCCGCAGCCTCAAAAGTGTGGTGGTCCCGACCTCGGGGCCCAGGAGGTCCCCAAATTGCTCCCGAAGTTTGTTTAGATAGGTGAATCCAGAAGAGTGTCCGTGGAAATCAAGTCTCCCGGATTCATCTAGATCAAGCCTCCCTGTAGCTTCAACCATCGTTTCGAGTAAAGCTTCCTGATCATGCGGATTATCCGGAGTGGCCACAGATGGAAATGATTTGTTCATAGCGGTCTTGACTGCTTCCTGGACCTGTGGGAGTGTTTCTGCCTCGAAAGTAGGGTGGTCTACATCCATATCCGGCAATACAGATTTGAAGAAAGAGTCAAGCCGTTGTAGACGGCCTTCTAAAGCTTCAATGTATTGCGGTGTCGGGTTTCTACGTCTGTTCGAGGGTTGATCGTATGTGCATTCTAGATAGGGCCAGCGGTCCAAGGCGATCAATTAGCTCTGTGTGAAGCCTAATTCAGGTAACAGAATTTTGCTATTAATTTTTGGAAAGTTGTCTTACCATAGCTGTAGACCGAGCAATGGGTGCAGGGCTGAAGCCCATCACACTTGATCTTCTTCCGCCGGCAACAGTCACAAGCACGGGTGACGCGCCTTCTCTTTTGCAGCGGAACTGGTTTTATAGGATTGGAGGATGATGAAGAAGTAGGAACCTTTGGAGTAGTACCAGGACCTGCGCTGGCCTCGTCCCAGCTTTCCCCGACGGGGTCGTTCTCGAGAGAGGAGCCATCTGAGGATTCTCGGTCGCCATCACGATCTGCCATCACCTAGAACCGAATCAATATTGATGATAATACTATTAAAGATATATAAGGCAGGATTGCATGCATACACCATCGGCCACCACCTTTGCGGCTTTGCTTGGTAGAAGGATCCTTCTTGTAGGCGTTCAATTCTTTTTTTTTTTTTTTTTTTTTTTTCTTTCTTTCTTTCTTTCTTTCTTTCTTTCTTTCTTCTATGTTCTTTGTATCAGTATATAAATTTTATATTTATATTTTTTAGAAAAAGAAGACAAGAAAAGAAAAGAATAGAATAGAAAGAAAGAGTCCACTCTTTTTTTATATTTTTTTTATAGAGAAGTTAAAAGGTGAAAGACCTAGAAAGGAGGGAGTGAGGAAGGAAGTGAGAGGATGTGGTGACAGAAAGAAAAAAGTGTTGAGACTGTTGTAATTTTGAAGTGGCTTGGCAGAAAAGTTACTTTGTTTTGGGATTTGTTGTTGTTGGTCACCTTGTCATCCACTCCAAAGTTCAACAACACCAAGAGAAAAAAATTAGAAGGATGTTGAACTGAGATGCGGTATTGGTCTGCAATAACAGGTCTTCAGTAGAGCAGATCCTCTCGTCTGTAGAAAGGAGTGGCCTGGTCGTGGGGGCTGAGCACGACACCGGGCTAGCTGAGGCGACGAGTGGGGCGCTGGAGCCGAAAGAAGGGAACCGTATTCGGCTTTTCTCCTGATCTGATCTTGCTGATGAACGATGATGATGCCCTGAATGTTCCTCGCAAGCCGACTCTCCCGGGAAATTTATATTTATAACTCTTCCTGATGTGGGCGAGAGCAAATAGGTGCGACGGGAAAGAAGCAACTCGACAAAAGAAGAATTGACCGCCGTGGTGTGAATATAAGAACGAACCCAAACGACAAGCAGGTATTTCATTACTTAAGCATTTTTAGCTTAAGTCCTTAACTCCCTCAAGAATCGTACGAAAAAAACAAAAAAGCGAAAAGAGAGAAAGTGGAAAGGCGACAACGGAACGAGCGAGGCCAAAAAGTCATCTCTCCACGGCTAATTTCAAGGGAGAGCAGTTAAGTATGCCTGAACCCGAACCCGAACATGCTCTTCCTCATGCTCATTGGAGCGGTGCAGTTTCTCCTCTAGCCCTTACTTCGGGAAGCTTTGAAGTCGATTCGATCGAGTTAACTTTGGGGCCTGGTGCATGAGTTATAGGTATCCATGCTCGCAATCTGCATTTATGTATGTCCCGGATACCCTCCTATGTACAATAGTCTGTAAGTACATAAGTGCCTCCTACATATATAGCTTTATACATAGACGCCACCAGCAAAAGGACAGATGATACGGAGGAAGCCATTGCTGCTCCGACAAAGCAGCCGTTAACCGCTGACCCCAAACGCTTACCAGTGCTGTTCTGCATTGGGCTCTTACCCGCGACTTATCAGCCAGGAAAGCTTTGAAGCCTCTACCGTGTCTACTATCACAACAAAATGGGGATGTGAAATCGGATACGATCTGGGGAAACATTTCTTCGAAACGAAACAATTGCTCACACGATGAGGCACAAGCCATGTACTTTTCATTTTCATTTTCATTATTGTATCCCCCCCAAATCGTGCTTTCCCAATCTACTGCCCAAAAGCAGCATTGCATGTCAGGGTTGAGGGGTAGTGACGCGGCTTTCTCCACCTATAGAACGGACATGGTCGTGAGCTTGTCTTGGGGCCATGCAGGCGAAGCGCACCGGGCACTGAAAACGTGGGCTGCCGGGTAACCACGAGCACTCCTTGGCAAGCCACCTACGTAGCTCTACGTCGGTGTGGAACCAGGGCTTTTCTAATTGGTTGCGGTTGCTTTCTGCAGCCTTCGGAGAACGGCGCTGCGGTTTGGGTAAGCCTTTTTACCCACCTCACAAAATTGTGCACCTAAATAGGTTGAGTAAGCAACGGAAGCGGGCTACCATATACTTCAGAGCAGAGCAGAACACCGTACCTTTGGATTGAATAGACCCTGGGCCTTTTGGCGTATGAACAGTCTAGTTTCGAGAAGTCTCCCTGGTGTTTGGTAAACAGAGGGAGAGGAAGAGAAAGAGATGATACTTACTCTAAGTACTAAGTACTAAGTACCTAAGTAGGTGTCTGTCTGTTGTATTTTGGAAAATCCCCTTTCAACCCAAAAGAATCGAATCACAGTGCACATGCAATTAGGGGCCCACGAAGACATGCCAAGATGGAATGAATCATGAAGACCCTTAAAGGCACGTAGCAACTAAATTGTATGGCCATGGCAAGTCAACGTCAACGTTAAGATCGCAATTCAACAACAGAGGAGGATCATAAACCACAGTTCCTTTCCCGACGTGCTGTGTATACGATTACTCAATTTGATTTGTGGACTATACTATACGTGCAAGGGTTGGTTGGATGCAATGCAATGGCCACTTCCAGCATAAATTCATGACATAGATACTCTTTCGTATTTGGTAATAAATACACTAGGATTCAAAGCATTTCCAGTATTTGTGTGCATACATAAGTACATTTATGTACGTCTTGCAAGTCAGAACTCACGTACATCGACGGATAGGTCGATTTCGCACCGGTTGTTTTCATTTTCACCATTGATGTCCAAAAATCCAAGCACAGAAAGCCCTGATATAATGAATGCGCATACACTAGATAAATGTCGGCATATGCCTCGAGGAAAGGGGGATGGTTGGTTGTACATTCGAGTGGATACGTATATATCTAAGTAAGTACTTAAGTACCTATATCTGTAAGAGGTAGGATATATATTTATACATCTACCTGGCCGTCGACAGTGTAGTTTATGTGAAACCAACTCCTCCACGTTCGAGATTTCACACTCTTGTATTTGGGGTCCAATCCTCAGCCCTTGATGACATGATAATGGCGAATGAGGCATTCCGATCCTCGGGGATGTACGGAGTACCTTAATTCCAGTCACGGTGGCCTCACAAAAATTTTGGATGAAAATTTTGCTCCCGAGGCGGGGTAGCTCGTTTTTTTTTTTTTTTTTTTTACCCCGGTGCGGCATATTCTCGAATCAAAGCGCTTCTGAAGGAAGGACTTGCTTAAGCACACTTCATATTGCGCCGATATAAGCACTTCTCCTAGCATTTCTCAAACATGCACCACGTTAACAATGCATGCACCCCCTTTCCTTGTTTTCTCCACATGTGATTTAACATCCAATCCCACACAAGAGGGCTGGCTTCATGTGCATATATGCGTGGCGAGCGCATGAGAGAAGGTCGGGAGGTGTGTTAGAAAAGAAACCGCTACAAGAGAAATAGGTAAGGTATGGCGCTGAGGCCGGTTCAACAATCATGTACATACATACAACAGATGAGCTACATAGTACATAAGTAGGCGTGCTTGAGGCGGTATAATACTGGCTTGAATATGTATGTACATATGATACAGAACTATGTCAGCGGCGTTTTTTGAGATTGTTATCCCAGCAGACCCAGCGCCATGAACTAAGTGGGGTGCTCTAATCACCGCCTGGCACCAACCCGCAGGCCTAGAAGAGCTTGGGATATTAAAATCAGGGTCTAAGAAATCCAGGGTTAGGCCCCTTAGGAGATCCCCACATTGCGTCTGGATAGCGGAGATTTGTGTACATGTACATCCCATTACAAGACACTGGTATTAGGAACTGAAACTTAAAATCAACTCGTTTTGACCACCTGGTAATTACCTAGATATGTACTAGTTGGGGTTATTTGTATGTGTAACAGTCCTGGAAGTTTTTTTTATTTTTTTTTTAAAGGAAAAAAAAAAAAAAAAACTTTGGAAAAGGAAAAGGAAAAGGCGAGATGAATACGGACAGAGCTAGAGAGAGCAACACTATCACGAACTTAACAGAATGGTATTTCAATAATCAGATTTGCAATCGACCAATCGGTTTCTATTTTAAAGAGGGATCATATCACCATAAAGCCGCCCCACTAAATGATTCGCAATGCTAGCCAGTCATATATTTGGATGTTAACAAGACGGCCTCGAACTCGAGTTGAACCGACTGAGTACTCTATGTTCGATAATCAAGGACGTGTCGACTGGGTCAATCCGGATCGAGAGTGGAATTTACCGATTTTTTGAAATCCCCTGGATTAGGTAATTTAGATATTTGGCATGAGTACAAAACGGGGGTCTAGGGTAGTACCATACCTTGAAAGATCGATACCAGCAAAATCATCAGTATCCGCCGTGTCTGTATCGCCGTCGGCGTTGGTCGGTGGGTTGGGCAGCTCGGATTTGACCGGACTGTGTTTACCCCGAAAAATATTATCTTTATCTTTCACTGGACTTCCAGCCTCCCTAAGTTTACTTGCGATTGGAGGAAGCGGCTCTGGTGGGCTACTACTTCGGAGATGTGGGCTTTTAATAGGTGAGCTGTGATCTGGTCGCCCGGGGGTTAGGAAGTTGAGATATTTCCAAAAGGGGGCTGGAGATGATGTCGGTAGATACGAAGATGGCAATTGATTAATGGATGGTGGAGCCAGATGCGGGTTTTGTTTTTGGGGTGCCGGGGTGATGGCTGCACCGGTGGAATTAAAGTTATCAACGAAAGGAGAGCTAGCCATTCGGTTAGGCCTGTCCTCCGAAGGTGATACCGGTAGATCGCCGATTGATGCATCGCCTATAGTCTCTTTTTGGATACTCTGTGACTGTGTCTTTATATATTTATACTGTTAAACAAATTCTCGGGAAGCATTGGGTAAGGGAACAGTGTACCTTATTTTTACTTGTCGGGCGCGAGCTGCGATCAGGGGTAAATGCTTCCTTCGGCGCCGCCGGGGTAGGCCCCAATGCTGAGTGTGGAGGAGGGGGGGTGACCGAGCGAGGGATAGAGCCATTGTTTGTCTTCTGACTTGTGGAGGTTCCAGGGCGAGAGGACGAGCTGGTCGGGAAGGAACCCTTCGTGTTATTGTTCGTGGGTGACTTAAGATTCGGAGAGAGGACCTTGTTTGCTTTGCTAACGGTGCCCTTTTGTATCTTTTTCGTGTATTCCTCTAGATAGTCCGGGGCTATCTGCCACTTCATGCCTTTCCCGGGCTCGTCTGTCCTCCGTGGGACCTTTTGGAAGGCTTGGTTGAGGGATAGGTTATGGCGGATGGAGTTCTAAATTGTTTGTTAGGCCTGCCTGCCCTGAAAAATCGTTGAAGGTAAACTCACTTGCCACCCAGAGGCTGCAAATCGATAGAAGGCATAGTTCTCTTGGATCCAAGCGTATATGTTCGCCAATGTCAATTTTTGGTCCGAACTTGATAGAATTGCTTGCGCAATCAATATAGCATAACTCAACGGAGGCTTAATTTCCTTTGATGACTCTAGAGAGTAATCGATATCCTCTGTGGATTCAAGCATTAAGCCTCGATGGTAGCTAGGGCTAGTATGGAGCTCCTTGTTCAGCGTAGCCGCGCTTGCGGCAGTTGACTGGGATATATTGGCTGCCTGACTACCTGAACTACTGGGGGGCTGACCGCCTAAAGACTGTATTTCGGATTTCCTCTTCAAGTTGGTCGGTTTCCTCTTTGATTTAAGAAAACCAGATTCAGATGATAGCTGTGTCGATTCTAAATGATTTTCCTGGGAGTCGTGCTCTGGCAAATATTCAGCTTGGATTTCTTGGGCGCGACGGAGCACACTGTCGACAACAGCTGGAGCTTGGTCGGGCAGGACAAACAACATCTGCACACCGGCGATTTCGAACATGCTCCCGCTACGGAGCGGAACCGTGGTCCCTCGTTTGTGCTGCTCATCGTCGACTTTAACACCATTCCTCCCTAGAACTTCCAAGATCCAGCACCTATATTCCACCGTGTCGTACTGGATCACGGCATGCTCTCGAGAAACCAATTTGCTCGGGCCGAGGTCAATGTCAACTTCTTTCTCGGCCGGGGCAGGAAGTGGTGGGCGTGAGTCTGGCGGCCGGCCTATGGAGATCTTGAGATCTTTGACATAATATGTCCAGTCTCTACCACAAATTTTTGCGTAGGCGGTGACGCCGTCCCGGTGATCACGAGCGTTCTTATCGTTCGCATGATCATGGGCGGCGACCACTTCATTGGAAGGGGCACCAAGGCCTGATATGATATGGTTGACCTGATATTCGGACAGTTGAACAGAGTTCGAGAACGAGTCAACCTGTGTTGAGGTGAGCGGAATGAACTGACTGGGGATTTCACGAGTGTTAGGAGGCGGCGAATCGGTAAGGCTAACCTTTCTGCGTTTGTTGGGCACCTCAGGCGAGGAAAGGAGCCCGCCTTCACCACGGCTTCTAGTGCGACGATGTCTTGGGCTCTGCATTACAAAAATAGCGGGATGATGGTTATATGGAGACGATTTCGGCGATAAGAGCTTAAGAGCAAGAGGTTAGAGGCGGTATTCCAACCGGACTTGGGCCTAGGAGGCGATATCGGGAGGGGTGGATTTTTTTTGAGGATTCCGATTAGACGATCTCGACGTTGGTGTTGCGAATCGCGTCGAAGTTGTGACAGGGAGATGGCTAGTCTCGTGGCGAGGGGACAGCCAAACCTTTCTCTCTCTCTCTCTCCCTCTCTCTCTCTCTCTCCTTCTCCCGTTTCTTCCTTCTTTCAAAATAATGAGTAAGTAAAAAATTAAAAGAAAAGATTAAAAAAAAATATAAAAATACAAAATATTAAAAAAATATATATGAAATAAAAATATGGTAAAAAGTAAGTAATAAAGGTTGTTTCTTTCTTCCTTCTGTTCTTTTTCTTTCTTTTTGGATCAATCGAAGGACGTATGTATAGAGGGGTTTTGTTATTTCATTTCTGTTTCTCAACCGCGAATTCAGCTAGGACATAAAGAATTCGAATCTATATATGTATGCAACTGTAATAGGACAAGACGGGATGCCATTCATCCGAGTAGACAGCCTGTTGATGTAGATGTGGATGTAGATGCAGAGGTAGATGTTGATGTTAATGTTGATGTTAATGTTGATGTTAATGTTGATGTTAATGTTGATGTTGGTGTGGGTGTGGGTGTTGATGTATAAATATCAATAGAGGAAGGAAATGTAGGCGTGAATTCGAAGGGCGGAGCTTAAGCGTCGAGAACAGGGTTTGGGTAGGTGTCTATACTATCTATCAGACGGTGGCGATGGCGATGGTGATGGTGATGGTGATGGTGATGGTGATGGTGATGGTGATGGTGGTGATGACGATGACGGATGTTTAATTGTTGAGAGGGAGAAAGAGGGAGGGGATTTCAATCAGATGCCCTAAACAAGCACTGTAATTATAAATATAACATACGCGTTAATGTTTCAAACACGCTTACCACATCCAGCTCCCTGCATAATCGGTCTTATATAAGTACTTAAGCACTTCTTACTTACATACTTACATACTTACTTATTTGTTCAGACGGACTCGAACGAACGTTAACAGGATTGATATCGATTGATCAATCTCGTACCATTTCGCCCTCTCCACAAAATCTCCTTGTTTCTCACCGCTAGACGCTTGTGTGATCTCACCGTATTTACTTATATTTCCAATAATCACCGATGGCGGCGAGGGCATCCAGAACACCTTCCCTACGTCTCTGCCGTGTCTTCTGTCCCCCGCCATGGCCAGCCGCACATTCGACGAAGCAAGGACTGTCCCATCCGATAAAGGGGACAACTGTTCCTTTTGTCCATCGTCGATTCCAGTCCGGTCACGGCACCCCGGGAGGTACAGGTGGGGGGAACGACTATCAATTGGGCCCGAGTAAGCCGGATATCACTCTTGTTCGTCCGTCATGACCGTGTGCATGTCAGCCGAGTCAATCTTATGAAAATCGACGCTTCTCTAAACTTCGCCTGCCAGGCCAGGAAGTCCAGCCCCAGCCGAATACCCAGTCCTGGGGTGAATCTGGGCAACACGAAGAAGACTTCCGTAGTCACAATAAGCAGAGACATGACTGGCGACAGACTGCTTATCGCATGTTAGAAAGCGCTGCAACTACTGGCGCATCTCTCGCTATCTTAGGGTAACTGATGAACTCTCACTTCCTTCATCCACACCAAAGCCTGTCTGATACTTCGGTAGCTAACTGTTCTTTATATAGTCTTGCAGGTTTTGGATATCATAAGTTGGTCTACCTCGAGGCTTCTTTCATCTTCCGATACTTGCCCGCCCGCCCCACCCGTCGCATTCACCGATTCCATCGCACAGAGTTCATTTCTGACCCTATGGTTTCCCTCGGGAGACATTGACTAGCTCTTAGATACTATAAGAACGTGGTTCTTCAGAAGATAAACAATGCCTTTGAGCCTGGTGACCCTGTTCTTGAGTTAGCTGCTGCCGGTAGGGGATCCACGTCTGTCGTGCCCGGCGGTACCGAGAAAGAATGGTGAGTATCTGTGTCCGTCGACCCGACAAACCCCAACACTTCCTCAACCTGACAGTCGACAGGATCGTTCGGCCTGAACAAGATAAGATAGACAAGGTCGTCGCCGGGGAGACCAATGGCCACTATTATCTCCTCTTGGGGGAAAAAGGGTGCGGGAAAACATCTATGATACTAGATGCTATGCAGAAAGTTGACGGTCTGGGGATTGCGATGATGGAGTGCCACGCAGGTCAGCGACAACGTTTTGTTGTTGATATCGCTGACATGCTAATGAAAAGAAACCTCTAGATCTTGAGATTTTCCGGATCCGCCTCGGAAAAGCTTTAGATTTTGAATTCCATGAGGGTATGTCCAAAACGGTCTATTGAAGCCGCACGCACGGAAATTCTTGGCATGACGGTCCTAACGGAGTGAACCGCAGACTATATTGGTTCACTTTTCTCCATCAGAGGGCCAAGGGACACTACCGCTCTTCTTGATATAGAACGTGCCTTCAACAAATTAGAAAAAGTCGCCTTGAAGCGGAAAAGGCGCACCGGTCAACCGCTTGTACTGATTTTTAACTCTATGCATCTTCTTAGAGACGATGAAGATGGTCTTGACCTTATCGAATTGCTCCAGCAAAGGGCCGAAGCGTGGGCAGCCACTGGGCTTTGCACCGTATTGTTTTGTTCGGATGACTACATAGTCTACGAAAAGCTGAAACACTATGCATCAAGAATGGAACTTATCACCGTCCAAGATCTACCTAAAGACATGGCTATATCTGCATTGCGACGGTATCGAGCAAAACACCACGCTAACCAGGACACAGAAGGCGATTTAGAAAGGATCTATCAGTTAGTTGGGGGTCGCCTTTCGTACCTTAGCCGTGTTGCCCAAGCTTCGAATATGGAAGCCAAAGCGAATGAAATTATTGAGAACGAAGAGCGATGGCTCCTAACAAATTGTGGTCTTCTTGGAGAAGGTCAGGATGACGACGTGAATGAGTAAGATGATTGATTACTGAGTCGAAACGTTGCATTCAAGTCCGACTGATAATTTATTTCCCCAGGTACTCTAAGTTTGCATCCGCCGCCATGGTTTTGTGCAGAGCCCTGGTGGCTATGGAGGATAAGGTTGAAGGTGGAACTTATAACGAAGATAGAGGGTGGAAGTTACCCCAGGTCCCACTACACATCGCCAGGGAAATCATGACCAGAGCGGATTTCATACACCGATACGATGTGTGTCCAATATAACGCCCTCCCACTTTTACCTGGCTGCACCGCTGATACCTATCTACACTGTAGCATCTGAATTTGTTCACCATAGATAGCAAAGCTAACGTTAGGGCGGATTCCGTCCCCATGGCACTGGCAATGCGAAAGGTTTGCAAGGACCCTAGGTTTGATCAACTTTTGGAAGATTCCTTAGAACGAATCGGCGATGTCGAGAGCTTGGGCCGTACTCGAGAGATTACCCTCAAGGTATGTGATTCCTTTGATTACCTCATAGTCGATAGTAAAGCTCCCCGGAGAACCCGAAGGCTGATTGTCAACCAACGATAAGGATTTGTGGGAGTCGGGGAAGTACGAGTTCACAATGCGGAATGCGAAGGGGTACACGGACAAGGTCATTACATTTACTGCGACACCTGCCGAGAAGCCAGACGGGGATGAAGATTCCAGTGATAAGAAATAATGTTTATAATACCTAAGTACTTACTTAAGTACTTACTTATCTCTTACTTACCTAAGTACTTAGTACGAGGTATGTACAGTATGCGTACGGTACCCCGCAATGACAATTACAGCTCCAAATTCAACCGCAAGTGCAACTACTGCCCCGGGTACCTAAGCTACGTAACATCTAGCATTGCGCCCACTAAATCTAGATCTATTGCATTCCCAAATACATGTACTTGAGCTTGCAAATTTCCGGCCAATCAAGCTAAGCAGAATAAGCAGGGCGGGTCGTGTGTCCACCCGGGCCCGTCGGCCGAATGGCACATAGTACTTACATGCCTCTATAAGGTCCGGTACTGACTTACATACGGAAAGACAGGCATGGCATGTCTTGTGAGATGCCATGCCGTTCACAGCAAGTAGCTAGTAGGTTTCGGCTGCAAATTCTGCGTCAGAAGGGAAAAAAATTTTGGTGTTCAGCAACCACACTACAACACATTCATTCAATCATTCATTCTCATTCCTCTTTCTTTCTTTCTTTCTTTTTTTTTTCAAGAACAAAATCCCAACCTTCTCACTCATTCTTCAATCATTTAACCACGATATTGGTATCGCAGTTTCTAGCGGTGCCTGAACAAAAGCTGCTGGCATACGTCAAAATGGCACAACCAGCGGGGCTTGGTAAGTGTTCAATAAGTGCCCAATTGAATTACCCGTCTTCATCAACCATCCAAGCTCGCCAGGCTTCCTTTTCTCTCCATCCAGCTGCATCCGTTTTTCCTAGAATGCTATACAGCTCTCGTGGTCTTATTCCCGATAACATCGAGTCACTGTAATTGTGCTTTCCCGTGTTTCCGCCTCAATAACACCCCATCCCCTCGCGGTGGATCCTCTCTCAAGACCACAAGACCTGCTAGACAGCATAACCATTGCAATCCTACCACTTCCATCCTTCCAAATCTTTGATCTAACCAATCGGGTTTCTCACTGGATGAATCTAACACCTGTGCAATGCTCTCTGTAGATGCAGCTGACCGTCCAAACGCTGACAATAGCGTTACAAACGAGTCCACCGAAGCTCAAGGAACCCATGCCGCTAAAGCCAGTTCTTCAGAAACAGAAGCCGCTCTAGCAACCGGTAGCATTGGAACCGATATCAATGGTCACGGGGATATCGACAGCCCTCATGCCGACCAGAGTATGACCCCTTGCCCATGTACATCTCAAGGCTCATTTAATATTAATGAATTGGTTAAATAGTGTTCCAACTTGTCGTGAAGTTACCTCATCACCCATTCAAAATCCATGTAATGGTGTGTACCAAGAATATGCAAATCACCTCTTTTGGTTTGGTGCGAACAATCTAACGCTCATCGCCCTAGGTCTCTACGCAAGAGCAAGTACAGGATATTCGTCAATCCATCATAGAACTCCCAGATACTTTCCAATACTCTTGCTTTCACCTCGAGCACAACGGAGAAAGAATCAATGACTTCGTCGAGCTTTCCGACGTCCCTGGTATCACACCGGACTCAGAGCTCGTCCTTGTCGAGGATCCATACACCGAAAAGGAGGCAAGGATTCACCTACTACGGGTTAGAGAACTCATCGGTGCTGCTAGCAGTAGGATTGATCTAATGGCTGGCGTCAATGCCGGCCAGACTCTTTTCTACAACATCTTTGATGAGCTTGAGACTACCGAGGCTAGCCGTGCGCATTCAATGGTAGACTATGAGTTCGAAGCACCAGCTTCGCTCCTCGATATGCTCCCAGCTATCCCTCAGTCGCCTCCAAAGACCATCAAAACCCTCTCATTGTCGCCATGGAACCCTCCTCCACATAGCCTACGGCAGCGGGGGCATCTATTATATATACAAGTGACTACCTTAGAAGGAGAGCAGTTCCACGTTACCTCCCACGTTTCAGGCTTCTATGTCAACCGTTCGAGCAGCAACAAGTTCGACCCGTTACCTAAAACCTCCCCCCGTGGGTACTCCGCCCACTCCCTGCTCGAGCTAATTTCCCAGCTTTCCTCTGAATTTCGCACGGAATTCAAAAAATTACATGAGTTCCAATCCAAAAAAGACCCACTTATCACATTCCAACCAACCAACGCTATTCCGGCATCTCCCTGGCTTGTTCCTGCCCAATCCTCTCCTTATTTCTCCCATTCAGCGGACATATCTCGGTCCCAGGAAACTTTTTTGATTGCTGGAACCGAATCGAACGATACTCTGAGAGACTTCAACGAGGAGTTCCAATCAACTCGAGAGCTGCCGAAAGAGACAGTCCAAGAGCGTGTTTTCCGAGAGCGTCTTCTTTCCAAACTATTCGCCGATTTCACGGATGCTGCCGTTAGAGGAGCTGTGCTCATTGCTAGAGGAGAAGTTGCCCCTCTCAACCCGACCGAAGGGAGAGACGCCCAGATCTTTGTTTACAATAACATTTTCTTTTCCTATGGCGCAGACGGCGTTGGCACTTTTGCCGCTGAAGGGGGTGACGAGGCTGCTAGAGTTGCCACAGGGAAGGATATCTTGGGGGTGAGGATGGTGAATAACCTGGATATTACGGGGCTCTCGACACCCGGGACGGTGGTTGTGGACTATCTCGGCCGAAGGATCGTCGGCCAGAGTATAGTCCCTGGTATCTTTAAACAAAGGGAACCCGGTGAAACTCAGATTGATTACGGCGGTGTCGAAGGAAAGGATGTTATAGCTTCTAATGAAATTTTCGTCCCCGCTTTCGAGCAACTGAGCAAAGCGATGCGGGTTAAGCCTCATCCCGTCTGGGATAAGGAGGGCTCCCGACATGATCTTGTCGCAAGTGTCGAGACCAAAGGTCTGCTAGGTACCGACGGACGGAAATATGTGCTCGATTTGTATCGCACCACCCCGTTAGATATCCTCTTCTTAGAACAGCATTGGGAAAATGAGGAGGCAAACACACGGTATCCTCATAGAATGGCTGTCTTACGCTCTGAGCTTATCGACAGCATGTGGAAGGTTAAAATGAGACAATATGTCAATAACGATCTCGAAAAAAAGAAAAAAGAAGCTGAAACAGGCGTCTCAACAGACAGCAACAAGGACAAAAAAGAAGAACAGGAGGCTATTGACCTATCGGGGCTCACGTTTTCTCTTAACCCTGACGTTTTTAGCGGGCAGAAGCCACATACCGATGAAGAAAAGGACCAGTTCGCGAAGGATGAGGAAGATGTTCGACAGGCCTGTCAATACCTAATAGATAAAGTTATTCCAGGACTTGTAAGTTGAACCTCCCCTTTGTTTAAGAACCACTGCCTAACCGATTCAACTTTGACTAGATCGACGACCTGAAAAAAGGCGATGTGGGGTCGCCCATGGATGGGTACTCTCTGTCTAGGCTGATGCATAAGCGAGGTATCAACATTCGATATCTTGGAAACATCGCCAACCTTGCGGCGTCGGAAGGACAGAAATTACTCGCTGTGAAAGTATTGGCAGAACAGGAAATGGTTGCCAGAGCATGCAAACACCATCTCAATTCTCTACTCAGAGATCTCCCAAGCCCCCTTGTTACGTATTGTGTAGCCCACTATCTTAATTGTTTGTTGGGTACCGGTCTTAACTCTGATCCTAAGGCCGAAAAGGATGATCTTCTATGGGCGGTTTATTCGAAGGGAAGCTTTGAGTTTGAGGCCCTGACCCCGGCGGCGGTTCAGAAAGCTATTGAGGACCAAGTTTTCCGCAGATATAGGTTCAAACTTGCGGAGGCATGGTGGACGAGCATCAAGCACAAACAAATTCTACGAGAAATTTCGTTGAAAATGGGGCTCCAACTATGCGCAAAGGAGTATGCTTTCGACAAGACGGCTGCACTTACCCCCCCTCCTCCACCTACCACCACACCATCCACCCAACCTACTACCAACGGCCAATCCAAGCAAAGCTCAAAGAAAAAGGGCGGTCAAGCACAACTAAACACCACGACAGCTCCTACCGCTCAACAACAATTAACCTTTACTCAAGAAGACATTGTTAATATTGTTGCTATCGTTAAGGAAGCCTCACCCAAGGTTAGTTCTCACTACTTCCTATCAATATACGCTATTCCTAACGTGACGCAAACGCTCAGAGTCAACTTGCAGAAGAAGCTCTGGAAGCAGGACGCATATCCATCCTGCAGGACCAAAGAGAGTTGGGTCAAGAGCTCCTACTCGAATCATTGTCCTTGCACGAACAGATATACGGCATTCTCCATCCAGAAGTAGCCAGGGTGTATAATGCGCTAGCTATGATTTATTATCAATTGGACGAGAAGCCAGCCGCCGTCGAACTATCTAGGAAAGCGGTTCTCGTAGCAGAACGGATATTGGGCGTGGATAGTGCGGAGACTATTCTATCATATCTCAACTTGGCATTGTTTGAACATGCCAGTGGGAACACAAATGCCGCCTTAGCCTTGATTCGCCACGCCCTAAAAATGTGGAAGATTGTTTATGGAGAAGGCCACCCAGACTCGGTTACCACCATGAACAATACTGCCGTCATGCTACAGGCTTTGAAGCATTACCATGACTCGAGGCTCTGGTTTGAGGCTTCGCTAAAATTATGCGAATCCATCTTCGGCGCATCGTCACCAAATACTGCAACTCTGTCATTCCAACTTGCACAGGCCCTTGCTCTTGACAATGAATCTAAGGGAGCAGTGTCTCGGATGCGAGATGCTTATAACGTTTTCCTTCAAGAATTTGGTGCAGATGATAGGAATACAAAAGAGGCCGAAAACTGGCTTGAACAATTGACACAAAATGCCGTGAGCATTGCAAAGCAGGCAAAAGACTTGCAGAATCGCCGTCTCAGACGAGTAGCGATGACACCAAGGGTAACGCTGGGAACGAAGCCGCAACCTGGTTTAGGGCTTTCGGCAGCCGATTCGATGAAGCCCGATGATCCAATTTCCAGAGAGGGAATTGATTCACGTAGCATCGATGACTTGATGCGGTATATCGAAGGCACGGATACGAAGAAAACACCTGGTTCAAAGAAACAACCTGGACGTGCTAATCCCAAGAGACGAGGCGGGAAAGCTTAAAACGGCTGAGCATTACCAATAATAACTGCAATGGTGGATTAACACTAGAACACCAATCTTCCGAGTAATGAATAGACTCCGCTCTTATCGCATTGGCTTCGCATGCATAGGAATATCATCCTGGAAAGGTAATTTGACTGTAATATAGAAATAGACATGATCTAAACGCTGCTGTACATTAGTATTCTCTGTACATACCTCTTTGAAATATTAGACAGTAAGCGTGTGTGAGGCGCTTTTACCCCGTCTTTCATTGATAAACAATTTGTAGGTATACATATATGTTACCGACAAAATATATCCAGGGCCCTCGCCATAGCAGCCAGTTCGGTGTTATACATCCCCTTATAATTAACTTAAATACTTGCACATGGCGGATTGAAAGGCAGAAATTTGTTTAACGCAACACCTTTTTTCCAACAAGGGACGACTGTAATGGTTGATGTGCTGAGTATGTGTATGTGCATGTGCATGTACATACATACATAAATACTTAGGCGCATACATACGATCGCGACCCGGCAGCGAAGTCTCGAGGGAAAGGAAACAGCCCCGATAGGCAAAAGGCATGGAAGAGAACACCACGAAGGCACAATGTTGAGATCCGGCATTCACTTCCAAGCTCGGCACCGCCCAGTGCACAGGGCCCAACAGCAACTCACTCTTGGGAAACTTAATTGTCTTCTACATCGAGGCAACTTTGCCATCGCCACGAACACCGGACTAGGAAACAGCAGGTTGTCTAACGCCCGCACAGGAAGTGCAGGCGGCTTCCAAATATTCGACAGAAGTGTGAAAAGGCTTCAACGCGATAGGGCGGCGAAAAATGCTGAGGAGTCTAGGAAGGTTGATTATTTACGTGACGAGGTGGCAAATAGACTTGTAGAACGACTATACGTGAGTCCATGCCCGAACGAACAAGTTATATGAAACCCAGTAAATAATAAGTTTCTCTTCCTTCCGACCATCAGGACATCAATAGATCATATGAGCATGTCCTAGATCTTGGGGCCGGGGCCTGTCATCTTGCACGGGCCCTTCACAAACCTCATGTTGGACTTAAGCCTTTTGCAAGCCGTATCAAACACCTCACCTCAACAGAGCTTTCGTCGGAACTTCTTGACAGAGATCCGGACTCTGATACCATACTACCGGAATCTCTGATGAAATTAACTCGATTAGCACGGGATGAAGAGACGGTCTTGCTGGCACCGCCCTCTCAAGGCGGCTTGTTCGAATCTAACACCTTCGATGCTGTGATATCGTGCGGGTCTTTACATTGGATAAACGACCTCCCATCAGTTCTATCTAGTATAAATCGAGTTCTGAAACCAGACAGCCCGTTTCTTTGTGCAATGTTCGGAGGTGATACTCTTTATGAGCTCCGTACTTCCCTTCAGTTGGCAGGTATGGATAGGTTGGGCGGTGTGTCACCTCATGTGTCACCTCTGGCAGACGTTCGAGATATGGGAGGGTTGCTTCAAAGAGCAGGTTATAAGTTGATAACAATCGATATTGACGATATCATCGTCGACTACGAAAATGTTTTTGCTCTCGTCAAGGATTTACAAGCAATGGGGGAAGCAAACGCTGTTTTGGGCAGAAGAAAGGGCCTGGCGGGACTAAGTAGGGATGTTTTAATCGGGCTCGAAGGGATATACAAAGAGCTACACGGGAGAGCAGAAGATGGGGGTTCTGGTGTCGGAACGGGAATCCCAGCAACCTTCAGGATTATATACATGATCGGATGGAAGGAAGGAACAGGGCAGCAACAGCCACTAAAGAGGGGTAGTGGTGAGGTTAATTTAAAGGATATCCTGGGTGAACAAAGTGGACTTCGATAAGGGACTTATCTTTCAGTTACCTACTTTGATGTTTACAGTTCCTGGGGGGAGGAGAAGAAGAAGAATGGGGCTTACTAGATAAGGCAAAGGCATGTATAATATTAGAGGGTTAAAAAAAAGTCTGATCAAATATTCACACTGTTGGCGTTCCAAATAACCGTCTAGCCTGTGGATTCAACGGAATCATATATGCATATAAGATACCCCATTCAAATAGTGCAACGAACCAGCCAGAAACCTACACGCCTATCGTATTAGTTTTGATTTATGCTGCATCATGGGACAAAAATAGGGAATCAGTACCTTCTCAGACCATGTGTGAAAGTAAACACTAGTCATCAACAGCATCCACCACCAAAGCCCTAGTATACCCCAAACAAACCAATGCACGCCAAACCACTCAGCCATCAATGGCGTTAAGTTCCTGGGGCCAACGGTACCCCTCCACATGCTATCCACTAACCGCGGCAAAGCTTCTGCCCATAGAAATAAGCTAGCATGGGTGAGCATGAATGCATGTCCTGATAGATCATGACCGCCATCCCACTTGCCCCCTGCACCTTTACACGCTGCTGACGTAAATGCTTGCTCGGATTTGGAAGCCAGTGTAAACGGTTGCGTGTCATAGTTGGGACGGCACGAGCCGCCTGTAACGGTGAAAGTCCGATCCATCAAAGGAGGTCCGAAGAACCATTGGGTAACGAGAATCCAAGCAAGTGTCGCAAGGCCCCACCGTATTAAAGCCTTCGAGCGCGCATGCGTACCATTTGGGTGGCGAAGATTAGTGATGTGAACGAGGAATGCGACGGTGGTCCAAAACCAGCCTATTTTAACAAATAGTACATTAAAAATATTGTTTTTCCTGGAAAAGTATGACGCCGACTGTCCAATAGGCGATATTATGGAGAAGAGAGACCCTAGAACGATGGTAGCCGGGTAAATCAAGGAGATAAGGATGAGGATATGGTGGTGGCTTTCACCGGAAGGAGGTGAAGTGGGATACTGTTGCGATGCAGACAGTTGGGGGGATGGGGGACCCGAGGTTGTCGGAGTCGCTATTTCGGGACCAGAGGAAGACGAATCCCGGTCTTTGTCAGAAGACATCTTCTCGGGTGGGTGAAGGCCAGAATGTAGAGGTTTTTTTTTTTTTTTTTTTTTTTTTTTTTTTTTTTTTTTCGGGTGACGAAACGTTATCTCGAGGTTGTCCGAAAGGCAGCCGAACGAAGTTGATCAGGAAAATCGAACATGGAGGGTCGCACGGTTTGGAGGGGTTTTGTAACTGCTTCGTGGAGGAGGAGGATCGATGGGTTTGACAGAAAGAGGTTCCGGTTAATGTTTCATGAGAATCGAGATGGAGATGAAGATGGAGATGGAGATGAAGATGGAGATGGGTAGGAAAAGGACACATGAAAGAACGAAGGAATGAAATAAAGTGACGTATATGTGCATTTAAGCACGAAGCACCCGCCACAACTAAAAACCTAAATTACTAGCCGATGGTGGCGCACGCTCGAGCTTGTTGGAAATCATACACACGTGACATCCACGAAATAATTATAATTAATAAGCCATAAGGTAAGTCCTAAGTATTTAAGTATTTACAGACGCAGCTAGCAATATTAATAGTAAGTGCATGTACTCCTTAAGTCAAGTGGGTAAGTCTAATAGATTCCGGGTACTATCCTGCTCTTTACAATGCTGGTGTATCTCTTCCAGTCTTCGCCGTATTTAGTCCGGCAGTGGCTATCGTCCCTCCGTTCCCGATTGATCAAGAGAACAGCAAAGTATCCGACATAGAAATAAGTCACCCAGGTGCCGAAGCCTGTGGGGAGACACCACGCCCATCCCATGACCCAGTCTCCCAGATAATTTATATGGCGAGACATACCCCACCACCCGGAAATCAGCAGTTTTCTCCCGGTCTTGGTCTCAATATATTTCAAATGCTTGAGGCTAGGGTCTTCTGGGTTCGTTCTGAATGCGTTCTTCTGAGCGTTCGCACCACGGAAGATGTAATATCCTATGCCCTTGACGAGTAGAACACCAACGACACCGGTGATCCCGAGGTCTAGTGGATATATGGCCAAGTATCTTCCCTGAAGAGAATAGGTAAATGGGACCCAGGCAAGATCCCCGAAACTCAACATATATCCGAAGCCATCAGAAGTAATATCCATGGTTGTGAGAATTGAGGGTTCGTTCCAGAAAGCGTCAAAAATGTACCAAAACTGAAATACGTTGACGAGGACCATCGAATCGGTGACACGACCGATTGTTTGGAATTGGCGAGCAGCAAATGCGAGATTTAGTATAGCCCAGCCCATCATTCCAGGGTGGAGCTCGCAAAAGAGTTTGATATCCAGTTTTCCGATTCTAGGATTGAGTTCTCGACCAATAAACCACTACTTTGTGTATTAGTCTCTTTCTCATATTCTTATATATCTTATCGGGAATGGTGGGAGAAAAAGAGGGAATGGGAAAGAGAAAGGGAAGAAGGAAAAGGAAAGGGGATGGAATAGGGTAGGGTAGGGTAGGGTAAAATAGCAAGAGTACTCACATCATAAAGGTGATTTCCAGTGTTCCCTCCAGCTGCAAGAAGTGGTTTTGAGGGCCTGAAGGAGGCGAGGTAAATGCCACAGGCCAAGACAAAGGAGAACAGATTGGCAGCCGTAAGCAAATGCAGATAGTGGTCCCAGACCCAAGTCCAGAAAGACCATTCCCACCCGTTGAGATATGTACCAAAAGCCAAAGCCCCCATCATGGGGATAAATGTTTCGAGGGCATTGAGGTTATAGATGAGACGCTCTCCAGTCTTCAGAGGGGTGCCTATTCGATCCCGTACGGGGATTGTAACGTTCAAGAGGGCGAGTCCGAGAACATAGGCGACAAAGTAGCCAAGAACTTCGAGAGAGAAGAACTGTTCTCTTGTAGGAAGAACCTGCTCGACATATTGTGTCCAGTTGAGGCGTGTTGGAGGGCAACCATGCTCATTGCAGCCGAAGTAGAGGAGGAATGAGACGGATGGTGCGACGATAGAAATGGCACCGACACCAAAACTGAGGGAATCATAGTGTCATTAGCCATCTGGTATTTGACAATGTATGTTATGTACCTTATATGGTAGTACTATATATGAATAACTCACGGGCCAGCAAAGTCATAGCCATGGCTACGAGCCTGTTTGTCGACGGCACCCTTGGCAGCAGCCATGGTTCATCAACTCCGTAAATCCTAAGCGGTATGATTGGCTCCAATTATTCCAAAAGAACGTTAATGAGGATGGATGAATAGGTGGAGGGATGGATGGATGGATGGATGGATTGATGGATTGGTAGTCGATTCTGATATTTGGTATTCGATATTTGATATTTGGTGTAGTGCAAGTACTTTAAGTAGTTTTTCGCACACGATCGCAAAGCAAATGGTGGCCGGCGTTTCGGTGGACTTTAAGCCGGATACCTAAGACCGGCCCAGGCATGTACCGGAGCTGTCCAATCCCCTCGACTCGCATTTTAAAGAATTTAATTTATAATAAGCACTTCTTGAGTCGGCCGGTCAGTAAGTACCTAACCTAAGGAGGTACTCAAGGGGCATGTTGGCTCGGTTGGGAATAGTAGAATAGTTGGAATCGAAGTCGAGGTATACACGTATACGTATACGTATAAGGTACTTAGTATGTAAGTAAGTACTTAAGTAGTAAGTAGGTACTAGGTGAGTTCTTGGTAAATACTTAAATTAGCAAACATCGCCAAAACTTCAAAGACGGGTGGGTTATCATCAATCAAAATCAATCTCCACGCCAGGAAATCTAAGGAATCCGCCGGGTCCGGTTCATAATAAGTAAGCAGGTACACGTACTTATGTAGGTGCTTTCTTTCTTTCTTCCTTCCTCTAATTCCCGGGCCACCCACTCACTCAAGTACCGTGCTTAGGCTTTCAAAGCACCCATTAAGCATCCTCAAGTACCCGTCTCCCGGGCCGGACCTTAAGCTATAATACCTAATACATAGGTATATATTTATGTATATAGCTTCAAATTTAAATCTCGAGCTATCAGAATGTGGCGCCCAGGAGGCTCGCGAACTTCTAATTTCCTCGCCTCCGCTTCCACCATTGTCGCCGCCGCCCTCCTCATCGGCCTGTCGCAGGCCAACCCCCTCGCCGTGCTCTCCGAACTTCCCGACCCGCCGTGCTCTGCCACCTCAAACAGAACCGGCACATTTGTTGATTTGCATTCTCTGATTCGAAAAGGTCATGACGAGTACGTTCATACTTCATAACTGCTTGATATCAGGGTATTGTCAACTAATTATAATTTTCATCATTACTACCCTCCTAGCAATTATCTTGTTTCGGGCTACGACTATAACTCCAATTTTACCCTCAATATTTGCGCACCGGTTCTATCATCCGACAACCTCGATTTTCACGCTCTCTCCGATGCCCACAACATCTCTGCATTCTACCAAAAAGGTGGAATAACATATTCCTTAGGACGGGCTTCCTCAACCCCGAAGTTCCGAGGCAGGAAACTGATTCTGGAATACACCGGAGGAAGTCTCTGCCCTAAGCTTGATTCTAACGGCGCCCCCGTGGATGGAAAGGATAACGAAGATGGCTATAGAAAAGGCGCTTTGTTGTCCTTCACTTGCGACAGGGAGTTGATCGGGCCGGCAAGGGTCAGCTTCGTGGGCCAGCAGAATGAATGCAGCTATTGGTTCGACGTAAGAACTTCAAGTGCATGCGCTACCGTTAAACAGCAACCTTTGGGCCCCGTAGCCATCTTTGGCATTATGTTAGTCCCACCCCCCGTCATACTCACACTCATAAACCTTGGTTCGCCGTATCGTTACCTGACACACTTGATCCTCTAGATTCCTCGTCGCATTGCTAGTATATTTTATCGGCGGTTGTTTTTATCAAAGGACAGTCCTGCATGCTCGCGGTTGGCGGCAGGTACCTCATTGGCAAACCTGGCTCGGAGCCCTCAACTTCATATGGGTAAGGAGATTACTTTTTCCTGCCAGATGGTTTTCGTTCCGTCGCCCGGGCTAAATTCCCGCTGCATTCGTTGTTTCTCCTGCCTTCGATCTTCCTCCATGATTCTCAGCCCGGTGGGAAATTCGATTTCCCTTTTGGACCCTATCGTCTTCCTCCCAACCTGTCCTAAAAGCACATTTATGTATGAAGTGCACCGATGTCCGTATATAGCACATACTGTTTATCACACCGTTCTTTTTCGCACCGCAATTAAAACACTTCCCCTTTTCTCTTTGAATGCACAGCCAGATTTATCCGTTTACGGAAGCTAATATTCGTGGTTTCCATACCGTAGGATGCCATCCGGATATGTATATTCTCAGTGACAACCTTGTGCGGCCGCGCGGGGGGCCGCGGACGCACAGGCAGGTTCGGTGGGTATGCCCCCGCTTCTGGCGAAGGCGGGGGGTTTGGGAGGGCTAGTTTCGGAGCTAGAGCTGATGAATGGGCGGACGGCGAAGACGAAAATAGGCTTATAGACCAGCTGGATGACGAGTGGAGTGACGGCTAGTTCCGCGCGTGTCTGCCCATTGGTTTTATATTGATCTTTATCTTTTCCTCTTTGCTGTGTTTTCATTCTTTCCATGTATATATTAGCCATCAGATACATATCGATACCCAGGTCTGGCCAGATATTCCCCTTCGGCTGGAGTTAGGTCTGGTATGCCGTACTAATCATTATTAGTTTGTACTAGCTACTAGCTACTATACTTTGAATTCGAATAATTCAGGTGCCTTAGACGTATCAATATAATATTGGCTCCTCTTCCTTTCCTAAAACGGATCTGCGATGCAATGTGGCTTTACAAGCTTTATGTAGCCACATCTACACATTTCGATTAGTTTAAATTTATCTTGTGTGGCGTATAGCATGCACCACTGTATGCATATTTCCCCAAGTTATGTAAGTATACGTTCCAGCTGATAGCTGATGGAATCGAATCGATCCTCGGATAAAGCGATGGGTAGCATCGGCACAAAGGCAACATTTGCAACCAAAATCGGTAGCGAGACGCATGGCAATCCTGGCTCGGTTTAAAAGGTCGCATGGAGAGAGCTCGAGCTCTCGAACTCTACTCCTTCCCCACAACTTTCTATTGAACTTCATCCACATTAATTTGTATACAATCTAGGTGAGTACTAGATGTATCCTATATGCCCCTGTTTCTTCTTGAGAAATAGACCCGAATTGACTATTTATTTTCGTACCTGTTCCTGTGGTTCTAGTGTACCAAGCTTCAGTCGTTGTTCTATCCACACCAGTCAAATCTTACGGCAATAATGAGCAATTATAAACCTATTCCCTTGGGCGAGTATCTTTTCCGAAGAATCAAGTCATTGGGTATTTCACACATTTTGGGATGTCCCGGCGATTTCAATTGTATGTGTCCGCAGCCCAAGGTGCTATAATTGGTTCGTTTTCGCTAAAACTACAACATTCCTTAGTAACACTGCTCGATCATATATATAATGTTGACGGCCTTAGTTGGATTGGGTGCTGTAACGAATTGTGAGTTTACTCTGATACATCTTTCATAGTGTAACTTGTAGTTTTTTTTGCAGTAATCCTACTGACTACGTTTTGATCATAGGAATGGAGCATACGCCGCCGATGGATATGCTCGAGTTCGGGATCTTCCCGGGGTCCTCGTGACCACATATGGTGTTGGGGAACTCAGTGCCATGAATGGAGTAGCAGGAGCTTATGCCGAGGTGAGATATGGCTTCACCTTCACGGGCTCTGTTTAGTTTGACTTACTGGATTCGTATAGCATGCTGGGTTTATCCATATCGTTGGCAATACTTCCCGCCAATTGCAACAGAACAAGATCATGATACATCATACCTTGGAAGCGAACCCGGACCATGGTGTTTACAGGGGAATGTCGGGGCCAATTCGGTCTACAAGCGCTTTCTTGGATGATGAAGCAACAATGGCCTCTGAGATTGACCGTGTCCTTTTTACTGCCATTAAAACGAGACTGCCGGTTTATCTATTCGTGCCTACGGATGTGGTGGACACTCCACTCAATGCGGCTCGTCTAGAGACACCGCTTGACCTCAATCTTAGCACTAGGCCCGAGACGGAGGGCTTAATCGTGAACAAGATACTCGAAGCGATTGAGAAGTCTAGGAAGCCATGCATTCTAGCTGATGTTCTGGCAAAGCGCCATGCAGCTACGAAGCAAACCAGAAGATTGATTGAACTCGCTGGATACCCGGTAGATACCATCTTCGAGAGGAGCTATTGCATTTGACCTAAAGCTAATAATAACCCGAAAGGCTTTCTCTACGATTCTAGGGAAGGGCTTGGTCGATGAGACGTCCCCTCTGTTCGGTGGGATGTACAATGGTTCAAGTATGAATATCATTCCTGAAATGCGACACTTATGTAGTCGGTGGCGCTTCGCTGCACGATGTCAAGGAGGCGACTGAATCATGTGCTAAGCAAAATTTTACTATAGTGTCTTTCCCAGGTATCAAAGAAGCCGTTGAAAACGATGCCGACCTGATTCTCAATATCGGCCCTCATCTTACATCTTCCAACACTGGTGCATTTACTCGGCAGATACCCGAAAACAAACTAATCGTCCTCCATCCCCACTACTGCTCAGTATTCGGGGAGCGCTTCGAAGGAATACACTTCATTCCAGTTCTGGGCGCCGTCCTTCAGGCATTTGAGAAGGATGCCCAGAAATTTAGGAAGGGCAACACTGTTACTAGGTTCCAGGTAAGAAGACATAGGACTGGTCGTATGATGGTGGGAATGTATATCAGGACTACGTTCTAATATAGAATCCGTAGAACCCGATACTAGACGATAGCACATCTGGGCCTTTGAAACAGTCGTATATCTGGCAACGTATCGGACGTTTCACGAAACCAGATGATATCGTATTCGTTGAAGTTGGGACCTCGCAATTCGGAATGCCTGATGCAACACTCGCTGCGAACGTTCAATACGAAACCCAGATCTATTGGAGCTCTATCGGTTATACAGTAGGGGCAACACTTGGTGCACTTGTTGCTGCAAGAGAGAACGGCCACAAAGGAAGGGTCATTCTTGTTGTTGGTGATGGGAGCCTTCAAATGTCCGTACAAGAGATCTCGTCGTACATCAGAAACGGATTTACTCCAACTATTTTCCTGATCAACAACGACGGATACACCATTGAGAGGGAAATACATGGGCCAGAACAACAGTATAATGATATTTGTACATCATGGGATCATATGAAAATGTTGGATTTCTTCGGTGGGCGACAGAAAGGTTTCAAGAGTCGAAGCGTGGAGGCTCGCACGGTCGAAGAGCTTGAGGAGATTATGGGCGACAGCGAATTCATCAGCAATGATTGTATACAGGTATGGCGATCAATCAACCATAGCCAGGCTATCTATATTTGGAACCTGCCCGAAATGCTAACTTCTTTTTTTTTTTTTTTTGAAACAGCTCTGCGAAATCTATGTGGACAAGTTTGATGTGCCTTGGATCCTGAGGGGGCAGGTGGATGCGCATAAAGCTAGACTAAAGGTTGCTGGTGAGCAACAGAAGAAGACCTGGGAAAGCTTAGTTCTAGCGGGAACGTTTGTTTAGAAGCTGTAATTACTTAGTAACTTTATCTACGTCCATTACATAAGTAAGTACTAAGTAGATACTAAGTACTTATATATGTAAATGTATATGGTATGTACATGCCAACCAACAGGAGCTGACTTTGTAATTATTCTTATTATCTTCATTTTTTTTTTTTTGAACGCGGGTGGCAATATATTTGGAAAGTCCGAGCAAATGAATGCTTATTATTTAGATACAGTACCGAAGTGCACCTGAAGCTGTCGGCTAGCTTAGAGGATGTAATTTGGTATGCATAACGCCGATGGAAACTTGGATGTTGCAGACATGCCTAAAAAGATAACAGCCGATTGGATGAAGTCACGATTTGGACCAGAACAGAAGCTTTAGCCAAGCAGAAACATTCCAATACAAATCTGACATCTGCCATCACCCCCCGGGTACCCACTTAGCTACTACTACCACAGTAGATGCGAGGTGTGGGGAAGGCATATTTGAGCGAGACAGATCCAATCTCTCCTGATTTTGCCAAGCTTATAAGTCGGATGGCAAAAAGAAGATTCTCGTTGTACTGATTAGGAGGATGAATTGAGCTGTCGGGGTCTTTGGGATTGATCCCGAGGAATTAATTTGGGCAGCTTAGGTGTGGCTGGCAGATGATTTCATTGGTGCGTGAGAATTAACCAGGAGAAAAGGGAAAGAAAGAAAGACCAAAAAAAGGGGGGGAAGAACAAAGTCCTTGATACGATTACTACGAGAGGCGACAATGTAAGATGGGTTCCTGCAGGATGCATCAAACATGGGATGTCATATTCTCCAGGTACTAAGTACTTACTACATGGACAGGTCTGGCATGGCGGTCATGGCCGAAAAGGGTTTCTCAAACAAAACAACTCTCGAGATACCTCAATCTTCAATGACACCTTACACATCAGATCGGATCGGATCAGAACAGACCCAAATGAGTACTACGTGCATCTACGTACCCAAATATCCCAATGCAATTAATTCAAATGTCTTCAACCGCCAACAGTTTACGGAGTAATTTTTAGTTGATGACTGACTACCAACGGTTCAGTAACGTTGGTTTGTGCCAACGAACCACTCGTTTAATTGACCCGCACGAATCGAAGGCCCGAGGGTTACATTCGGGTGATTTCCCCTTCAAATTCTCCCTTCGATGGGCTTCACAGCACATATTGGGTACGGCAAGACCAGCGCGATTATTTAAAATTGAGTTTCTTGGCGGCTAACTAATCGTTCGTTGAAGCTCTGAGCCAATCATCCGGAATCCCAAGCGAGGCCAGTCAGATCTGTTCTGTTCTAATGAGAAATGTTTTTCCCGATTGCCGTCTGTTTAATTTCGGCTTGGTCGAGCTGAGACTCATTGCACACACAGTACACACCTGTACATGTGTACATACATACATACATGCTTTGTCCGAACATAGTATGTATGTGTGTATGTAGCCCATATGCTGCCTTCCAGTTGGTTCACAAAGATTCCCACCATGGCCTTCCATGCATGGCTGATGCACCGTCCTTTGACAGCAGCACCGGACAGGATTGGATAAGAAGAGCGGTTTGCCAATGAACAGGCGACAATGGTGGACCCGGGCCATGCATGTTTATGTTTGCATGCAGCCGACTGGTGTGCCTCAGGCACTGCCAGTACATACTACTGTGTGCTAGTACGGAGATGTAGTAGCAGGTACTTGCAGGTTGACTTATCGGCTCCCCTGATGGAGGTAACCCCCTTCTAATCTTAAAGTTGCCGCCCCTGTTATGGTTGTGTGCCTTTTTGCCCTTTGTCAACGACCAGGGCCCTAACGAACGAACGAAATTACACCCACACACGGAGGGAGGGAGAGAGTAGTCTGGTAAGGCTACACTGGGGTGCCTGCAAATCCACTCACACCCTCACCTCATTTGTTGGTCGGTCAAAATGCTGCCATGCGCATTGGGCATGGGTCCTCGCATGGAAGACAGCCCCAATCCATGAAGGTCTGTTTTTTCCCACCCCTATTCCCATTCTCCCAAATTGGGCATTGCATCTGCTGTTACTCCGTACCTACACACATACACAATACTATGTATGCAGTGGAAGGGAGAAGGGGGGAAAAAAAGAAAAGAAAGAAAAGAAGAAGAAAAAAAAAGAAAGAAAAAAAAGGCAACGCCGAGTCCTAGTCCCAGTGGGCAATAATGGGCAATAGGTGGGAAAATAAGGGGGAAGACTTTGAAAGTTTGCGGCGGAGATAAGTCCAGAGGCGGCGTCAATGGACGAGTATAAGGAGCCGTCGAGTCCCCAAGCAATCCAGACTTTTCTTCCCTTCCTTCTCCACCACAGTCAATTCCTTCCAGGTCTTCACTACTGCCTTCGGTTTTCTAACCACAGTCACTCTTTTTAACCCATACACTCTTTTTGTGCTTATTGCCTAATCTAATTAGTCCTTTTTCAACTTACATTCTTAATACTCCTAAACGGACGTACTTTTAAAATAGTAATATAATCCAATCCCAATCAATCACAATGCATTTCACTACCATCCTCGCTACCTCCGCCGCCGTCGGTGGTGCCCTTGCCGGTGTCTACCAGGAAGAGCCAGTCTACTACACCTCCGCCGAGCAGGTCTACACCTCCATCAAGACCTGCACTGACAAGCCAGTCGCCCCAACCACCGACTCTGTCTACGTCCCAACCAGCGAGCCAGTCTACGGTGGTGAGGAGCCAACCACTGAGGCTCCAGTCTACAACCCAGAGCCCACTGGATACGGTCCCTCCGAGGTCACCTACACCAGCTACGATGTCATCACCGTCACTTCTTGTGCCGGATATGTCACCGACTGCCCAGCTGCCACTTACACCTCTCCAGTCTACTCCGTAAGCACCTGCACTGATACCCCAGTCCCAACCGGTGGATACGAAGTCCCAAGCAACAACACCGCCACCTACGAAGTCCCACCACCAACCTACGAGACCGAGACCCCAGAGTACCCAACCTCTGTCCCAGTCTACGAGAACCCATCCACTACTGATGTCTACACCCACACCTACTACACCACCGTCTGCCCTGGAAAGGACTACTGCTATGCTACCACCGTCACCTCCACCTACTGCCCTGGAAAGCCAACTGAAGTCCCAAGCTACACCAAGCCAGTTGAGGTTCCAAGCTATACCAAGCCAGTTGAGGTCCCAAGCTACACCAAGCCACCAGTTGACACCCCCACCTATACCCCACCTACCCCCAACTGCCCAGGTGGTGACTACTGCCCACCAACCCCACCAAAGAACGAGACTGAGACCCCAACCTACACTCCACCACCAAGCTACACTGGTGCTGCCTCCACCAACTTCGTTTCCTTTGGCGTTGCTGCCGTTGCTGGTCTTGCCGCTCTCTTCATTGCTGCGTAAACAATCAATTTTCCTTTACGTCCTTTGAATGAATGGGTTCAGCGAATCATGTAAAATGCATTTTTTCTTTCATTTGTATTACTATTTTTAAAGTTTCTTCGATAGGGGCGATGTAGATTAAGTTTGGAGAATGAAGTCTTAAAATAATATATAACCCGCTGCCAATAAACACATAAGCAATTTAGATGTGAATACCAGTGAATCATTGTAGACAGAAGTATAATGTTAGATACATGATGATATTTACTTGTAGTGTTTTTATGCTTGGAGTATGGTTTTGCGTTGTTGTGGTTTTTCTGGATAGGTAACTTCTGTGTGACCTGGCAACTCACTCGACTGGAGCCGGCTGTGCATTGTGACTCAATTGCTCCTTAGCCACAATATAAAGAAAGAAAGAACAGAAAACCATGCGATGCGATCTTTTCTTACGTTTTCCAGTAACGACAACTTCGCAATTTTTCTTACGCGGTAGATTGTATCCAATTACACTACAATACCCTCTGTATTCGACTTCTCGCTCGTACCATCATCATAACTTCATGATGACAAGAGGTAGCCGCTCTTCGAGAGGCGGGCGCCGAGGTGGGATGGACAGAATCGAACAGGTCTCGAGGGCGTTGTCGAGAACGCTGCGGCATAGTGCGCATGAAGAAAAATTAAATATAAGGGAGGATGGATATGTCAATGTTGAAGAACTTGTACGTACTCCTTTCTTCTTTCTTCATCCCTCTGTGTACAAAAGTGTATTTTATTTTATTTGGATGTTTATTTTTTAGGTACAAAACTGACAAGCTCTCGCATTCTAGCTAAATTCGAGGAAATACAAAGATCTCCAGCTCGACTTCCCGACACTGTGTCAAGTGGTCCAAGAGAACTCGAAGAAACGGTTTAAGATCATACGTGAGGTTTCCGACTCAGCATCGACACCTCCGCTTCTTAGTAGCGTCAGTGCGGCCACTTCGACAGAGCCGTCGGTTTCAACGGATCCAAAAGTTAAGGTATCCGGTGTCGAAGACTTTCTACCAGACTTTGATAATGATCCTAATCCCGACCCGAGTCACTACTTCATCCGTGCAAACCAGGGTCACTCGATTTCTATTCAGGATGACTTGTTATTGCAGCCGATTGATGAACAGAACGTCCCAGATATATGTGTACATGGAACATACTACTCGGCTCTAACACTGATTCTCCAAAGCGGAGGGCTCAAGAAGATGACCCGCACGCATATTCATTGCGCTGCGGGTTTACCAAAAGCATCCGTTCACCCGGAAACTGGGGAGGAGATTCCGGCAGTTCTTAGTGGCATGAGATTTGATGCCGAAGTATTATTTTACATTGATATTCTTAAGGGCGTGCAAGATGGGCTGAAGTTTTGGAGGAGCGACAATGGTGTCATATTAACAACAGGGAGGGAAGAGGAGGATTGTCTACCGATGGATTATGTTCTACGGGTTGAAGACGTAGGTGGTAGGGCGGGAGGAGGTGAACTGTGGACGAGGGATGAGGGTGTCATAAAGGAATGGCCAAAGACCGGGAAGGGAAAGTCGGCCCCCAGATCCTCTAGAAATGGTCAGAGCAACGGAGGTGGGAGAGGGGGCAGGGGTCGGTCTAGGCCAAAAGTACGGGTCGAAGATGTTTTGGATGATGTGTCCGAAACTCTAGATAATACTAAAATATGAACAGTGATAGCCTTACAGTATGTACATGTACAGTAGCACACATCTATAAATTCATACCTCCATACATACGACCGGTTGTGGTTGTCTTTGACGTTTACCGTGAAAAGCAGCATAGGTCTGGGGTATATAGGGTATACGCCCACATGATCAAAGCAAAGACGCCAGCACTATGCTGGTATACCCGCCGACTAGGCTACTTCGAGTCTCGAGGCCTGACAGTGACACTAGCTAATTCCAAGCAAGGGTATCCGAATTTGTGACCTTTCCTCCACTAGCTGGTTCTGGATTTGGTTGCGGTTTCAGCTTGGCCTTTGCACGAGATTCTGCTGCCCGCTGTGCTTCTTCCCGTCGCTGCAGTTTGGATCCAACGTTAGCTAGATGCGATGAAAGAAGATGCTTTGTAGGAGATGGTTCTTACAGCTGCCGCGGCTGCCGCAGCATTTCCTGCGGTTGAGGGCATGGAACTTGTCGCTCCACCACCGCCACCACCACCGCCACCAGATGTCTCGTTCCCATTACTGCTGCCCCCTAAAGTATGTCCCGGCCCAGAAGTCTTGTAATTTGGCCTCGCCGTTCGGGCTGGTTCTGCAGAAGCCTCATAATCTTCCTTGCTGCCGCCGCAGCCCATTTTTATTGACTAGCTTTGGTTGGTAGGCAAGTGGTTGATCGGTTGGCTGGTTAGAGGGTCCTGCAAGTGGAGGACTGTGATGGTGTCCCTTGGATTCTACCAGGCGCTGTGAGGTATGATTGGGATGAGATGGGGGCGATGGCTTGTTATGTGTGAGGGTGTTCCTACATAGTAATTCCGGCAGGTCAACGCGCAAACTGGTTGGCGCTGGCGCGGCGTGGCACGGCGTGGCGACCCAATTTTCGGCTTGCTCTGCCGGCTGGAATTCAAAAGGTCCGATATCCGATCGGGATTAAGTAACGTTGGTATTCTTAAGAGTACATGCATTCTTAAAACAGCCTAGGCCCGCTGCTGCTGCTACTGCTACTGCTACTACTTATTAAAGTACTTGGAACGCTGCGCAGGACTATGGGGACTACGAAAGGAAACGAAAGCAAGCAAGAGTGTTCGGCGGCGACACTATGTTGTGCGTTAGTGAGCTACGGTTTAAATTGGACGGATGGGTCGATGGATGAATCGGTGCCATCTCGGAAACACGGTACGCATCTTCACACTCCATATGAGAGAACAGGCCTTAAAGGACATTGTACCTTCCGGTCGTCACTGCCCTATTCTCGCTATCCACCGCCGCTGCGGTACCTTCAGCCAAAAGTCTCTTCAACTCCCTCATAGCATTAGTAACGACGAGTTCTGTATCTCCTTCAACAAGGATGTATAATTTGGGGTCTTGTCCGGCCGCTGGTGCTTTTCCTGCCGCGTAGTATGAACCTTTCGTTGTAATAGAGGTACCCGTTGCCTCCAAAACTTTGGCAATGTTGGTACGGTTTGTGACAGCCCATCTTGCCTTCTGAGGGAAATCATTGATCTCCAGAGTCGCATGATATGCCCCAGCGTCAGGCCCTTTGTTGTCGATAGGGGCACCCGATCGTAGCACATTTGCTTTGGTGAGGCGCTTTTGGATGTCAGATGTAGCAGCAAGAACCTTGTCAAGCACTGAATTCGCCGCAGCTGCGTTTGAAGCTCCTGAGGGACTGCCTGCCGCCGCCGCCGCCGCCGCTGCCAACGCTGCCAACGCCGCGGGGTCACGTTTATGGACGACAATGGCATCATCGAGATTAGGGCCTTTAGACCCAGTAGTGGTTGCGGCAATGGCCGTTTTAGTTTTGACTTCCTCGCCCTCGGCGTCTGGCTCTTCTCCTTCGTTTCCTTCTTCACCGTAGGCTTTTCGTTCCCTTTTTCTTGCCGTCTCACGCTCTTGATCAAGTCGATCGAGACCTTTACCTCCGAACCCTGAGCTGCTGGCCTTTTCTTTACCGGCTTTGACTTTCTCCGTAAAGGCTTTACATTCTGCGGTTAGCGTAACCCAACCTGAAATATAAGGATTCGCTAGACTTACAGCTGACAAGTTTCTGGACCTCTTCTGGGACGTCTTGCCCACTTAGCTTCAGTGCTTTTGCAATATCATGGGCATACCTTTCCTGATCGGGTGTGATGAATGTCACTGCGGTTCCCTTGTTGCCCGCACGGCCAGTCCTACCAACTCGGTGTACATAGTCTTCCATGTGGTTGGGGCAGTCGTAGTTGACGACTAGCTTAAGCTGCTTGACGTCCAAACCGCGTGCTGCTACGGATGTTGCAACTAGTACTTGGCTTACCCCGGCTTTGAAATCGGAAATCGTCGAGTCTCTGTCAATTTGGTCTTTACCTCCGTGGAGGGACATTGTCGCATAGCCCCGTTTCATGAGATCACTGAGTAAAGAATCAGCTGACTCTTGTCTGTCAACAAACACAAGTGACCGGGCATCATCCTCCTTATCGTAGAGCTCGCCTAGAATTTCGAGCAGCCTGGCGAATTTAGTAGTTTCCGTCCTTACTTCAACAATCTGGCTTACTTCCGCGGCTACTACACTTCGCGCTCCGACGACTATCTCAACTGGTTTGATTAATACCTTGCGTGCAAGCGCTTCCATCTAGAGCCTTGTTAGTAGTGTAATATCATATTAAACAAATAAACCGTTGTAAGAAAGGTACTCACCTGCGAGGGGAAGGTAGCCGAAAACAAGACCGTTTGTCTGTCCGGTCGAATGTTCCCAATGATTCTCATAACTTGGGGTTCAAACCCCATATCAAACATTCGATCTGCTTCATCGAGTACAACATACGTGACTCTTTTCAAATTCGTTACCCTGCCAGAGTTTGCCGCAAGGAGGTCGATCATTCGTCCCGGGGTGCATACAATAAACTCAGCTCCTCTTTTCAGCTCCGCGATTTGATCTTTGATAGGTGACCCGCCGTATGCGCAAACTCCCTGTGGGGGAAAAAATAGAAGAAGAAAAATTAGTTAAATAAACCATCGTAAACTAAGTAGTGAGTTTTACCCTTAAATTTAGAGCTTTTAGGAAAGGCTTGCTTTCTTTGAAGATTTGGGTGGCGAGTTCTCGAGTGGGAGTCATGACAAGAGCAATAGGGCCCTCCAGATTCTCGAGGGGCCTTTGGTCTTTGATATGGCGGAACATAGGGAGCAAAAAGGCCATTGTTTTCCCTGATCCAGTTTTCGCAACACCAATCACGTTGCGCCCGGACATGATTGCGGGGATAGCTTGTGCCTGGATTGAGGTGGGTTTCTCGTACTCCAATTTGTTGATTACATCTAAGGTAGCAGAGGGCAGCCCAAGCAAACTCCATTTTTGGACAGGCTTTGGGCAGTTTGCACCCTTTCCTCCCCTGGGATTAATAGGGCATCAAAAAAGCTATTAAGATAAAGCGGTACTCACTCTGACTTTGATGCCATCTAACACCAACCTGAGATCATTGACTTCCTGAGTTGACATATCTGCGAGCTCGGCAGGTTCAACGTAAAAACTCTTGCGGAAAGGCTCATACTGAACTTTAGAATGATCAACTGTTGGTAGTTCTTTCTTTTTCTTCATCTTGGATGCCATCGCTAGGATATCGTCCGGGTCGTTTACAATAGCCGTGAGATTATCGTCGTCGTCTCCAAACATGGCCTCGGCGAGAGCGGGTCCTTTTTGAGGTTTGGGGACCCCTGTGGCCGTTGATGCAATGTTCGACATGAAGGCGTCTAGAGGATCGATATCTTCTTCCTTTTCCGTGTTCATCTGACTTTGAGTCTCTGGGACAGTTTCGTCAATCTGCATTCTTTCGCCACGCTCAACAGCCGCAGCACGTAAAGCCTCGAGGTCGTCTTGCATATCAACATCATCATCCCCTTCATCAACTGGCGGCTCGCCGGTAGCGGTGTTGATATCATCCGGTTTTGGAGAAGGAAGTCTTTCGAGCTTCTTCCTAGCAACGTCCTCATCACCAAAATCAAGAGCACGTTTCCCTTTTGACTCTGTTCCTGGCTTCTTGGAGCTACCTTTGAACCCGAATCCCGACAACCCAAGCACCGGGATTGCGGCCTTCGATATTTCAACTAGGAACAGTATTAGTACCAACAATTTGTGTTTTTATTTTTTTTTATCTTAAAAAGAAACCGGTACGATCAGACTTGCCTAAAGTTGGCTTTCTCGAAGCTGGAGGTAATCTGTCAGCGTTGGAATCCTTTTGTTTCTCAGAAATGGGGGTGGACGCTTTTAGACTAGTTGAATCTTCATCTTTAGCTGGGGCAAGCGGGGCCGTATTTGTTGTCGGCGAGAGGATGGATTGGTCTGCTCTAAGGGAAATTGAGGCGTTGGCCTTTGCTTGATCTGCTTCGGCCTTTTTCTTCTTCCAGGCCTCCAGTCGCTCTAATCTCTCGCGTTTTTTGTCCTCTTCAGTTTGTGGAGCGGATGGTGCAGGCGTAGCTGGTGACTGAGCACAAGTTAGTATGAAGATTTTGCCAGGACATGCATTCAGTCGACCAACCTCATGACGACTATTGCGCTTAGAGTCTTCTCCCCGATCGCGGTCTCGTCTGTCGCTATATCTCGCGCGGTGGGAAGGGGATCTGGATCGCGATCGGTCTCGGGAATCGCGGGCTCGGTCGGGGGATCTTATCCTATGTCGATGGTCACGATCACGAAATCTATCCCTGGAGCGGTCTCGTCTATCCCTACCGCCTCGGTGCCTATCCTCACGGTAACGGTCGCGTTCACGGTCGTAGTATCTCTGGGTCCAGGTATTAACAACATGATATGCCAATTAGGTGCTGGAAGGAACTAACCTCTCTGCTCCTGCTTCGATTCCTGTCGTATCGGTCATCCTCACGATATCTCTTGCTTGATGTGCCCGGGGACCGGGACCGGGACCGATATTTCGCCATGTGACAGCTGTTATTCTTTTGTAGTACGGAAAGTTGGAAAGAATGGAAGGGGATCGATAGTGATTAAAGTAAAGAAGTTGAGTCTCGAAGCTGGGTTAGTGGTACCGGTAGTGTGTCAAGCCACGACCAGGGCTTGGCTAACCTGGTCCGCCATATACACTTCCCAGGTATGTGATGGAGACGGCAAAACCCAACACAACCACCTATGCGCATGCGCACGTGCATATGGTATATACTCTGTATGGCATCTGGATACATCGATCAAAAATTCGTTTAATACTTCGGGGACGGGCATTTACGTATATATGGCTAGCTCAGGAAGTGGTCAAGTAAACAGTATATTACGTCACAGCTAGGAGGGTGAGTAATAAGGGTTTTGGAAGAGGAAAATTAACGGAACTATAGACCAAAGGACTTGGTAACAAAGAAAAAAGCTTATCTATTACATACAAATTATAATTATTGTAAGAGAGTCAAGGACCTTGAAGCGAGCCAGGGAAGTGCCGGAACGGAACGTAGAACAGAACGAAATGCTATGGGCAAAGTGATAAGGAACAAGAGAATCAAAGTTTGTAGAGCAATTACAATAACTGAATAGAAAAAAGGAAGGAAGAAAGGCTGCGCGTGCGTTTTGGCCGTGACTACAAATCGAAATGCTTTGTGGGGATATCTTGCGGATTAATGTCGAACCATCCTTGGATTCGTGAACTTTGAACACAGAAGAAAATATCAAAGGCGGTCCATTTTCCAGGAATTATTAATGGTTTGTAGGGGGGTGCAGGAGGAATTACATGACACAGATCAATCGCCGGTCGTAAGGTAATGGAGATCCTACCAATAAAAAAAAAAGTATTGCCTGAAGGAAAGTGACATTAAAGGTGTGTATATGCGTTCATGCCCTATTCGTGAATGCCTCTAGCTGACGGCCGCTTTGCCGTGCAACTAAGCCTTAGATCCGTCTCCAACGGTGACAGCAGGTGCAGTAGGAAGATCGGTAATCTTCTTCTCACTCTCGGTGGCAGGAACGTCGGGAAGAACGGGTGCGATGCTTAGCGGCTCTGTCTTTACCGGCTCTTCGGTTGTAGCCTCTGCCTGAGGTTCGGACTCGGTGATGGCGGTGGGCTGGGCTTCCTCCTTACCCTTCTTCTCCTTATCCTTCTTCCAGAAGCTGAGACTTCGGCGTGGTTTATCTTCTCCGTCGGTAGACTTGTCCCGCCTTAAGCTCCCAAAGATACCGCTAGGCTTGCGCTCACGCGGGGATTCGGCCTCGGTGTCGCTCTTGACGGGCTCCTGGGTCTCGACAGCAACTGGCTGTTCACCGGCATCCGGGAGGGGCTCATGGGTAGCAGGGGCAATTTGAGCTTCGGTTTCAGGGACAGCCTCTGGCGATTTGGCCTCGCCCTCTTCTTCGACAGCTGGAGAATCTTTCTTTTCTTCCTTTTTCTTCGCAAAGAGACCTCCCAAGAAGGACTTGCGATTGGAGGCCTTCGGCGAAGTGACAGGGGATGTTTCAGCCTTTGGCTCCTCGGTAGGAGTGGCTTCGGCTTGAGGGGCAACTGGTGCTGGCTCTTCGATCACTGGAGCGGTTTCTTGGAGTGGAACCACAGGCGCCTCAGCTGTTGCTGGAGCGGTTTCTTCTTTTACCTCGGCTAGTTTGCAATACTGAATAAGTTCAAGTCCTTCCACCTACCTATCTAAAAGTAGACACGATCGTGTTGACTTACCGACTGGTGGTTGTTCCTCCTTGACTTCGTCCTTCTTTTCTTCCTTCTTGCCGAAGAAGGAGAATCTGTTCAAGCGATTTCTCGAGGACGATCTCTTCTTCTCATCCTTCTTTTCTTCTTCCGGCTTAAGAGCAGAAGATTCAGCAGCTTCTTCCTCGACAACTGGGGCAGTAACCTCAGCAGGGGTCTCCTCAGCCTCTTCGCCTTCCTTCTTAGCATCGACTGGCTCCTCCTTCTTGGCTGCGACGACAGGGGCTGGCTCTGCGCGTAGACCGTTAGGATGCACTATCCAATATTACGGCGGGGCCAACTGAACACTTACTAGTGAGCTTCTCGAGGGCAGCTTTGAATCCATCGGTCTCGGATGTGGTAGCATGAATGCCTTCGGATTCAGCGACCTTGATCTTTAGGGTGTGGACCCATCTTTCACGGAGAGCAGCGGTATTTGCCTCCAATTGAAGTTCGTGTCCTGCGCTCTTAATTGTGAACTTCTTGTCACCTTGGGTGGTGATATCCGCGCCATCCTGTTTGCAGATTTAGCATGAGCATGGGAGTTGATTCTCAAACTTGCAAGGGGATATAAAACCGGGTCTTACCAATCTGACAATTCCACTTGGCTTGGTCTTGTCGGCCTTGGTGTAGAATAGGAGACCCTTTCCAGTCTGTGTGGCATGCGCGTATGTGGCATGACCAGCCTTGGTCTTTTCCTTCTTTAGGTATTCGCCAAGATTCTCCTCGGGGATAGCTTCTTCAGAAAAGTAAAATGTGTGTTTCTTCAAGAAGATTCTACCAGACGCCATTCATTTCATTAGCTACAGGATAATAGTGCTTCACCATCCCCTTTCCAATGAAGGACAGTCAATTACTTACGGGATAACAGAGAGGAATTTTGTTTCCAAAACACCCTCTGAGATCGGCTCGATCTCCTTTGGAGCCTCGGCTGGTGTCTCAGCATTCTCAGCAGCAGGTTCTGTGGCCTCTGTCTGAGCGGGGTCCTCAGTTTTATCAACAGGTGTTGGTTCGGCAGTTTCTTGCTTAATTTCAGGGGTTGCTTCTACGGTTGGCTCGACTGTTGGGGCAGCGGCCGATGGCGCCTCGGTTGTAGCTTTGATGTCCGACATGGTGGTATCTAAAATAAAAAGATAAAAGGAAACTGCAGGGTACGTTAGTAACGAGAAACGTGTGTTAAGTAATCCAATAAGGATTGGAGTCAGGCTAGGTGTATGTATACTTGGAGGGACAGGGGAGGGTGGGGTTTTAAGCGGTTTGTGGGATGGATAGACGACAAACTATGAGGAATGGAATGAAACAAGGAAAGGAAAGGAAAAGAGGAAGAGGAAATGAAGGGAAAAGAAAGGGGAGAAGGATGGAAGAGGGGAAAGAAATATAATATAGACACTGGACCAGAGAGAGGGAGAGAGAGAGAGAGAGAGAATTCCCTACGAGCTCTTTGGGATTGAAAATGGCCCGTTGGTCTGCGGTTAGAGTGAAGCGCATGTGTCTCCTCTCCTGTCTCCCGTCTCCTGTGTGTTCGCAAGGAACACACACACACGGTGCAGAGATCGGTGGACCGTGCGTGCACCAAGAGCCTACTCTTACGCCATACTATCGGCGTATTTGAGAGTTTGGTCATAGAAATAACCAAGGAAGAGGGAGACGGAGATGGAGATGGAGATGGAGAGGGGAGTTTGAGAGTGTAGTACGTGTGCGATTAGCTGCTTGGGCTTGGATACTTACCGCTATATAAACTGATGGTTCACGTCAAGACTATCTCGACTTTGATGTATTTTGAAGTTGGTAGCAGGAGAAGAGTAAAAGTAAAAGGTAAGAGGTGAGAGCAGAAGTAGAAGTAGGAGTAGGAGTGTGTGTAAGAAGGAGTAGGAGTGTGTGTAAGAAGGAGGATGGAAGGATGGGAGGATGGAAGGGGAGGATAAGAATAAGAATAAGAAGCAGGAGCAGGAGCAACAGCAGAAGCAACAGCAGCAACAGCAACAGGAGGAGCAGAAGAAGAAGAAGAAGAAGAAGAAGAAGAAGAAGAAAAAAAAGAAAGAAAAAGATTAATTCTTGAAGGCTTCGAATCTGAACCTGATCCTGGTGTGCTACGGGAAAGGGCCTCTTTGGGACTTCTCATTATATAACAAAATTTATTACTTCTGACTCGATGCAAGGAAATTAATATTTGATAGCTGCGACACTCGACCCGACTCCACGACACTACTCCGTACTATTACTTACTCTACCACTACTACATACTACCACTACATACTCCATATTCTTACCACTGCTTTGATATGGGATTCGGATTCGGATTGGTACTGGGTGACACGACCCCGGGCATGGCAAGGCCACTGGATTCGATTTCAGGTTCAATCTCTTTTGGATGGTACGTTATATCCTTAGCTTACATACATAGCACATACATACAATTCATACAATCCTATCACAATGCTAACATCCACATCGTCGAATCGAAGAAAGAAGCCTTGTCTTGCCTTGCCACAGCCTTTGATCATGATCATTCAATAAAAAGCCTTCCTTCCTTCTGCAGGCCAAAAACTATATTCCGAAGAAGCAAACATGCAAAACTGTGGTATCCTTTCCACACACACACACATAGATGCTCGGGGACCCCTTGGCCTGCCACCCCTCCCCTTCTCTCAACAGCTCAAGAAGATCCAAAAAAAAAAAAGGAAAAAGAAACAACAGGGTTCATCCGACATAGCGAGCTATTGAACCTGTTTGACAAGTTTGGAAAGGGCGCTAAGGTGGAGGTAGACTTGTTTCCATGGTGAAATAATCATGGGCTAATAGCAAGCAAGCTTCTTTGACAATGAAGATAGTTCGAATCCATTTCGCAAGCTATCATCGATAAAATACAGTCCCATCCAGAACTCGGAGGATTATGACGCCTATCAGAGAGGGAGAGGGAGAGGGAGAGAGGGGGGAAAGAAGAGAGGGAGAGAGGGAGAGGGAGAGGTAACATCCTCGCCTCTGACACCATATCGCCTGATATTCCTGATAGCTCAATATCGGTCTATCTGTCGACATTTCGAGTCTTTTTTTTTTTTTTTTTTTTTTTTTTTTTTCGGGAAGTATGTTATCATCTGAGCGCATGCTTTCACGACAAGACCCTAATTTCCTGAGTTCCTTGCTTTTTCCGCTCCTCGCATTCGCAGGTATCCACACCTCGCTCGTTAGCTTGGCTAAACTACCACAGGCATAAAAGAAACCGAACCCATGTGCGGTGAGATAAAACGGGGAATGGAACCTGCCATCAAGAAAATTTTCCTTGCGAAAGTCTCTACGATTAGTCAGGTCTTCCTAGCAAATAATTACATACACATACCAGAAACATCAGCATTTGCACTGTCGATATTCCTCTCTTCTTCCAAAGCCATCAATTTCCCCCTGAGAGCGATCCAGAAAGCTTCTTCCATATGCTTGTCCACGATATTGCTTTCCAGGGATAGTCGGCTTCAATTTTTCGTTGAGTGGTTTGCAGTGAGCATGGACGTTTCATATTTCACCCACTCTAATCACAATTATATGATATGTACCCCCTTTAAAACCACAAACCTCGCTCTGTTATCTCTAGATTTCCATCCCCAAATCCCAACCCCCCCTCTCCCAAAAATTACTTAATCACGGGGCATCACAACCGAAACAACTAATCCGACGATAATCCGCTGAATTTCTGGTCTGCCGAGGGCTCTCCAGCACGGATAGGAGGACCCCACATCGCCCAGGCTCGAATAGCCCTATTCATCTCATCTTTCCATGCCTCCATATGCTTTCTCGATTTCTGGCCGGTATTAGCGCCAACCTGAAACCTATGAAATAGAATGTCCTATGACCTTCTGCCTCGGCGTTCTCTTACATTACATATGTACGGAGTATGTCTGTACTTTATACTTTGTACATGTGCCATTCGACAGTATCCCATACTTGCATAGTAGCTACACCAGAGAAATTAAATTAAATTAAATTAAATTAAACTGAAAGAAGAAAGACAGAGACAACAGATAACAGATAACAGTACGGCGATGCTGACCATCGATACGTCGAGACTACAAACCTCAGAAAACCAAAACTTGCAAAGGAAAACCACATATATACCTACTTGGGTACTTAAGTCAGTAGATACTTAATGTATGTACCTTTTACTTAGCCGAAGCCGAGCCAGCCTTGGTGGCTAGCCACGGGATCCTCTTACATGGGAAAAAAACCAGCTTCTTCGGAACCAAACGACAGATGGTCACACGCCTTTTGTCACTTTGCTTTTCTCTGACATCTACGATGGCCCATGGTCGGTCATAAGCTCGCCATTTTGTTCTTTGGCTTGCATTCGAGACGTATTTTATGCGTAGACACGGAGTACACAGTACCTAGGCCTTGCCTGCAAGGATAACCCTTAGCTACATAGCTTCCCCACCTGGTTTCAACCAATCGTCTACAGGTCAACGAACCGTGCCATGCATGCCTCAAAAAGCAAAGCCGGTACATGTACGCAGAATGGAGAGCATGGGCTCAGCTCACCGCGAAGCTCCTGCAGCTCTCATGCAGCTACTCGAGCAACTCCGCATGAGAGCTAGCCATGTCGAGATGACGTCCCAGCCCACCATTACAGTTTTTCCCCACCCTCCAACCGTCGATACAGAGACACTGAGTATATATGATACGATATCTTTTGCTAGGAATTCTTGCATGGGCTAGAAGAGAACGGCAAGAGCTCTGAAATAATCATTCACTCCCAGAATAAACCTAATTAATCAAAACAATATGGACACCACCGTCGGAAAGAATACATAGAAGAAGGAAGCGCACGTGGGCATTATCCAAACGGTGGGGCATCGGCAGCCGCCGTTATAATTCGTAAGGCTGATGCCTGCTGTATGCAAGGCGGGAAAGGTGATAAGACATGCTCACCCTCATTTCGGGCTTAAAAAAAAAAAAATTTGGAAAAAAATTAAAAATATAAATTAAAAATATGAAAAATAAAAACAATTGCTTCAACTGCTCCTCGTAAGTATATAAGTTGTTATGGATTCCATTCTCTCCGTAGTTAGCTTTAACGCCAACCGGTACAATTCTCTCCCAACATCCGGATATTGTTCCTGCAACTGAGCCCATTGTTCCCGGTTCATTGCCCAGGTCACGCAATCTCGTTCAGCGACAACAGTGGCGGTTCTGGGTGTCTCTGAGAAAAATGGAAGCTCTCCGCATGTTGTCCCAGCCGTAATGCTCTCATCTATTTCCAACGTCAGCGATAGTAGCGAATACACAAACTCGGGGATTCTTAGTATTACAGTATCTTCCCGTTTGATGGTTATAGGATGCCTTGAGCAATCCTTCTTGGATGAGGTAAAATTCAGATGCTGCCTCCTTTAAAATCCCGTCAGCCGCACATTTCACAGGTAAGTATACGAGGTATCTAGGGAATACTGACTCCTTGGCTGAATAGAACTGCACCCTTCAGGAACTCCTTCCTCTCGAAGAAATCGATAATTCGAAACCAAAAGTCTTCGTTCTCCGCCGTTCTTTCTTGAAATGTCTGAAGTATCAACGGCAGCGGTTGTTTAAAGCTTGACCACTTCGATACCGACTCCTCTCGTTCTCTCATCTTTGCAGCTGCTCTCAGTTGGCTGATTCTCGGCGAGTTGTTCATGACGTTCTCAACTTCTGCCCTCGGCCGGCTTGGTACCTCTGTAGAAACGTCAGTGGCGACACAAAAACAACGAAGCTCCGTTTCGGCTGACCTAAATGTGTAGTGCGTGACGATACTTGATCCTTCGATGCATAGTAGGCCTCGAGGAGAAAATTCTCTGACCACTGCAGCCCATCGTTCAAGTCGGAAAACAACTTTACCCCGTCTTCATCACCATCCCATATCCCCACGCCCTCCAAGGCAGCATTAACATCCCCATTCGGTCCGGTCAGAACTAAGAATATATCCCGCTTCTCCAACATCCTTCGTATCCTCATGAAAGCTTCAGCGGCAGAAAAATCAATCCCATTAACCCCAGTCAGGTCGAGAACAAGAAACCGGATAGGTCGTTCGTTAAAATTTCGCTCGTCAAGGAGGTCAAGGATACTATTCTCCACCGAGGATATTGTCCCAAAAAATATAAACCCTCCAAGCTTGTACAAGTAGATCTGAGGTCCAACCTGGTTCAAGAATCGTTGTTGGAAAGGATGGCGTCGAACAGTCGACCTGGCGCCCGAATATGCAGCACGAATAGCTGGTTTCTGACTAGCTTGGATGACGAAGGCGAGGCTAGTTAAAATTATTCCAACTAGAATCCCCACGACGAAATCGTATAACCCCATCGTCACCGCAGTGATAAAAACTCTTTTAAAGTCGGTTAGTAGATGCGGGTCCCAGCTCGTGTGTAGATAGATCACGTACGTAAGATACTCAAACTTATGCAGCTTTCTCCAGGTATCATATAAACTTTCTCTGAGCAGTTCAATCCCCAATAAAAATATCAAGCTAGCAACAACAAAGACGGGGATGTATCTATTAGAAACCATTAGCGGCCACCTATCAATCATTAGGGTGTTTGTTATAGTTGTGTCGCAGTTACCCGATGATCCCAGGTCCAGCCATCCAAATCGCTGTAGTTGCTAGTGCCAGCATAATACCAGCAAGCCTGCTATCGCCACCACTACGGATGAAAAGCACGCTATTGGCATAAACCAAGTAGTTTTGTATGCTCCCCACAAGACCGGACAGACAGTTGGAGACACCATGGGCAATGAGTTCTCGGTCAACATCCACATTTTCGAGGCCAAGGGTCATTCCCAAACTCGGGACGTTGATCGGAACATGCAATATCCCAAAAAACGTCAGCGCCATCATCGTGGGGATATTTTCCAGAACGACCTCCCAATGAATGGCCCTGAAATCTAAGAAGTAGAAAAATCATGTTAGTTAAGTCGAGGTATTGTTGGATATTTTGGTGTTGTTTCCTCACCATACAGCGTGTAAAAGTGCCAAAACGGCACATTGGACTTTGGAGCGTTGAAAACCCAGCCGCCATCCCGCAAGCCTTCGATGGTTAGTGCCGGAATAGCTGCGATAAGGAGATAAAAAGATGCTAAAATTGAGAGAAAGAATGCTGGGACCGTAAAAGGGTGTTTGAGGAATTGCAATAAAACCAAGAGAAAAACGGAGATTGCCAAAGGGAGCATCCACATGAAGAATGTGGGCAATGAAAATAGCACCTTCAGTGTATCAAAGGTGTATTCAAGTGACCCTTCCAGCCTTGCTGCGGTTTCTATCCCAGTTAGAACCAAAAAAGCGCCCACGCCTCCAATGCACCCCACAAGGATATGACGAGGGACAAATCCAATCAAAGATCCCAATTTAAGATAGCCAAGCAGAAAAAAGACGACACCCGTTAGAACGGAGCTGAGCGCCATGCAAAATATAGTTGTCGAAATGACAGCCCTTTTGTCTTGTCCGACTTGTGATAAAATCGTGAAAGCCATTTTGTGGAAGAACGGTACCACCTCGATCATCTCGGAACCTACAGCATTGAACCTGCTAAGCCCGCAAGAATATACTAGTTGGGAGACAATCGTGCTAACGAAGAATATTGAGAGGCCGTCAGGTGCGAGGTCGCTAAATATTGCTTCGCCTAACGGGAAAAGAATTATCCCATATGAGAGGCCGTCGAGGAGATTTAGGAGAAGTGCCAAGGCAACAGCAGGAAAGGCACTAATCGGTGCGACAACTGCATTAGTCCAAATCACCCGTCGGTTCCAATGTTTTGCCGACGAAAGTTTTATCGCTAGGGAACATATATTCGGATTTCGTAGGGATCCGATCTTCCCTCCAGCCGCCGAAGATGTTTGAGCTTCGACTTCATTCGGTGAAGATGAATTGTATGACGGCGGAATATGATCTAATATTTTGGTTTGTAGCAAGCTATCTCTTTCCGTAGCTATTTCGTCCTGTCTTAGATCATTGTTCCGTTCCATACCATTCATACTGCTGACCGGGGTCTCTGCTGGAGGCGGATTCCGCAAAAGGCGGGTGAGATGGGACGGGCCCGATGATCTGGAATAGTCCTCTGGTGGACACAGGCCACCATCTTCTACAAATGGCTCCTGCCGAGTATTTGAAGCGCGAGGAAGGTGTGATTTCACCAGAATGGGGCTATCTGTTGATGATACTCGGTCAATTGATGGAAAGCCACCTCCTGACCGCAGAGTATTGTTACCTTCACGATAATCGGCTCCAATTTCATGCGAGGGTGTGGTTGATATTGCAAGAGATGCTAGCTCAGCTGTCTGTGCTCGGATTCTTTCGGACCCATAGGCAGTCCAGGTTTGTTGATCCGGGCTAGCTGCAACAAATAAGTAATTCGTCAACATTGTGAATATATATAGGATAGTATTGGCTAATCGGGGGAAACTTTCAAGTTGGTAGGTCCCACGAAAGCATGGAAGGAGAAGAACATACGCTGATGAGGGTACCATGACCCATGGAAGTACGACCGCACGGAAGGGCGTTCATAGTCCTTTATACGGTGCGGGGAGGTATAGCTTTGGGGACGGTTTTCACTGGGGACATTGAGAGCCCTGCCACGGGTATGCCCAATCGATCGGGATAGTGGACTGTGGGATCGAGTCTCTTGGCCAGCATCTACAGAGTAGGGATCCGGCCGGGACATTTGTAGAATTCAGAGTTATATCATAGCACTAAAGAATAGGGCGATGTTGCATCAGGCTCACGATTAGCTTTGTATATGATGTACGATATGGCTTGTATGTGAAAAACCATGGCATATGACAGCAATCCGGTATATCCGTTACGCAACTGAGGTTTAGGTATTAGAAAACAAAAGCCGCAGATTGCGTGATAGCCGCAAGTAGGGAGGAGGGTTGAATAAATAAGTAAGTAAAAGGTATAAACAACTGGGCATCGTGATAAGTTCTTCGGAGCACAGCGAAATGCTTTGAGTGCGGGACCGGACAGAGTGGACTCGAGCTCTCAGAACTCTGAATGAGCACACATATGATACAGCCGTTACACGGTTGCACAAGTACTACTTTTGTGTTGTTTCTGGTGCAGAAAGGCTGATAAAAGCGGAAACTGGGCGTGTGAGCACCCAAACGGCCGGCTGCGGTTGGTTCCGACGACGAATGGATGTTCCAATGCAACGGCGGATGACGGCGAGGAAGGGGAGGAAGGGAGAGAGGAAGATAGAAATGGTGATGTTTCCATTTCAATTTCTATCTCCAACCTTGTGATTCAATTCGGGCGGTATATCACTTTTGAGGACTTACTAAACAATGGGAGATTCGATTGCAATTGACCTTCTGTCAATGACAATGACCAGCCTAGCTCACAGACCTTTTTTTTCTTTCCTTTCTTTTTTTTTCTCTCTCGCGGCGGCGATGCCTTTCGCTATATACACAGGACGAAGTATTTTAGATGCAATGGCATTCGATAGGTGATAAATGATGGGTGATGAGTACTGGTTGGGAGACGTGTTTTGGATTCTCGTACGTAAGAAGAATGCACGAGGTTTTAAAGAAATCAGCGCCATTCAACCGTTGGCCCACACCAATATGTAATATACAGTCCTTGACTTAAGCACTTACTTACTTACCTAGATAATTACTTGCTTGCTTACACGTAGCCTCGAATCTAGTACTGGATTGTGTAGGTAGAAATCTCTTCCTCAAGGACAAATAGAGTGGCGTAATCAATTGCAATTTCTCCCTTCGCATACATGCTATCGACGGCTAGTTTTCGTGTCCGCAAGTGCTAGCTCGCTGGTCGGGGCCTTTTTCCCAAGCTTCGAAGGCAAATGGAAGGCTTTTTTTTTTTTGATTATTCCCCCCTCCTTCTCAGCTCTCCGGAACCAAAGTACATATATAAAATCCCGCCATATGAACCTTAGCTTGGCTCACACGGCGATTTCAGGGGTCCACGAAGCCTTCCTAGATGTATGCAAGAACATATCAACGTTTTTCAAGTATGCATTGACATAAAATCATACATACATACACACATACGGTGCATACATTTAAATATTGTACGCTCAGTCCGGCCTGTTAGAGCCAAAGTTCGATGATGCAAGGGTGGATCCTGGGCTGTTTGTCTTGCAGGTTTCTAGCCCGCACCGACAGCCGTTAGATCTGCTTCAACCGCATGCACCGTTGATTGGTGGGCATCCCCCGCGGCCTTGTGCTACTTGCATATTAATAACCATACATGTGCCTCTACCCACATGAAGATAAGTGGGTGAGAGGAACCCAGGGGAAATTTAAAAAAAAAAAATTTTAAAAAAAATTTCATCGTTCTACATATGTAGGTGTAATCCATGGCTGCACACTTGCAGCCCTCCTCCGGAAGTCATGAAAATAAGAGAGTATATTCGTTATACTTACATGTCATAACATACATACACCAGATCACGGGCTGGTGACGAGATAGCTCGGAAACGAATCGATGAACCCAAACTAGCTTAGTTTCTGGAGAAATCCTTGTTTGATCAATCGTTCCACATCACCCTGCCGTACAAAGAACTGGCTATTCTTCGATAGCGTGATTGCCCTATGTCTCAAAGTCAGTAATGTCAGTCAACTGAGGATTATTCCGATCGCCTTTTACCCATATTCCGTTTGAATCTCGCCTGCATCTTTTAGTACTCTCACATCAATAAACAGGTCCTTTGGAGGCTCAAGGCTCCCCGTCAGATCTATATCCGTCCATTGGCCCTTATACGCAGCCAACATATCTCCATATTGTCGTGCATACTCATCCTCCTCGGGGCTCAATGCATGGGATGATGTTCCAGCGACATCGTCGTCCCCCTCGGTGACCCGAGCAGCTTGAGCTTGTTCCGCAACATCCATTCCATTCCAACACATCTGCTCGATCTTTTCTGCCCTGACCCGGTGGTAGGCTAGCAAACATCTTTTATTCCTCCTGATGCATAGATGGTGCACCAGAAGCGCACATGCTCTGGCAGGGTCTTCTGAAGGATTGAAGTCTCCGTCGTAAGATTTCGTAATCTCGTCGATGTCCCCGTGCAAATCACGAACTTCTCGGGTAACAGCATGAACAATGTCTGTTTGATATGGTGGCAGTTGGTTGAGCGCCTGTGTACGCTTCGCGTGAACGACCTGCCATCATGGAATCCGCGTGTTAGCAACCACGGTAAAGGCGGTCGTTCGATATCTGGGTTTCTAAGTTGAGACTGACTAGCTTATAGCCCAATTCTCCGTACATAGCGTTATTCCTTGCCGGGATCGCAGAATGATCTTAAGAATGGGAGCGGACAAAGCTACTTAGGTACCAACAGGTAGGAGGAAAGCTCGAGGGCAGTATTGCAAGGCCGGTTTTCGTTGGCAATACCACAAGCAACACAAAATTTAAGTAGCTTCGACCCCTCGTGATCTGAGCGTACGCTATGAGATATGAATCTGTCTACAAAATATAATTCGACTCAGCTATAAATACAAATTTCCTATTCGATAAAAAGTATTTAAGAAGTAAGCGCCTAACAGCGATATAAAAATAAAATAGAATAATAAAATAAAATAAAATAAAGTACAGATAGGAAGTCCTCGTCAACCTTGGGAGGTGAGTACTTCTGAGAACTGAAACGCGAAGGTATAGTAGCAGAGTAAAACTTTCACAGTAACTCCTATATGCATTTTCCCTTGGTCTTCCCGAAATATGCAAATACTCCAGCCAGTATCATCATATTAATATTACATAGCCCTTTAAAACTTGCGCCGCCCCTGTAAACGGAGTCTTTGGATTTCATATTCTGTTTCCAATCTTCTGCCGCCAACATGCCTTCTCGTGTGTAGCTATCCAACCCCCCCCTCCCCCGCGAGGTCTTATCCACATACGTGACGAAACTAGCTATTCTGCCAACCATTCGTCATATTGAAAACAATTTGTGGAATCCGTATGTAGAATACTACCACCCCCCATACCATGCCACAAAGAGCCTCCTGCATCCCCATAACCTATGATCCCGGCCACACCTTTGTCCCCGAATTCGCACCCACCGGATGTGTTGATATATAGAAGGCCTGGAGATACAAATTGATAAGGTGCAATGAGTTCTCCGCGGTCTAGTAGGTAAGCTTGCTGTGCAGCTACGTTTTGCATAACTTGCTGCTCGAGAAGCTTACGGTATTGCTCGAAATCCACTTCTGGAGGAGCGTCGTGTGAACATATGGAGAAATCTTGTTCTACTGTGGAGGTTTCCTGTTTGGCCGGAACCGGAGGCTCCTGGGGAAGACATTGGTGTCTTTGTTGTTGATTTTGGTGATGTTGGTAATGAAACCCCCCGGTTTCACTCTTCCACGCTTCTTCAAGTTCTCGGTGTAGAATACCCACTGCAGTAGTAGGAGCTGCTGTTCTTCGAATAGTTACATCTTCAATTACCGAGCTTCCGGGGTTCGTTGAGGCCATTGGCCTAACACTCATTTGATAGTATGTGCCGTCAATGTCGCTGTTCGTCATGCTTACAGGGGCGGGTCTTCCTGGATTCACAGTCTCGTACGAAGATTTTTGCGCACCAGTTTGAAGCCTTAGGACGTTCATTTCCATGGCCTCTCCGCGCTGTATAAATGTGGGTGGATCTATCATGACCGCGTCATCCGATAAATGGTTGGTCCTCTTAGTATCAGCCGGCTTGGGTCGTTGTTTCCTTTTTCTCGCCATCATTTGTGGTATTTGTATGGGTTCTGGTTCGAGATCTTGGTATACCTCCACCTCACTTAAATATGTTTCCCCTTCATCTTCTCCGTCTGACGGGGTCTTTCGTCGTCGAGGCGGTGGCAGCTGGTTCTTGCTTGGCGAAAACTTGTACCCAGGATGGGCTGCTTGGTGGTTGATCCTTTCGATCCTTGCCAGTTCATTGTATTTCTCTCGTATCCAGGTTGGTTCGAGGGGCCAGCTTGCCCCGCTTACAGAAGAAACGACCTGGTGGTTGTTTTGCAAACACCACTGCTTCGTCCTTTCCGCAAAGGCAGACCTATAAAGCATAAACGAGTTCATTGGGCGCGCTACATGGCCGTCTCTCTTTTCAACCTCTCGTCGCCTTTCCTCGACGCTTCTATGGACCCACCTCTCCATATCCCGGATCGGTAACCCCTCAAAGTTTTTTGTAAGCTCGCTAAGCGGTCTATCCAATTTTGGTACTTTTGGTTTCTCAGCCTTGGGGGCAGTTGATGGCTTGCGCTTCTTCTTAGATGATTTTGTAGTCGGCTCCGGCTTCGATTTTTCTTTATCTGAATATATCGGTATGGTACCGTCAATGTTCACCTGCTGAATATGGTTGAACGGAGCTGGGTTATCTCGACAAACTTGGCCTTCCGTCGAAGAAGCGGGAGTTGGAGGGGCATCGACGTTCGATCTTGAGGGCGAGTGCTAATAAAAAATTAGTCTCTGATCTTCGGATAAATTGTTGGTTCATCTGCTTAAACTCACGTCTTCACTCCCTGTATACGCACTAGTAGGACCCAATCTATCCAACCCGAACCTTGCGATCGCGTTTCTATTATCCGGGTGCGGGAACTATACGCCTCCGGTGATTAGCCCACACTTTGGGGGGATTTTGCTTGATTTCATAGAACAAAACTTACATGGGATTTGGGCGCAGAGCCAGACCTGAAGGATGTTTGATAAGATGACTCGAGATCCTTCATGAGAAAACGAGTGAGCAGATGTCTCAAAATTGGGCACCAAGAATAGATGTATATTTTTCAGCGAAGAGGGACTTACACATTCTGATAAGCAATTCTCGGGGGTCATACACTCATCCGTCGAGTAGGTTGTCGGAGCTGGAGAGTAGAAATTGTTTGGAATATGCATCGAATTGTAAAAATCAATAGAAGAAGAAGTCCTCGACATCAAAGGTCTGCCTAAGAAATCAATTGACCCCTCGAACTCGTTCGAAGAAGGTGAATGGGCCATGTTTGGCTCACGTTTTAGTTGTATTGGAAGTTAACTATTGATTTTTCTGTCACTATAAGCCGTTGTAATGGTGGTGAAATGTCAGAAAACTGCGTTGAAGTGTGGTAAATTGTCCACAGCTGTCAATAAGAACTACTAAAACCAACACACAAATTATCACAAGATGCGAAAAGGCAGTGGAGGAGTGGCGGTGAACTATAAAGGAGCTATGTTGGGATGTTGGGAAGCTTAGATTATTAAGAGAGGGGTGGGGCAAAATACAATAGTATAAGGTCTGGAGAAAGAATAGGTATGCAGGAGAGAAGTCTCAAAAATACAGAGAAGGGGCTACCCTTCCAGTCTATTTAGAGGATTGAAACATAGATCGACTCTGTAGCAGGGTAGAAAGAGATTCGCCTTAGCCTGGCGATGCACGGGAAGACGCCGTTTTCGAAGAGAAGTCTAATGCAAGATGTGACAAGGGTATGGTTATCTTGCTTTTCCCCGTCATTGAATTGAAACGCAAACCCTTCGATAGGACGGTGTATGTTTCTTTGTAGCACGTGGACCCCGAACTGAGTCGTGCCAGCCATGGCACACCGAAGGGCTAAGTGTACAGTTGGTGGCGCGACAGTTCGATTGCTTCGATACACTGGTTTACAGAGAGCCACCCCTCCATAAGTTGGGTGTCAGAAAGTAGCCAACTGTTCCATCGAGATGATCCTGGCCTGCATGGCCGTTTGGCCTCCCGCCTGAGGGGTATACGTAGATTGCTTCTAGAAAGGTTCTGCTTCCCATGACCAAAATTTCGTAGACGACATGACTACTAGCAGGTACAAAATTTGTCAAGCCCCCAGCTATTAGTAGTCGGTGTCCAGTTGGTGACGCGAGGCTTCCCTTGATATATCGACTAGCTTCCAGTCGTGTGGATACCGTGAAGCCATCTGCAACTTAGCTCTGCACTGTTATTTTGGGAGATCTATCGCTATAACCGCTGAATGTAACGACAGTTTCTCGTTTCATGAATATGCAGGATCAAACCTATATGCAGGCCTCTGTCCGGCGTAATACTACTCCAGCTCGGCACATGCGTATTGAGGACGGTTACTTCGTCCCTGAACTAGTTGTAACACGGTCCACTGCTGCGGATATCCAACAAAAGAAGGGGGAAAGAGGGGGGGATGGTCTGCCGAAAGCTCACCTGTGGAGTAGCTGTCTGCTAGAGCATCAACCCTCGTGAAAATGTTATCTATTTTTATTTGTTTTACGCGGGTAGAATCTATAGCAACTGCAGGGTCTTCTTTGCCATTTAATTTTCGTGCTGGGGATGGTGGGATGTATGCAGAATCCTTGGAGTTCTTGTGCCGAGTTGCTTGCTTTGAAGAGGTATCTTGTTCTTTGTTCGGAACGTTGTCTGGGACTTCAATTCGGAACAGTTATCGTAGACGATACCCCGATTTCATACGAGGCGCAAGCCTCTCTGACAGTCGCTGCAGAATATGTGGCACAAAGGCTGCAGACAGAACATGAACATGCATGTGATATCTGGGGATTGCCTTGACCCGTAGGTATTCCTATGGTTTATTTAGGTAGGAAGCCGATATCGATATGCTCGTTTCGTCCCCGAAGTCGTGATAGATTGGAACTGTTGATACTTTGTCGTCGTATAATGTCGGCTTGTAGCTAGCTAATTTACTAGTACAGCTGTGCATCCAGAAGGGGAGGAGAGAAATAGAAGATGCAGAAACTGATTTAGATCTGGGAGTAGGCTAGTGTGTAAACTATGCTGACGAGGCTGATATCATGATAAAAGTTAAAGGGAAGGCAGAGCATAATGGTTGTACTGGTGGGAATATGCTCCGCAGACCGCTGTATCGGCTGTGCCATAACCTCCTCCCCCCCTCTTCCTCTCATTAATATTCCAAGACTTCGAAACAATGCAATCTCTGTAAGAACTTATTTCGGGCCCACATTAGTGGTATTCGAACGGGCCGATTCTCATCTAGTTTGCCTAGACATTCACACCACTAAAATAAAATAGAAATGTCTGAGGGAAGCTTTACGGTCAACCCCAGGCATACGGCCGATGCAAGATATATATAAGTCTATCTATGATATCGATATCTGTATGTTGCATTACGCCGTTGTCTCTTACGTGCTTCCTTGCTCCCTCCCTTCCTCCCTTGCTTCCTTCCGAAATAAAATGTAAGTGTTATGGCAACTTCTGAATCTATTCCGTGCTAGACAAAGCTGAGCATGCAAGTAGGCCATCGGGATCATTCTTCCGTCACCAGAATAGGTTAACTCTGTACAGAAAGTTGTTTGCTATGTTGTGTTATGACGCCAACGTACCAACCTAAGTACCTAGGTAAGCTAGGTACCTAAGTATATATTCGGTAGTAGAAACATCGAAACCGGATCGTTTAGTTCGCTTACTAGGCTAATTATCAAGATTCTACATAGCATATATAACTTGCGAAACATATATATTATCATGACAGTTGATTCCTTCGAAGAAAGCTGCTGAGTCAACCCTCTGGGGTCAAAGCTAAATACATATTAGCGACGACGGGATTTATCTGTAATTATCATGGAGAAATTGTGCCTAACATTGTCTCATCGAAGGACAACGAAGCAATGCATAGCCTGTCAGGATCCCGGAATCCTGGTCCGGGAGAGTTAACCCGACACTAGGAATCTTTTAGCTTTTTGACTTTAGTTCTGTTTCGGGAAACAACGGTCGCCTGCAGGGAAACATATTTTAGCATCGCGGGTTCTTGCAAGAAGCGCGCGGACGGGTGAGACGGTTTCGAGAAATTTCGTAACGACGGTATCGGGCCGAAAAATCGTTCGAGCTAGGTGGTGTTTTTCAGAGCACCGGCATCGGAATCTATCCCAAGGGCCGCGGCATGCATCGAAAAAGAAGGTCTAAGAAGAAGAAGAGGAGGAGGAAGCTAGAAGAAGTGGCTAGTGGTGAAACGGGAGTGTTGATTTTGTGGGATTATTATCCTGATAGGGCTGCAGCGTTTGCTTGCATCTGCAGGCTTTAGTGGGACGGGATGAAAGGGTTTCGATTCAGCCCTATGAATGAAAGGAATCTAAAATAGTGCCATGGACAAGGAGGTAGAGACAAAGGAAAAAGCAATACATATCCGCGAGTCTTGCCGTGAAATGTTTCGCGTACATACTTACTTGTATGTACATTTCAAGATATGGATTCGGTGGCGGTGTGGACCACATTACACCGTGTCCGACAGCCGTCTCGTAGATGTTACATTAATATGTCGCCCTATGGTTACATCTACGTATACAGGCGTGGTATTGTGGCATTTTTATTTTTTAGTAGGTACTTAGGCATAGATTGCAGGTCTATCCTATGCACGGAATGGGAAAACTGGCAGTTGGTGGCACGGGGGTATTGCACTACACCCACATGGTGGGCAAATATGTTCTATTGTCAGGATGCTGTGTTGAGAAGATGTGAGACTTAGTAGGACCCTCAATATCCGACTCAGGATAAGAGCTTCCGCAAAGGATATATAAGTAGGTATATATATTTTTTGTTGAGGGGAGAAGGATGTGAGGATAAGGCAACATTGTGGAGAGAGTTTGATAGACCGTAACATACGTTTGGAACGTCCGTTCTATCACTACCACGATGGCATTGTTCTTCTTTTTTTTTCCCTTCCCTTTCCCTTCCTAGTATCATTTAACGTACATAAATAAGCACCTAGTTGATGTGCCTCAAATCTGTTTCCCGATGTATCCACCCTTGTGTCCATGTGCATGTGACCCAAGATCCGGCCTGAAACCCCGTAGAAAGTGCGTGTTATGAAACAAGGCTTTTAATAATAGTAGTAGTAGAAATAAACAAAGAAGGATATCCGGCGATTCGGTTAAAAAGGGAGGCATGCTAAATCGCCCCGCAGGTTCTAATAAAATCAATACTAAGAAGAGACACCAAGCGAAATATAGACATTGGTTGTGTAGCAGGATTGTTGGTATGGTTCGGCAGCGGCGTCGAAGTTGAAGGCTACGGGAACTAGGAGCTCGGTTTCGTATTTGTGTCGGCGAGTGGTATAACTTGTGGTGTGGATTGAAGGTGAGGTTTGTCGGTCTGTATGTTTTGAATGGTTGTAATTGTAGTGGGGGCGGAGGTTGTTTTCCTGGGCTGAACGATTTGCTCGCCCTCAACTCTGTTGTGTAAGGTGTCACCGCTCTCGGGGGCGGAGATTTGCTCTGTTTGAGGTAGTCGAGGCGGGTTGATATTGTCTCCCACTTCGCTATCGGATGAAAGAGGCCTTGTAAGGCGTAATTTGATCTTGATAGGGGGACTCATCGCGGCTCTTTCCTTGTCCTGACAGCGATCACATACAAACTCGCTTTCCTCAGCAACAGATGTGGGAACGTTTAAGCATGCGGTGTGCTGCCAGACGCCGCACCTATCGCATGCTATGCTCAAAGTTCCGTCGTCCTAAAAAAAATAAAAATCATAAGTGTTAATGGGGAAGGAAATCTGGGTGATAAGTTGGAACGTACATAGTTGACACCATTGACACCACAAATGCAATCGAAGACCCAGTTATTGTCTTCTATATCTAACTCTGCTTTGCGTTTTTCCTTTTGGCGGGATGACTTCCTTCCCTTACCGTTGTCTTCTGACTCGGTTGCATCCGGGTCAAGAAGTTTTACTCGCTCCTCCTCACGTTGTTTGGCACGAAGCTCTCTTTCCTGAAGTCGTCTCTCACGCTCTTCTAGTTTGGCGATTCGTGCCTTGCTATGTTTAGCTTGGTGTGTGATTCAAGGTTTTGGGTATAGTAGCTTACTTGTTCATCTCTTTGCCGTTTTGTATCCTCCTTCTCTTGCCGTTCTTGCTCTTCATGATCACGGCGAAGTGCCTGTTCTCGTTCTTCTGCCTCGCGACGTTTAGCCACTCTCTCATCAACCCGAGCCGATCGTTTTCTATGCGAAAGTAACTCGAGGCGAGCCAATTCCCTTTCTTCTTCGAGTAGCTTCCTTGTTCGCTTCTACGGGAGTGTTAGCTAATGCTAGGACCAACTTCCCACGCGAGAAATTCTTCTTTACCTGCTCTTCTTTTTCGAGTACTGGAATTATGTCTCCGAGAATAACTTTCCGAAGCTCTTTCTCATCGAGATTTTTTGACCTCTCAAACCTCGCTACTAAAGCTCTGTATTCCTCGAGGGTTGAACAGAGACATTTCCATTCTATCTGGGAAACGAATACGTCGTTTTCGTCAGGAGGGAACTCGATTTGTCCAAATTCATTTTCCTCTTCCGTAGAAACCTTTCGTCGCTTCGACCTAGAACCAGTGCCTTTCCTGCTCTTCCACTTCTGGTAAACGGGTGGAAGAGGCTCGGCCCTGCAATAAAGATATCCGTTATCAAATTGATAGTAGGTGTTCCCTTTGGAGTCCCAGCCAATGGGGTCGATGCGCTTTTAAGAGTCAGATATGTTAGAAGATGTAGAACCTTTCAATGGGGGAGGAAGGGTGAGAGAAAGAAAGAAAAAGGTACCCAATCAGTGTGGTCCATGACTTTATGTGGGTCTATTTTAGACCTGAAGGAATCGGTGTTCGAGATGATCCACATTGCAAGTTGGTGCAAAATCAGGACCTAACAAATATACCTTCTTATTAGTTTTGAAAGACGAAAGAAAATACCGAGCGTTGATGACGGAAACCACACACCCTTTGCTCTGGTTTGAAGCTGTAGAATGAAATTGGCATGGGATCTGTTCCGAAGGGGTTGACTGGGACTCGTCTATGAATGTATTGTCGTCTGGTGTAATCGTCGAACATCTCGATACTGGGAAGCGAATAAGTAGGCAATCATAAGATTTCTAGAGGAGGGGTAGTGGTAGTGGTAGTAGTAGCAGAGGAGGAAGAATCAGATTAAACATACGTCAGGCCTCGCTGTGAGGAAACATTCTTGAGAAGACCGATTTGAACGTCATGAAGCAGGGGTGTGCCGGACGGCGAACTAATGTCTCTGGCGAAAGCCTAGAAGACAACCACGGAGGCTCATTAGCTAGGTTCCCAGAAAACTAGAAGGAATTGGAGGGAATTGGCCAAGGCTAGGTAGGTTGGGATATTCTGGGAAATACTTCGATGTCTTCGTAATATGGACTTTTGAGGCCCTTATGGAATTGGAATAAAAATTCCCAAACAGCGGCGAACTGCCATTGTTGGTGCAGGGGATTGGCTGAAGGCCTTTGTGAGGTTTGTTTAGAGGAGGAAGAAGAGGGAGAAGATGAAGATGAAGAAGAGGAGGTGGTGGAGAAGGAGGAGAGATAAGCTGATTGTGACTGGGTAGAAGCTGAGAGTAGACCGGAGGGCTGGTTGTGGCCGGAGCCGTAGCTCCTGCGTGTAGATGGCATATTTTGGAGATGTTTGCTGTTGCTGCTGCTGCTGCTACTGCTGTTGTTGTTGTTGTTGTCGCCAGTGGGTGCAGATGCGGATGCAGATGCAGGTTGCAGGTCGCAGATTGCGGGTGGATGTTGGTTACGCGACGGGGCAGTCCTGACCAACTTGCCTAGGAGATAGAGATTGGGTTGGGTTGGATGGGCGCCTGTGTTGTCTGGCGCCAACACCAACCTCACATCCAACACATTTCTAGTCCCCCCCAATGATACATGTATGTACACCGTATGTCTCTGCCTCAAGAGCGCCTGGATTCGAGGCTAGTAAATTTAGGTACTTAGGTGCTTACTGCTGCTTCTTGCAAAAGTAAACATTTGGACATAATTTAAGATCTTTAGCCCTTTCTCCTTTAAATTCTGGTACTTCGTTACCCATCTAAGTACTCTCTTACTCTCTTACTTACTTAGGCTATACATAGTACTTACTTCCTTACTGACTACTTGAGTATCTACTTACCTAGGCACATACTTACTGACTTACCTACTCTTCCAATTTAAAAAGCTTTTCCAATCCTACCCTATCACATCCACACTTTTGAGAGTGAGAAAGAGAGTGTGTGTAAGAGTGAGAGTGAGAAGAAGGGAAAAAAAAAGGGTCGCTCGATCAAGCCTACATACCGGTTCCGGGATCTGAAAGCCGCGGTAATCCTTACCCACATTTCCACCGGATTGGGGCAAAATCAGGGAGCAAGTCGCAGACACAGGATCCCTCATCTATCCATCACTTCACTTTGACATCATTTGAGTGACGGACTGGGGGAATCAAGAGAGAAGTTGGTTCGAACAACAATCACAACCATTTTCACGATTGTTATTGATTTAGTAGTATGTATTTACTTGCCCAGTACCTACTTACCTACTTAAGTACTTACATACTTACTCATGTAGGTACACACATAGATCAGTACTTAAGTACACCCAGGCAAGGCACCCGGTAGAAGGTGGGTCTCTTTTGCTCATATTCGGAATGCTATCACAATTTCGTGGACACAAATCTTTATTTTATATTTGAATTGAAGACAGGTACTTAGTAAGTACCTACTTCTTACTTGAGTACTTAAGTACTTACTTAGGTATATATCACTTCGCCATATTTTTCCCTTTCTTCCGAAACCCTTACACTTTCGCTTTTACTTTATTTTCGATTGTTCAATTTTTGGTTTTTATCATCCTCAGCGATTCTCCTTTCGAAGGAATCAATATTATCAAAGCGACGGTTACAAGTATTAATGACCTGCTTGCTTACTTACTTTAGTACCGACATACCTTTATCACGTTAACACCAGCATTAACATTGACATTGGATGTTAAGTATACATGTAAGTATGTTCTTCCGCTGTATACTTAAATAGGTACTTGGTTTTCATCCCACCATATGCATATATGCATCATCAGCCGAACGTTTCCCCTCAACGGTGATTCGAGCGCAATTTGATCGCGGGAGCGCAAAGGCCACTTGGAACCGGAGCATTTCACCATCACCACCATCGCATTGTCCTGAACGTTATTCGGCGCAAAAAGCAGCCGGTAGAATCTCTACGGCTTCGAGAAGAAAGGGAACTCGAAAAAAGAAAGAAAGAAAGAAAAACCCGCTCGAGTCGCACACAGAACTTCCATACTTTTATTTTGCCAGGTGGTGGGTTCTAGTTCCGGTCGACGGCCTCCTCTTCGAAGCCCTCTTCTAAGCCCTCTTCTCCTTCCCCTCTTCTCTTCTCTTCCATTTCTTATTCCCTTCCATCGCATTGCCTCCTTTCCAAGGCCAAGGTCCCCTCATCGTAACCTCATCCTGTCGCCGCCTTTGGTCATCAGGTTTGGACTAGCGACTGTTTTAGCCCTGCGTTTCCGGGGCATGTTCTCGCTACCTTTGCGCTAGCTGAGATTCACCACCACCTGCTTTTGGCTGGCTGGTTGGCTGGCTGACCCGACCTGGCCTTCTTGCTTTTTGATTATTTCCTTCTCCCTTCACCACTCCTCCTGCTGCTGCCGCCGCCGCCGGGTTCTTCCAGAGGTCATCCTGACTCTTGGAAAGCGACAGCCAGCGTAATCTTCCTTACTGGTCAACGTCTACCCATAGCATTCCTCATGCAAGTGTAAAAACGGGCATCGTCACTCTTCTGCCTCTAGTAAACCGATCCCTGACTCCATTCTAACTATCCCTCGTGGCTCTGAACCAGCAGTGTGTGCCATTCTCGAGGATACCAGTTTTATCGGAGGGGCTTCGAGATCCACCAATCAACCAATCCGCCAATCCTCTGGACCTTGCTTTTAATACGGCACTATCAGAGAACACCGTTTTGGAAGCAGACCCTACCGTCGACTGTGAGCGCTAAAATACATCTGGTCCCTCCTCTTCCTCCTTATTCTTCTTGATCGGACGGTTTGTCGCGATATCCATCAGCTTTGTGAGAAGCTGCGCCGCACCGACAACACAAACAACGCAGCCGCCTGTCGTCCCAACCTGAGTTCCGAGATGTCTGCTGTGCAGCAGCAGCAGCAGCAGCCTCACCACCATCACCACCATCACCACCAGCCTCACCACTACCAGTCGGCTATGTCCTCGCAGCCACAGACTCCAGCCTCACCAGGAAGTGTCCAAAGATCGCAGTCCACGCGTACGGCGCATGTCAGACAGTCATCCATTAACCGAACTCAGACATCAGCTGGTAGATCTGAAGGTTACCAACATTCCACCCGAAGGGATCCCGATCAACACTCAACTCGCATGCAACCACCACCTGCTTCCTACGAAAGACGGCCCGATCACAACAGACAACCTTCCAATATGTCTGACGCTCAGAGCTCTATGGCGGGGACCCCTGGTTCTCTGGACGAATCCGGAAGATCACCCCAGAAGTCCCGAAAGCTCACCCTTCAAGGGGTGACAGGGTCCTGGGTTTTGGGTAAGACAATAGGGGCTGGTAGTATGGGGAAAGTGAAGATCGCAAGAAAAAGTGATGGATCCGAACAGGTAAGCTTCAGATACCATTGCATCGTGCCCGTCTCCAAGGAAGGAGCAGGGTCGTACGGTCCCCTAGGCTAACTATCTTCAGTGTGCCGTGAAAATAGTTCCTCGAGGAGGTACGGAAAAGGATCACTCTAGCAGGGCTCCTAGGGACGAATCAAAGGAGATTAGAACTGCGCGTGAAGCCGCTATCATGACCCTACTGGAACATCCTTACATCTGCGGGATGCGTGACGTCGTCAAAACTAATAACCATTGGTATATGATGCTTGAATACGTCAATGGCGGTCAAATGCTCGATTATATCATATCTCACGGACGACTGAAGGAGAAGCAAGCTCGCAAGTTTGGGCGTCAGATTGCGAGTGCTCTGGACTACTGTCACCGAAATAGTATCGTTCATCGCGATCTAAAAATCGAAAACATCCTTATTTCCAAGACAGGCGATATCAAAATCATCGATTTTGGGTTGTCAAACCTTTACTCCCCACGATCCTTGCTTGGCACATTCTGCGGGTCACTATACTTTGCTGCCCCAGAACTGCTCCAGGCCAAACCGTACCTCGGCCCAGAGGTAGACGTTTGGAGCTTCGGCATAGTACTCTACGTTCTTGTGTGCGGGAAAGTGCCCTTCGACGACCAGAGCATGCCTGCTTTGCACGCAAAGATCAAACGCGGGGTAGTGGATTACCCTGCTTGGCTAACTCAAGGTCTGTATCTAAACCTACCATTTTAAGTAATTGCGCTAGCTAATTTTTACTTTTATTCATGATAGATTGTAAGGGATTGTTGTCAAGAATGCTAGTCACTGACCCCAGACAACGTGCTACTTTGATGGAGATAATGCATCACCCCTGGATGAATAAAGGATACGAGGGCCCCCCAAAAAATCATCTTCCCCACCGGGACCCAATCACCCTTCCCCTTGACCCCAATGTCGTACTTGCGATGACGGGATTCGAATTCGGCAGCCCTGAAAACATCCAGAGTCTCATGACACGGGTTATCGAGTCTGACGAGTACCAGCAAGCCGCCAGGGCAGCCCTGAGGGAGAACGCTGCCACTCCCAGTGTTCAAGAAAAGAAAAAAGGATTCCAATTTGATTTCTACAAGCGCCGATCCTCAACCAGTTCAAGAGATGCACTCTCGGCCCCCAGTGCAGAGGCCCTCTCGCATCCTTACACGGATCCTTTGAGCGCATTCCACCCTCTACTATCGGTATATTATTTGGTTAAAGAAAAGCAAGAACGAGAACGGAGATTAGAACTCAGTACAGCTGAAGCTAGCACGGCATTGTCAGTGTCCGGAAATAGCATCACACCTTACGAAAGCTCGGAAAGGGCACCCCAAATCCCCGTTATACCTCTTCCTGAGATGGCTCACACTAGCGATACGAGTTATGATGCTAAAGGAGAGTCTTCCTCACCATCCCGGACACGGCCCCGGGCGAGAACACACGGGGATGAGGATCTCGTGGATTCGGTGAAACAAATGAGCGTTTCCAATCCAACTACGGCACCAATACAACCTACGGCTACGGTTGATTCGATTAAAAAGGAGAGTACTGCGGCAAGTTTGTTACGGCGATTTAGTACCCGCCGCCACTCTCACAAGCCCGACTCCAAAGCTATGGCCACTCCCGTAGTTACTGTTCAAAGCTCTGGCGCTAGCCCAGCAACCTCAGATATTGCAGTACCGCGGAAAAGTTTATCTGTTCGAAGGGCGAGAGATGCTGAGATGGGTGGCTCACAGCCGAACCAACAGCAATTCCTAAGTCCAGAGGCTGCTCAGTTTGACACAAGCAGCTCGAGCTCGTCGAAGAAAGCAGCGAAGCTAAGTAGGTCCACTAGTGTCTCTGAGGCTGACCATCGACGGAAGAACGGGCTTGCGCCTAAGGCAGGTGAATCCCAAACACCTCACCTTACCTCTAAGGGTTTCGAAAGACCCCTTTCTTTAAGTGGCCGCCCCGGTTCCGCAGGAAAAGCGACCGCTTCTAGGGCCAATTCGACGGGGCACGCTAGAAGAGAGTCTTACTCATTCAGGCGAGTACGGCGCGAAGAGCCTACTACTGTACCTATAGACGTTCCCGAGGAGACAGACGCAGACATGGCTTCTGCAGGAAGTACAGAGGCAGTCGGCGCCACTCCCTCGATTGACCACGTTAAACCAATTTTCCTCAAGGGACTACTGAGCGTCTCTACAACAACTAGCAAACCGCCACCCGCGATCCGTGCGGATCTCATGAGAGTGCTCAGGGAAATGGGAGTCGAATTTCGAGAAATCAAAGGAGGGTTTTCATGCACCCATAAACCGAGCATCGATCTTGCAACTGTCCAAGACAATGTCCCTCAGTCTCCAGAGATGCTTGCCACCACGTCCTCGTCACATCGTAGAAAGTTGTCGTTTGGCGGGACTAGCGCAATGAGTGCTTCTATGAAACGTAGGACGAGAGGCGAGAACACGAACGACCTATCAGCTGAGAGTATGACGGATCCTTCTAGCCAAATCCAATCCGAACTCGGGGGGAGTATGATATTACAATTTGAGATCTATATCGTCAAGGTACCCTTGATGAATCTCTATGGTATCCAACAAAAAAAGATAGCTGGTACGTCTAGACATCTATTGCTACAGACTAATAACAATCAAACTAACTTGTATTGCCTACAGGAAATTCATGGTCCTATAAGAACATGATTACGAAAATTATTTCAGAGCTGAGGCTATAGAATGGCTTCTAGCAATATTCGATATGATCTCATTGCAGCTGTCGAAACGAACACTCTACTCTACAAGGCTTGAAAAAGCATGATGGCCGAGAAACCAACCCAGGGTGTTCTACCTCCCCACATTGATCTAAAGGCCTCCATAAGAGAGCAAACTTCCTGCCAATGAGCAGCATGCCTTGAATTGATGTCAAAGGCCTTGATTGTTCTTTCTCCTGGCATCTTTCTTAGCAGCACCCTACAGGCTACACAGCAACCTGACCATGACCTGTTCAATATCCGGAGTTTGTTTACGAGATTTAATGACTTGCCTTTCTTCTTCTTCTCCTTCTTATTTCCCTCATTGTTTTTCCAGCCAGCCAGCCAGTCCGATCAGTTGGTCAAGATACTCTATCCGCCCAGGTTCTTTCAGTCCCGCAAATGATGAGACAGACCACATGAAATGTGTGAAAACGCAGCTAACTCCATACTTTCGTTTTCTCCCTTTCTTTCTTTTTTCTTTCTTTCTTCTTTCTTTCCCGTCTGTCGGTTCTCCTTTCTTTTAATGCTTGCTTTCACGCTTCAGCTTCCGGTCACGAAGATATACATAAGTAATTATCACTTTCTTGTTCCCGTTTCTCCTCAATGTAATATGATGCGAAGAGGTAAATGATGAGAGACCACGATCGGCGTGGTATTAATGTGTGCGATAGACTTGTTTTTCGAATGCCAGATGAGGAGGGAGGGTGCTTGCCAGTTTGTGTATGTTCTTTTCCATCTGCTATCAGAACTACTTCCTCCTCGCCATCATACAAGATGTCTGCCCTGAGGGCCCCGACAAAGAGGGTTTTATTATTATTATTACTATTATTTATTTTTACTTATTTCAGTATATACCATACACTGACTCCGGAGACACTTATATGTAATGTCATACACACGCCAAAATATAATGCATCGTGAGCGAGAAGTCGACCCTTTAGTTGTAATGGCCTTCCTTTCTTCGTTTCTTTTTCTTTTTCTTTTGTTTTCTTTCCTTTTTTGTATTTTTTCTTAGGGTGATTTGTACGACGATGCACAACTATTGTCGTACAACTGCAGGTTCCTACATGAAAACAGAAGAGAGGAGGAGAGGGGAGGAGAGAAGAGAAGCGGGGGCGTATGAAAGGATGGAGGTGACAATGCTATCAATTATCATATATGGTTGTGAGATTACTTAGCATGTAAAGGGTAAGTAATTATGCTTTTGGCGCTGGAGGGAATCATCCTACGAACAAACAAATCCTCCATCAATCCTCGCCACCATCGTCGTTACCATCATCACCTACTCTTTTCAACCTCATCACCTTGTACTATTAATTCGCTCGATCCTGTTGTTTCATTCTTTTGTAGTAGATAACCCTCATCTCGGCCGACTCCCGGAATCCTCCATCATCCCTGCTCCATTCTGCTGGGTCTGAAAGTTCGCCAACATCAAACCCCACGCCTGCCCTTGTTCTTCAACTGCATCTGACCCTTTACCAGCCTTCAAAGATTCAACATTAGTATCTACCACCATAATCATCATCATCAAGATGATGCAAAGCTCTCTTCAGTTCACCAGCGCGCATCAGGCGTTCTCTCACGACCAGCAGGGATGGCTGCAGACTCAGCAGCAGCAGCAACAGCAACAGCAACAGCAACAACAACACCACCACTTGCAGCACCAGCAGACTCAACTTCATTCGCAACCATCCCAGCCAGGCCTCTATAACCTAAATACACGCGGCCTCCTCGGTGCCAATCAGTCACAGCAGCAGCAACAGCAGCAGCAGCAGCAGCATGTTCAGCAAGCACAACAACAGGCCGCTGTCAATGTTGGAGCGGCAGCCACCTTGATGAACCAGATTCCAGCGCAGATTCGAGCCTCCGAGGAAGAACAGAAGGTCTACGGCTGGATTATGGAGCTTGTTGCTGGAGGGTCACGCGAGCAGGCCCTCCTGGAACTCTCCAAGAAACGAGAACAAGTTGATGATCTTGCTCTTCTACTCTGGCACTCATTTGGTACGCTTCCGCTTTCCTTCAGTAAAATGTCCCCGATTTTCTAACATTCCAAATATATCCAGGTGTTATGGCGGTCCTGGTCCAAGAAATCATATCAGTATATCCACTTCTCAACCCCTCCTCCTTGACTGCCGCCGCCTCAAATCGAGTTTGCAACGCCCTTGCACTCCTTCAGTGCGTTGCTTCCCATAACGACACCCGAAACCTTTTCTTGAACGGTACAGAATTCTCCCCAGATACAGATGATAACCTGCTTTGCTAATACAATCTAGCTCACATCCCCTTGTTCCTTTACCCATTCCTCAATACCACCTCAAAATCCAGGCCTTTCGAATACCTCAGACTTACTTCCCTCGGTGTTATCGGTGCACTTGTAAAGAATGACAGCTCTGAAGTCATCAACTTTCTCCTTTCGACGGAGATCATCCCTCTCTGCCTCCGAATTATGGAAACCGGCTCGGAATTGTCTAAGACAGTTGCTATATTCATCGTTCAGAAAATTCTTCTTGACGATACTGGCCTCCAATACATCTGCCAAACATACGAACGCTTCTACGCTGTTGGTACCGTTCTGAGCAACATGGTCAACCAACTTGTTGAACAGCAGACGGTCAGGTTGCTCAAGCACGTTGTCCGATGCTTCTTGAGGTATTGGATTCTACTCTTTGGGCTAGAAAGATACTCTACTAAATTATTTCCTCCTTCTTTTCCTTATAGGCTTAGCGATAATCCACGTGCCCGTGAAGCATTGAGACAATGCCTTCCAGAGCCACTTCGAGATGCCACGTTCTCTCAAGTTCTTCGCGATGACCAAGCAACAAAGCGCTGTCTAGCCCAGCTCTTAATCAATCTCTCAGATTGCGTGGTTGAGCAGTAATATCTGCGGTTTATCCGCCGGTTGGCTCATAGAGCTCTCTTTAGACCAGCACGAACCCGAATACTAATACTAACTAACTAAAATGGTGAGACAACCTGGGTTTCTCTGGACACATCACGGCCATTACACATCCATCCGACCCACACTTTATATATATGATGTCAAAAGCGATTTTTTTCCCCCAGATACCCCATGCCAAACTTTTTCCTTTCGCCTATTATATAATAAATCCCCGGCCTTTCCTCTCTTTATGTCGTTTTGTTTTGTTTTGTTCTTATACATACATGGAATTCCCAGGCGTCAGTTGCAATGGTAGACATGTCGACTTCGAGGAAACGACCACACGTTTCCTTTTACAACCCGTGCCCCACACACTGGTTTATATACTCTGTATACGTATTCTTAATTACCTCCTTTCGAAGGATTTTTGTTCTTCTTCCCCCTCTTTCTTTCTTTTCTTCCCCCTCCCGATTGACCCTTCCCCTCCTTTCTCCCCCTTTCAGCATCAAATGGGCTTTTGTTGCCACTCCCCTACTGATAAAAGGCACAGAAATGACTGGAGAGCCTCTTTGTAACAATACACGAATTCGGCGTGTGCGGTTTGCTTAAGTACGGGGAGACCTCTCAACTGTCCATATTTTTGTATAATATTTCTACGTAGCTTCCTGGTTTTCTTTAGTTCCTCCCGTAATTTTTTTTCATTCATTCATCCAGATACATGGGGCCCGGGGTGCTTTCAATGCCACAAATTGGCCGTCTCGAAGAAAAGTCTAATATAGGGTCAACTTTTGAAGCTTTGTGAATTTGAATCCGTCGGATCTAATATTGATTTGAAAGAGTGTCTAAAAAGTATGTAATTGATAACCGGACACATCGTCACGTTGAGGACTCTTTTGTATAAATACTTCTTATGTAAGTAGGGGATGATAGTAATATTGTACAGGCATTCCGATATAATACAAATCAAATTACGGAATGTGCAAATAACACCAAAAACTGTAGGACCCTGGATGATCATTGCGCATGAACGTAGGATAGAAGTCGTGTAGATGAGTAGGTCCGGTACGCGGTAAGTATAGTAAATTATCAGCAGGCACCTAGTACTTAGGTAGATACCCTAGGTACATGTACTATATCTATACGTATCGAAATCGATCGATGCCTAGAATTAGTTTCATGAAAGCCTATGGTTTTGCCCGGGCCAGGATCCCTTTTTCTTCCTTCTTTGAATTTTTGCTAGATAGTTATTACACCAATCTATTGTTATCTCCACGTGAAAATACTGGTACATATAATTCGGGGTATATGGGTATGTTCTCGAGATCTCGGATGACGGGCGAATTGGCATATACATTTTGGAATCGACTAAGGGAGGAGGGAAGAACTCTCCATGGATTGGCTTTGCTTCAAAAGGTCCTTTCCATGCATGAGATCGAAACTCAAGGACTATCAAAATGATTACTTGACGTACACATATCTGCATACCTCATACCCCATACCTGAGTAGGTACTTAAGTACTTAAGTAGGTAGGTAGGTACCTGTTAGTATTTACATTTGCCACAGCAGAAAAACAAAAAGTGGTATTCCTAGTCCCTTTTCCTATTGAACTAGCACTTCTCAGCTGAGTTTTTAAGAAGAAAAAGAAGGAAAGGAAGAGAGAAGGGACAGGGGACAGGGAAGCCGGGACAAAGTTCTGCAGTAAGTTGTGGATGTTTTGCTTTTCCTGTCAGCATACACTGTACTTCGGCCTACATGTAGACGCACGATCTCATGCGAGGGTGACGACGGGGATTGCTGTAAGTAAGTAAGTACTTACTCAAGTACTTACAAACATAGATGAAAGAAATGGACGGCCGGGGTTTGCCTGTTCGCACAAACCAAAGATCTTAGCAAGCCGAAAATAGCCATCTGCAGGCTGGAGACAAAGAAGAAGAAGAGGAGGAGGAGGAAGAAGGGTGAAGGATCTGTCCACACTTCTACGGTGCAGGCATGTGCATGTGCTTCCCCAGTCTCAGCTCGTCTTCACTATCACGAGCAATGTCCCCATTCAGACGATCCACACATTTCGATAGAAAAACTCGTTCATATCGTCACATCACGCTGTGTGATTTAGCAAGGTAGAGGAAAGAAGTTATTAGAACAATGATCGAATAGTGTATATATATATTTTTGTGATTTCTGGACTTGTATATGCTATGAAAATGAATCTCACAATAGGTAGCGAATAATAACCTAGGAGAAAGAACAAATTTGTTCCCAGCAGCGAGGGTATAAAAATAAACCCTCCGCGAGCATGCATACAAACTCTCAAGGAAGCGAGGCTCAAATATAATGAAAAGAAGAAAGACTCGATCAAAAAAACCACGAAGACAGACTATTCATCGTTAATCATGAAAGTTGAAGAAAGTTGAGAAGAAGAAAAAAAGAATGAAAAACAGAAGGATGAACAAGAAAGAGATAAAGAAAGAGTCCTCCAGCAATGAACTAGAAGGGGTTGTTTTAAACGCCTTACAAGCCCAAAGAAACTCCACCAGGATGGCCAAAACCAATATTATTCCCAAGATTATTAGATTTAGAAGAATTCCCAAGTGATAGTGACGGTGACAATGATGATAATGATGACGATGAACCTTCCAACTTTCGCTCGAGCATTTGCCTAAGTCAATCAACTAGGGCACCGTGCTGTCGAGCTAGGTTCTTGTAGAACTCCTTCTCCTCCTTGAGCTGCTGGGCCTCAGCCTGCAGCTTCTCGACGGCCTCTGCCAATTCCTCCATCTTCTCGACTCGTCTTGCTCGGGATTTACGAGCAGCCATTGTGTTTCTCGCTCGCTTGATATCTACTGGGTTGGAAGGGTCGAACTGCACAGGAGGCAGATCGGCCGCGGCTTTCCTCCGGCTGATACCGGTCAGAGAAGATCTCTTCTGGGCGTTGGAAGCCGACCTTGACTTCATAGAAGGCGATGGTGGGGTGAGAGAGTTGTTAGAGTCGTTAGAAAACTGCCTGGATGGGATGATGGCAGTGAGCGGGGGGGTAGAAGAGGAGTCTCCACCGATCATCAGAGCGGCGGGATTGACGAGGATGTCTGTGGAGGAAGAAGGGTTGATGGCATCCTCGGTGGGGAAGAGGGTGGGCCATTCCTCGGGAATTCCATCGTCAAGACCAAAGAGAGGAGTGTCCATTGGAGAGGAGTCGTCGAGAGTGTCATTGGTCCTTCCGGTGTGGAGAGTACCGATGAACGGGGAGAAGTCGTGGAAGAGGGGCCCGTTGGGGGAGAAGGTCATGTCGTTGGCGTGGAATGGCGAAGCCTCGAGGGCTGCCAGGGACAACAGCTCTTCTTCCATGTTTCTCTGTCGCTTGTTGAACTCTGAAGATTTGTTAATATTGATGTTTAGCGGGGATTCAGAAGAAGAAGAAGGAGAGGAAGAACAGGAGGAATAGTCTAGATACATGGCTAAAGTGTCCGTTTCTGTTTCCATTTCGGTTTCCGTCATTTCCATATCGACAGAGTCGAAGATGGAGTTGATTGGGGGAAGTGTGAGAGTGGAGATGGGAACGGGAATAATGGGAATAATGGGAATATTAATGGGGGAAGAATTACCTCGAATAAGATGTGATCGGTGGTTGTCGGAGAGAGTCTCTATGAGAGCGGGATTGAAGTCCGAAGCGGGGTTGACGAATGGAGAGCGTTGGACAGGGACAAAGGACGAGCGGTTGGTTGGCAGGGAAGTGGTGTAACCGAGATTGAAGACAGCGTCGTTGACGTTTCCAACAGCTGAAGCTGAGGTTGAAGAAGTCAAATCAGGGATCGCACGAGAAGTCGAGTTGAGGGGTTCTTGCGTCCTCCTGTTGATTGGATTGGGAGAAGGATCTGCTGGACCGAAGAGCTCGAAGTCTGCTGTGAAATTGATGGGAAGATCTTGATTGGGATTTTGCCTTAGAGGCGATGTTTGGGGTAGTGAATTGGGCCATCCTGGCGGATCTTGGGCTTGTGCGTAACGCAGAGCGTCCGTTGAGGGTGAAATTTTGACGGTTTGGGGGGGTGGTAACTCGCTAAGCGAAGTTATTTTGGCGGTAGTGAAATCAGGCGAGTCTTTAAAAGACGGGGCCTGATTTTGAAAAAAAGAAGAGGAAGCTATTTTGTTTGTAAAAGGGGGGCAAAGGGGATTTGGAGATGAGGTGGGAGCGAGAGCGGGGGTGGCGATTCAAGCGGCCATTTTGGCAGAATTCTTTTTGATACTTTATAATATAATTACTCTCGCGGTGATGATGGAGGAGAAGAAGAAGAAGAAGAAGAAAGGCCAGAAAAACAGAGGGTGACTCACGGGTTCTTATACTTTTTTTCCCTATTCCATTACCGTACTGTATAATTACCTTATTTAGCGTGTGGTTGTAGGTGGTAAGGCTGTCCTGCCGGCTGTTTGACAAGCCCCCCCAGACCAGCCTAGTACTTTATGTACATACTAGTACATAACACAGCCTCATTTCTTTATCATTCGAACTATATATATATATTTTTTTTGTTTTATTCTAGTTTATTTTATTTTATTTTATTTTTATTTATTACAAGAGGACTTGAGTACTCTGTATATTACATTATCGAATATACTCAAGTAACCACTAGCAAGTGCGACAAGTCAGTCCTGCGCGAAGAGTAGGATTGTGTCGAATGTGTTGAGGCTGTTTGATATTGTGTTGTTACATCGCAACAGAGGTGCAGATGGATGACTCTTACACTTTTCTGACAGAACAACCGAGTGACTCATTCTCTCGACCACGCAACTGATTGGCCAATCTGTTTCCCCAGTTCCCCATTCCACATCCGCACTTTTGGCTTGTTCCAATCAATCTGCGCGATTTCTTTTTAGTCTCCATCCTCTCCCGTAACGACATCACACCGCATATCTCTGAGAGACAGAGTATGTGGTCACGTGATTTCCACAAATGGCTGGTCCCTCGGCTAACTTCACATGAAAGCCGAAGCCGAGGACATCGACCTTGCATTATAATGCAATGACAATCGAATCTAGATCTTCTTGAAACCTTCTTTCGACATCCTCCCTTCACCACTATCTTCCCCCCCGTCAGCCCCCCCAGTATTTAGGTATCTCTGGAGGAAAATACTAGATCAAAGATGGCCTCTTCATCCATGTGCGGTCCCTCAAACCCGCTGCAGTCCCTCAAAAACCATGCCGCCTCCGACCGCTCCCTCCAACAGGACCGCTTCCGCTCTGCTTCACCAGCATCCAACCAGTTCCGACAGCAGTCCCATCTAAACCCACACCAACAACATCACGATGAGTTTGAACAGTTTCTCAGTTCCTCCCCGGCTGGTCCTTCTCAGACAGCCCTTCGATCCCGTCCTTCTCTTCAGAACTTCTCTATTGCTCCTCCATCTCCTGCTGCCCTCCATCAACCGGCATGGGCCGCTGACTTTCAGCGACTTCAACTTTCCACACCCCCTCCATCCTTACAGATTCACAACAAACCAGCTGTCACGGGATGGGGAGCCGAATTCCTGTCCCAACTAAGCACTCCACCTGCTCAGCAGTCCATCTCTCAACAAAATGCACCGGTTGCCGGTAGTGGCTTCATGCCTATGAACGGCATAAACGCCAGCTACTTACCCATGGCGACATCTTCTTATGAACCTCTACAATCCAACCATGTTGACACCAAAACATCCTACACCGATGCCGAATTCGATCAGATGTTCGAAGAAGCTGCAACATTACATTCCGATGTCGTTGATTTCCCCCAGAGAGAAGCCCCAAATCCTCTTCTTCTACAAAACACAAATCCCATCTTACAATCAGAAGATGTCAAGGAGGATGTAAAGGAAGAACAGGATCAATCTCGTGCTGATGCAGATGAGCTCGCCAGAACAGCTGGACAACTGGTCGATACTCTAAGCCAAGACACCAGTCGTAAGTTCCAGGAAAGCCAGTTCGTAGCTTTGATGCGCAAGTTGAGAGATAAGACCGTCAAAGTTGAGGATGGGAAAATGGTTGAGGTATAACCCCCTCTCTTCTTCTCACTTCTGATCGGCCGTTAGGGTTGTAGCTATGTGGCTGAGGTAGGTTGGTTTCGTCTAGGTGGCCAAAGATGAGACGGGGGGGGAAGATGGCTTAAGGGGTGGAGGACTGCCGGACGATATGCGGGGGGATATTGATGTCGGTAGATTCGGGCTGAATCGCGGGGATGTGTATGATCACGGGTGCCGGCTTGTTTATCACTAGGCGTTCTTTTCTCTTTTCCCAGTCTTTTTATTTGGCGGATCAATCGGTGCTCGGGGCGTTTTTCTTTCCAGGCTTTTTTCTTCTTCTTCCTCTTCTTCAAAGACTATTTCGCAATCCTGCAGCATGTTGTAGCTTCATATTATCATTTATATTCATCATTTATCATTTAAATTCATCATTCGTATTCACATTATTTCCGTCCATGAAACTATCCCTCTCAGACTAGTTTATGGGATCGTTGACCGGCGTTCCCTACTTAATTACTTGAGTAGGTATATTGTAGAGCGGATAACCCGGAACGGTTTCCCTTTATCGACCCAGACAAACTTCCCACCTCAAAGATGGATATATACCCTTGATATAACAATTAAACTGTTCGCATTCAAACGTAGCCTGAGCATCAATACCAAAATATCAAACTATCAAAATAGTTAAAATCAAATAGAGTAACAAAATGCAACAGAGCGGTGCGTTGGGTCAGCATGCGGACCCCTGGCGGCTGGGCGGGATGAACCATGGCTAGAGCTCCAAAAAACAGCATCTCGACACTACAATGCCGATGTTAAGCGGATTCCCAGGCTTCCCCGGAAAAACACCAAGCTGCGAGCTCCCACATCACTTCTCCGAGCCCATTGCCGGCTATCTTTGGAGTTTTTAATTTCTTTCTTGCCGATTCCCTTTTCTGTCGTTGTAATTGTCAATTATCTTCCGCTCCCTCTGCTCACCCATCCGCTGGTTCCGTTTGCTGTTCTGTTTGTGCTGGCCGCTATTGTTATAGTTACAGCTGAACCTGAAATCGATTAAATCGACACAAGCTCGACACATCTCAACTCTCCTCCCCCATCCTCTCTTCTAGCATCTCCCACGGAAAAGAAACGAAAGGATGTGGCGTCGGTCGTTACTGAGCCGGGTGGGGAGTACCAGCCGGATGGCATGGCGGACGGAACCTCAACGGGCGCATCTCCACTATTCACGGCCGGCATTCGTCGTGAAGCCTTTCCTGTTAGCGGACATCGGCGAGGGAATACGGGAGTGCGAAATCATACAGTGGTTCGTGCAACCCGGAGCCAAGGTCGAACAGTTCGATAACATCTGTGAAGTCCAATCGGATAAGGCTTCGGTAGAGGTGAGTACCACCTTTCCTCCTTCCTCCCCTTCGCTTTCCCCCTTCTAAAAGAGATGGGGTCTGGCCGTGGAGCTCGACATCGATAGGAAGATATACTGATCTCATGGATGGGCTTGGGATGAATAGATATCGTCGAGATATGATGGGGTTATCAAGAAGCTGTACTATGAAGCGGGCGATATGGCTATTGTTGGAAAGCCTCTGGTTGATATAGATATGACTGATCTACCAGAGGATGCGTCCGAACCAGCCACTTCAAATGCTGCAGCCGCTACAGACAAATCTTCAGCGGCTGAAGCACCAGCCGCTGCTTCCTCACCAACAACCAGGTTGCCTGTTGAGAATGCCCAAGAAGCCGTTGCCAAGATCAACGGAAGCAACAGCGGCAAGTATAGGACACTAGCCACACCTGCTGTCCGCAGAATCATAAAGGAACGTGGACTGGATATCACGATGATTAACGGCACCGGCAAGGACGGCCGTGTTCTGAAGGAGGATGTCGAGAGATATGTCGAGGAGCCCACAGAATCATCGTCATCATCATCATCATCAACATCAACATCAACATCACCATCTGCCCGTCCGAAAATAGCACAGACAGTGTCTCTAGAAGAACAGACGGTTCCCTTGACGCCAATCCAGAGCACAATGTTCAAGACAATGACCCGATCACTCTCGATACCCCACTTTTTGTACGCCGACGAGGCTTACATTGACCGATTGGTCGCCTTGCGTCATACCATCAATAAGAATCTGGCCAGGTCCGGCGACCCGTCCCTCAAAAAAATCTCATACATGCCTTTCTTCCTCAAGGCTGTCTCAGCTGCGCTCGAAGAGTACCCTTTGATCAATTGCAGGGTCGATCTTGCCGACGAGGCCAAACCAAAGCTTGTCATGCGCCCACAGCACAACATTGGTGTTGCAATGGATACACCAACGGGTCTTTTGGTTCCAAACATCAAAAACGTTCAGCAGCTTAGTATTCTTGAGATCGCTTCGGAGTTGGCCCGGCTCCAAGCGGCGGGGAGCGCGGGAAAGCTCACCTCAGCCGACCTCAAAGGTGGTACCATCACGTTGAGTAACATTGGGAATGTTGGCGGCACATATGTTGCTCCCGTGGTTGTCACGAGTGAGGTGGCGATTATGGGTATCGGCAGAACCAAGGTCGTACCAGCTTTTGACGAGAATGGGGCCGTTGTCCCGAAGACTGTTGTCAACTTTTCATGGGTAAGTTTTTTTGCATGCACTTCCCCCCCCTCACTGACTCGTGGCAATTCCCCTCTCTTTCGTCCCCGTCGTGCAACTTGTGATACTAACGGGTGTGATTTCGGATAGTCTGCGGACCATCGCGTTGTAGATGGTAGCACGATGGCACGAATGGCAAGCCTCGTCAAGCGTTATTGCGAGGAGCCTGAAGTTTTGATATCCAAACTCAGATAGGTCACGTTTTTGTTTAGTGGCCATCTGTAGTTTTTTTACATTCTTTGTACTTTAGCCAGACTTGTACTTTTTCTGTACAACATTCCACTACATAGTATGTATCTTTTACATACTCACATGACCGTACGCTAGTTATAACAGCGACGGAATACTTACCGTTGACATTATGCAAGGGGGAATCCGATATTACTTTCTTCATCTCGTATGGCGTAGGACTATATTACATATGGTAGCATTCTGATATAGCTATAGAAGAAACATGCATGGTAATCGTCTTGAAGGGAATAGCTGCCTGTATGTTTTATACGAGATATGTAAAAAAACCACCATTCCTGGGGAAGAGAAAAAAAAAACCTTTTAAGGTATCTGATCACGCTTTTTTCCCCACGAAAAGGAAAAAAAAGCACGTCGGACTCAGAGTTTTTTCAGAACTTGGTCCAGATTTGCAACAGATATGGTAATCCCAAATATCGGAAAGTGGGCCCCCTTGCCAAAAGCTGGTACCGCCAATGCAACAACCTTCCATGCTTCTCCGGGTTCTGTTACTAAACAGTCCCACACACACCCCACAAATTTCACCCAAAAGCTTCCAATCCCAAATAATAATTCCTATTTGGTACACATCGGCAATTGAGCGATCGGATATTGTGTAGGCTGCTGATGGTGGTTTGACTTTTTCTTCTTTCTGATGTTGGTGGAGCAAGGGACCACAATGTCGCCGACAGGTTCGCACTGTGGAGCCCTTTTGTACATTGTACGTAGCAGTATACTGTTCAGTACGTAGTAGTCGTGTACACAGTCAGCCATGTTGGGTTAATATTGGGGATCGCAGTCGAGGTGGGTCGAGACATCGTTCTGGTTAAGATTATGTACAAAGACTGGGGTGAAGATTACGTTTAATCGATTGCCTCCTTGGAAAAACCCGTATCTATTTCCGACGAAACAGCCATCCTTTGACACATCCCCAACTTCTGGTTTTCGCAATTGACCCAAGCGAGCGAGCGAAAAAAACAGTGATAGCAAAACAGAATAACGAGGACATCTAATCCCTAATCTCGACCTTCTAATTACCCCTTGCAGGTTCAAACTTTTTTGTTCCAAAACAATAAAGTAATAGTTGGGGGTTTTCGTCTGTCTGCAGAAATGCATTAGCCCCCCAGCTAGGTAGTTAGTCGAGACTTTCCTAGCAAAGTGTATGCGAAAGACAAGGTCCACGAGATCAAAAATCAATCCGACAAGGCTGCGGATTGACAAGGCTTGCGACCCAACAAAGGAGAATTTTTAGTGACCGCTAAACGCTTCGGGGTTGTATTATTCCTCTTACTCGATTATCTGGAATTCGCCTCTAGACCGCCTGGTATCCCCCACACTAACAAGATGGCTCAGACTTTCCTGCCTGGAAGGGGGGATGGTTTTCCATATTTCGCGGGTCTCGGGTAGACGGTGCTAAATTAGCTTCAAGAAAGCCTATGTTTTATGTTTCTGAAGGTCCAGTATTCTCGAAGGAGCCAAACGCTCTGATGGCTAACGTCTAAGAAGTTAGATTAGGAAGGAGATTTGCCAAAGCGTCTTCGAAAAAAGGGGATATTTGACGGACGAGCCATCTTTTCGAATCATCTTCTTCGAAATTTAGAGCTGTTGTTTTAGTTGCAGTTTATTCCACCAGCCAATAGGAAGGGGTTCCAACGACCTGGATCCATCGATTCGATCGATGGGAGGGAAAATGTGGCTGTCTCCCACGTTCTTCGTTTCTTTTTTCTTTTGTTCCTTTCTTTTGGCCCTTGAACGAAAACCTCCCTTTTTTTCTCTCTCGCTCTCAAGGGTTAAAGCTTTAGGCAATTGTCCAATCAGCGTAGTTCGTCTTCGGCTTACTCCTTCAGCGTGGGACAATAGGCGTTCGTGTGCGGAAAAAAGGCTGAGGCCCATTTGTTACGTGAACGAAATCTCGGAAAGAAAAGCAAACCAGGCTGCTAACTATTAGTTAGCACAAACCTCCACGTTTTTTCTTTCTTTCTTTGGGTGTGCAAAGAAAAGAAAAGAAAAGAAAAGAGAGAAAAAGCAATCAAGTGGGATGCAACTTGCAAAAAAGATACTTGTATGTAGGATGTACGAGAACTGAAACCGTGGAGGAAAGGAGAGGTCTCCGCAATTGGTTGAAGGAAGGAAGACTCATCGCTGCAAACATCGAGCGAAGAGCGATGCAATGGCGATGCCGAGGGGGGCCAGTCCGGCGTCTGGTCATCTTCTCACCTGCAGCAGCTTATTCATTCCTATTGGATAGACCAGCACAGAACAGAACAGAATCGAAGAAATAAAATAAAAATAAAAAAAATAAAAAAATCAGAGGGACATAAGTATGGACGTGGACATGTACCTCATAGCTTCACTGGCCCGCGGTTTGGTACATCACGTCATTAGGCATGAAGAACCGAGGACATATGCCTTGGAACCAAGCTGCCGGTAACTGGCGGAATTCGAGGCCACGAAAAAAGAACATGTCACGAGGGTACCAACTGCAACGGCGCATGCACGGGAATTTTGTAAAGTCTTTCCTTTTTGTCCCCGTCAGGAATGTCTCCGACCGCGCATGAAAGTACCAGAAGTAAAAGTACCAGAGCTATGGAATATGTTAGTCAAGTTTTGGGGCACGTGCGTCTAGAAATTCCTTCGTATATGTATGATAATACATAGTACGAAAGTATGAACTTTTGATTTTACGGATCACTTTTCTTCAGGTGGAAATTGTAAAGAAATGAGTGTGGAAAATTCCATTAAAGACTGTTATCATCCATAGAAGAATCAGGGAGGTCGAATAGTGGCTAATTTACAGGTTGACCTTGGATTCTCTTGAATACAAGAATAATAAAGAAAGAACACCCCAGAAATGCTTCCTGAACAATGAAAAAAAGGAGAAATAACTCTCAGAAAACCTAACCCCAAACAATGCCCATGTGGTATTTTGGAACTCCATCGCTAAGTTGAGCTCCATAAGGAAAGAAAAGAGGGAAAAAAGAAGAAGAAGAAGTGATTATCCCAATGCTTCGAATCAATGAAACGCCGATGTCAATGCTTTTGTTGTCTTCGTCGAGGAAAGAAGTGTCATATCGAGGTGTAGTGTAGGGCAAGTGTTCATTCGTAGACCTATTCGAACATCCTGGCCTCGACCTCTCGAAGAGCGTCTTGTTGAACTTCGGCGAGTGATCCGGAGACGTCAACGGAGATAACATCTGGCTCGCTGGAATCTGGCTCTTCCAATGCGATGAATTGGCTTCGAACCATATCATCCTTCATAAAATGGTTCTTGCGAGCTTTGACCCTTTGGATAAGGAGTTCGACGTCGGCGCGGAGATACACGAAGCGGACGACGATTCCGACTTCGGCCTGACCAACTTGGCGAATAAAATCTCGGTATCGGCGCTTGAGAGCTGAGCATGTAACTACACACCCCATGGCTCCGGATTCCAGTTCCTCGCTAGCCTTGTGTCGGAGGGTATCGAGCCATCCCCAACGATCTTCGTCGGTGAGTGGGACTCCATCTGACATCTTCTTGACGTTCTCTGGTGGATGGTAATCATCTCCTTCGATGTATGGAAGTTCGAGGGCTTGGGCTAAAAAGGCAGCAACAGAGCTCTTTCCGCAACCAGCGGGGCCGGTGACGACCCAAATGTGGCGGAGATGTTCAGTTTGCTTAGCAACTGGCTTTGGAATGGAGGTGCGGCGAGCAAGTGCCGCATCAAGGTCCAAGCTCAAGGTATCCGGCTTTGGGAGCGGGACCTGAACGGAGGATCTTAGAGTATATCGGTGCATGTTGAGAACTAAAGGGAAGAAACTCGTGTGGTATAGAAAAAGTAAGCTGTAATGGGTGGGAACTCTGTCACAATGTGCAGCACAAAGGTGGCGGATGCGGGTGAGTTTGTCAGTGTCGATATATCTGTCGATGGTGGTTGACGATGATGACTAGTGAAACAAAAGTCTGAAACTAGAGGGGAGGAGGTCTTTTTATACCTGTTGAAGGATTGGGGTAAGCTGGCTTCTTATAATAATTTTGGTGATCTCTTGGGAGATTTACCAAAGCCGCCGTCATCCTTCTACTCGTTTTTTTTTTTTTTAGACCTGATGAGCGCACTCCCTCTGCTGCTCTATGCATGCATTGGCCTGCATGTCTAGAAAAAGTAAAAAACTTTTAAAAAAAAGAATTACTCGTTTCCCCACGCTTTCATTAGCGTATCCTCCCTGGTCCCATGATTCAGCTGGCAATTGCTGGAAACCCCCACCCGCAGCCTATTTTCTCGTTAGTTTGGTTGGTAATGCGAAACGGGGGAGCTAAGCAAGTTGTGGCGAACTCCCTTCGCTTCTCCCACCCAGCAAATCTCGCTGGCTCGCCGATCAAGAAATTAGAAATTTTGGGGATCGCCCGTGCAACACCACGAAGCTCAGGTTCAGACATCATATCGTCTTTATTGTTGATTCTTGACCGTGCCTATCAATCGTCCTAGAAATTCCCCCCCATCCCCTCCCCCCATCAATAGACCATCGTGCCACGGCAGCACGGGCGGGCTCCGGCCTGCAGCAGGAACGAGCAGAGCAAGCCCTGATCGATCTTATGAGGGATTTAGGGCCAAAATACTATGTCGTTGAACCTTGCTTCCTCCACAATATGTACCCCGCGAAGTATCCTATTCTTGGGCTGCAAAAAGACCTGGGTCAAAGCAGCATGCGAAGCCAGGGAGCGAGGGAAAAAGGACACCACAGGCGGAGCCAAGATAATCTTCTCTGGCCTTCTCCGAGCGCTTGCTGGTATTGTAGTAAAAAAATGTATGCAGTCATGGTAACATTTTTGGTAGACAACATCTTGCACCTCGTTTGCTGCACAATCAATGCACGCAGATGTAAAGGCTAGATCGCCTGACTTCGTTTTTCTTACGAGGGATTTTTGAGAAAGACTTCTTGGAATCCCATTCGTGTTCGAAATGCAAGATGCATATTATGATTCGTAAAATCTTCTGTGGTTTCGAGGATTAATCAAGATGGCAGAGCAGGAGTCTGACAACTCATCAGCGAACAACCTTGTACAGAGCGGCTGGGGGGAAGAGCATTAGCAAAATCCGGGGTAATAAAACTGCAACGGGCCAAGTCTGGAGTTGAACCTGCAACAACAAAACTCACTTTAGTGTGGATCCGAGGAGAAGTACGAAACTTCCTCGTGACTGACCACGATGGTGCAGACCGTCTTACAGCATCCAATCTGCACCCCGCCTCCAAAGGAAGCCAGCTGCCAGGATGATCATGGTTTCCGTTTGCGAGCCGTAGATGCGGATCATCCGAAGACACTAAGGATTTTGGAGGCTTGATGGTTACGTTAGTCTCTTTCTTGATTGGACGGGGGAAGAAGCATGATAAATCCTAAGGCTCGGAGGGGTGGAAAACCCACGAAAGCTCGACCCAAAATATCGACTAACGACTCACCCCTTGGAGGGCTGGAACAAGATCCGGAACATTAACGAACTCGACGTGTCGTCATGATATCTTCTGATGAAAACGGAGGACTGCTTGGGAATACCACCACCCCCGAAAGATGATGTCAACGATGCAAATGCAATGAGCAATCGTGATGTATGCGAAGTGTCGTTGCGCGTTGGGCCTTTGAGCAAACTGCTTGAGCCTGCTTGAGCCTGCTTGCATGTAAGTACTTCACCAGGTACCGGTGTACAGACACCCTGTACGGAAGATACGAATATCCGACATCTTCAGCAGTACCGACTGTGTCACACGACGCATACAGGCTTGTGCGCATGGGAGAACCGGGCAAGGAGTGGACGGTAGCTGTGCTGCAATGGAACGTGGACATGTACATGTACACTGACGAAGTACCCGGCCAGCAGTTTTCAACCGCTATAGTTCAGACGGTAATAATAGGCCGATGAAGTGCCGGCATTACCAGCTGCCTGGAAAATGCGGGGAAAGTGCCAGCATTCCGCCATCGTCGACCTGCTATCTTTGGCCGGTTCTGGGAAGACTGGTCGCGGAGAACGGAGACGGGGTTGGGGAGGTAGAATCGATTCGATTCTATACATCGTAGGCCCTCTGGATGGTAGGTGCGCTGTGGCTGATGACATATGTGTTGTCGCGTTGCTCGTGTCGTCTATCTGTCACGTGATATATCCACCACACACCAGCCACAACGCCCCCCTCCGCATTAGGCAGTCTTCCCCTTGGAAGCTACGCAATCCACCACGACACCCCCAACATAGCAGCTACAAACCTTACCCTTTCTTCTCGAAAACATTCATCGGCATCGCGGATTTACGATCGCATCCACCTAGTTGCTATCTATCCGGTGGGTCCGAAGCTCCCGAGACAGCTTGCGGTCCGATATCCTCAGTAACAATCTAGCCAACTGAGTTACCACAGCTCCATCGCACAACCATGTCCTACTTTTTCTCAACCCCTCTCGATATCGATATCCGCCTGGAGGACTCTGAAGATGACAGGCAAATGGTCGATGTCAAACTTGACAAAACTCGCCGCGAGAAATGTCCCCTGTACAAAGATGGAGAGTCTGTAAAGGGAGCGGTCACGATCAGGCCGAAGGACGGAAAGAGGCTCGAGCACACGGGCATCAAGGTTCAGTTCATTGGGACGATTGGTATGTGACGGTAGACCTTTCCGTTCGATCCATACTGACTCGTTTCCTCCCAGAGATGTTCTTCGATCGAGGTAACCATTATGAGTTCCTCTCCCTAGGTCAGGAGCTTGCGGCTCCCGGGGATCTTCAGCACCCCCAAACATATGACTTTGAATTCAAGAATGTTGAGAAACAATATGAATCTTACAACGGCATAAATGTCAAGCTACGCTATTTCATCCGGGTTACGGTTTCCAGACGGCTGGCAGACGTCATTCGAGAAAAAGACATCTGGGTTTATTCATACAGACAACCCCCGGATATCAACAGTTCTATCAAAATGGACGTCGGCATAGAGGATTGCTTGCATATTGAATTTGAATATTCGAAAAACAAATACCACTTGAAAGATGTCATTGTCGGAAGAATATACTTCCTCCTGGTTAGGTTGAAGATCAAGCATATGGAGCTCTCCATAATTCGACGGGAGACAACCGGAACGCCTCCAAACCAATATAACGAAAGCGAAACATTGGTCAGATTCGAGGTATGTAGTGCATAAAGTTGTAATTCCGTGTGCACCAGTTGGGGGAAAATAACTGACCCGCGGGTTCCGCTTAGATCATGGACGGCTCACCATCTCGAGGTAAGAACAGTCACCTGAAGCCCTCTTCAGCATGGGGATCGTAGTCTCCTCGCGACTCTATTGAGACCCACATACTTGGCTAAAACGGACCCATATACTAATATTGACACAGGCGAGACGATACCGATAAGGTTGTTCTTAGGTGGCTTTGATTTAACCCCCACATTCCGGGAGGTTAACAAAAAATATTCCACAAGATACTACCTTAGCTTGGTTCTCATCGACGAAGGTAAGCTATTTTACATTGGCCACTCCGCATTGCCAACCTGTTTGTTTCACCTTCTTTTACGCTTCCTTGGTACCCACTGGCAATTAACACCCCCATGGGTGTTTGGGCTTCCCGTGATCCCCATCGGCCCTCGTTTCCCTCGAGACTTACAGATGCTGACATGTGCAAATCGCTCGCAGATGCCCGTCGATACTTCAAACAATCTGAAATAATTCTTTTCAGACAGGAACCGGGTGCACAAACCTGATTATATTGATCGACGTGGTCTCTTTTCTCATTTGCGTATTATACCCTCACCGATTGTACTCTAAGTATCATAATTTTATCCACATGCATATAAGATCTCCTCGTGGGATACCCCGACGCACGACCATCCAAGCTTTGCTTGCTCTTCAGCCCGGCCCTTCTATGCCTGCCTAGCCGATTCTTGTTATAGGATTAATCTACAACTTTCGCATTACGCTGCGGAGGAGTTCGTGACCCCATTTGAAGAGCCCCATACTGCTTTGCTGACCCCCCTTCATCCTGCATCCTATTGCTTTGTTGCAGTCAATTGCGCCCACATCAGCGGAGGTTAAATCCCTCAGCTGCGCTATGCCGACCCCGCATTCTGTAGACACCCTTACCTCGAGCCTTTTTAGAAACCTTGCTCTGAACTCCCACGTTCGCCAAAAAAAAAAAGGAACTCTTATGCCCTGAGGTCCTCCGTGCAAGATTACGAGCTCCGGAGCTGAAGACCCATCCAGTAAGAACAATGTCAATTTATTGCCCGCTGGATCGCGCATGCTTGACTAGCTATCGAGGAAACATCGATGAAGCCGCAAGCGCTTGGAGTTATACGCACATTTCGACTGATTCCGTGGTGTCTGGGTCATCGATATCAGCCATATTAGCCGGAAGGCGTCCCGGCTTGCCGAGTCCCGTGTTGCTGGCTCGAAGACTCTTGCGCATGCGAGATATACAAAATAATACTTACATAAGTGTCATGGGCCCGTGGTGCCTAGACGAGCTTGAATGCAATCTATATATATGCGGGGTTCTAAAAAGCCTCGGTGCACTGATTCATGCCCCCTTGGCTTGGGACTCTGAGCGCGCTGTCCTTGAGAAAATGAGATTCTATCTTACAGCTCGTATGCAACATGCGGCTCAGCCTAGCAAGAATCCTCGTATTTTCTTTGAAAGTGAGCTAGGATCTTGGAAATTGCGTCCTTTAAGTCATCGGCAAGTGCCATAATCGATGATGATCTAGATCGTGGTAGCCACCCAGTCCCGGGGTGTGGGATGGTGCGGATATTTGGAAACTTGGTGTTCATTTTCACTTCTTTTCTACATCACTTCAGTGCGGATGGTTTGTCATCTTGATCGCTTTTCCTCTTCATCATTCGCCATCTTGCCGATTGCGTTCATATCAGCCCTACCTATTTCAATCCAGAATATCGATAACTCCCAAGTAGGAAGTAAGTATCATATGGTAGCTATAGCTGTTGATATATCCCGCGGGGGTCAACACACTTCGTTCAAAATATCCAACAGTATTTCTCCTTCAGCTGCGTCATTTACAGCCAATATCAAGTTTTGGTCCCGAAGGACATAGAATTCTCTCGTTTCTGCAGGATCCCTTACTTTTCAGAAAAAAAGGCATTCTCGCTCGATCTGCAATAATTCTGTACGACTTTGAAGGACTCTTCAATTCTCCGAACGCAAGCTGGCAAAATGGCAACCAGAAAGAGTATCTGGTGTCGCGAGAAGTTTTGCGCTGACCGAAAATAGCACAGCGCCAATACGATAGCACTATCTCCCGATATCTTCCCGTTCCCAACAAACGTGGACCCACCAGGCGTCAACGCTCGCCACCAAAGTCCGATTCACAAAAGTCAATCTCGGGTTTTGATACCTGAAGATTTATAGAATGAGAATTTTCATATCCCAGAGGTTTCCTGGATGTTATTTTCTCTGCATACTTCGCCCTCGTATTTGAGGCAAATTTCATTTGGGCACCAAAATGCCGACAATCCACCACCTATCTAAACTGCATTTCCGTGCAGGGTCACACAAAGTTGGCTCACCCACGCGCGGCCACTATGCGATCCAAGGTTCGAATAAATTGCGGCATCAGAGTTACTAGTGGTATCAAAATGTCCTATCACATCACGTAAGGGCATTGGCCATCCCACGCTCTATTTTTGGCTTACGACAGCACCGCTACACCGGGACCAGCTTCCCTGCGCAGATCCCACTCGCCCTGAGGAAGAAGGCCCCCCATCCTTCATACTGCACAACAATTTTCTCGACTTCAAACTATATCGCGCATTCTGAGACATACGTCATATAGAAGATTGTTTAAACTGTCAATTGAAGTATAAGGATTGGACGCCAAGAAAACCTCTTGAACGGAATTTGGAAAAGGTCCCGAGTGGTTGATGAGCATGTCAAAGCGATAAAGTGGAGGGAGGCTAGACGTTTAGCGTTGTGAATGGGGACCTCGTATCCATTGGGGCCCACTGACGAAGGCTCGTAGGGAATTAAACGACGGGATACATATAGAAGACGACGAAACGTGGGGTATACCGATTCGACAGTAAACCAAAGACGTCCGGATGGCAGCTTGGGTCAGGTGTTTCCTGGCAATTTAGCTTCTATATTATGTAGCTTCTCAACTTTTCATGGATAAAGTGTCGAGCTCCAGACGAGTCAATGGATGATATATCGTGCACGAGCATGTGATTCACACATGGATTCCATCATTGTGCTGCAGATAGCCGATGGATGATGCGGAGCAGGAGTCGGGGTTGTTCATCGCTCTTATCTTTAGAATAATCCGAGAGTATAATTCTCGACAGGGTCCACAGCCCGTTAAGGTAATCCGAGTGGCCTGACCCAAAGCTCTACCTGGATAATGTGCCTAGAAAGTTTCCGGGCACTTAAGCTTATTTAGACCTTGTATTCCGTTGGTCCATGAAGAAACTATCCCGCAGGCCGGGCAGAGCGTTGGACGCTCACATCACAACTACCTACTTAGTAACTGCCTCCCTTTATTCATATATATGGCCCTACTGATGGCTTTTTATCAGCTGACTGTTAAGGAATTCGATTAGGATTTGTTGTCAAATTAGCGACATGGTCCATTTAGTACATATTCCGTGCTTTGTGGTGGGATTATACGTACATCGATACGACCCATAGCTAAAGCTCTTAGATTAATCAATTGGGTGATCTGTGCAGTTACCTGGCGTGCATCTTCAAGTCCCGCATGACCTCCTATACTGATTTAGACGGCTGGAGTATAGACTACCTGATAAAATCCTCCACGTCTACTATGTTAACGGAAACATTTCGAGTCGATGGATCGAATGCAGCTCGCTTAGTGTTGACATGTTGTGCTTTTGCTAACGTGTGCAAAGTCTCAAGTAGGAAAAGGCCCTCGGCATGTTTCCGTTGCTCGACGGACCTAGGCTAGTGTAAGATCCGGATGAGGTTACGGGGACACCGGAACATACATGAGGACGCTTCGGTATTAGAAAGTTGACTGAATTGGCGGTTTGTGGAGGTTTCTTCGTCCCGAGATCTTGGTACCGCCTATATCTTACTACTTTAAATTTACTGATGGACCCAGCCACACGCCACATCGGGAACCGCTTTTTGGGTATGGTGGCTTCTGTTCAATTCCAGGGTCAACATTCCGGATGCATAGGCGGCCGCTGTCATATGACCTCCCGCGCAGCTGATTGGGAGGGTATAAATCGGTTTGCTCAGGTATTGACAAAGCTTGTATTCTACACATAGGGAGCTTGGGAGCTCGAGCACTCCCCCCTTGCCCAGCCTAGTTTCACGGCGAGTGCTGTTCGCACCGTCTCCTCTTTCTCTCTTTTGCGCAGTTTACTCCCTATGCCATATGGCATACATTTGGGCCCCATCGCTGTTTACTACATATATTCTAGACCGGATCGCGGAACTGTATAATTGATATTTAAGTTTAGAAGCCCTCGGGGCCCTATAGCTTAGGAGTTCTGAGATGCAACAATACAAAGCAGGTCCCTCGTTGGCTGTCTTTAAATTGTAAAGGGCATACCACCTTAATCTTGATTCTGGGTTTTGATGGTAGTCGCAAGCTATCGATACTAGAGCAAGCATACTTAACCGATTGTAGATATATCATATACGAAAATATATATCTCCTGGACAGGCAAAGAAACAGTGGCTCGGCAGGTCGGTGCGAATATTTATACAAGTTCGGATAGTTCTCAAAGTACATACTTCCTTTTTATTCTAGCCACAATATCAACATAAGGATATAGATGGAAGTAGCCAACTTCGTCACACTACAGGTCAATCTAGATCGAATAGCGGGTTCAGATCCTCATTGTCGCATGGCCTTACCTCGTTTTGGCTATTTGTACGAATAATTATTCGGTAGTTCTTTCCATAACAGCGCCGGTCGCATGTACATATATCTCTCGGAACTCGTGTCCGCATACACAAGGCATTTAGATAGCTAGGAGATGAAATGCATGCATGGCGAAGAGGGTACCTGCATAAAGGATGTTACCGGCTTACCGTCGGAATCCCCGTACTACAACAAATGTGTTGCAGTGACGTTGCATTTCCAAATGAGGCAACAGAGACAAACATGCAACACAGAATCTGGATCAAATGCAAAGAGACGTCGATGGCCAGGTAACTTTAATTTCCGCTGCTGTGCGACATACCGTCATGTCCGGGGGGGACGTGTTCCGTGGGGGTTGTTTTGCAGACAAATCGACGGTGATTGTACAAGTTTGTGGTGGTGGTAATGACGATGTCGTCTTTTATTCAGGTCAGTCGAAGCGCTTTCCATTTACTATTTGATTGAGCTGAAGCCAGAGGGATTGGTCTAATATAGTTTAAGATTGCAGGCGGCCAAGAATGCCAATCTTATCACGATAGAGACACCATCTCCAGGCTTTTAAAGCTTTGGTGATGCAATTATTCCGCAATCGAGTGGCTCTTTTTTCTTTGGGACCGAGATAAGCCACCCATGGGTCTTGTTGAAGCAGGAGAAATAATTGTGAGACTTCTAAGCCTGTCTGTTGCAATTGTATCAATCTTATTGCCTAACAAATACCCTAGGACTTAGGTGCCTTGCCTGTGTATCAGTCCAGGCAGAATTTCCACGAAAGGATATAAAGTGCAGTTGCAATTAATTTTCTTCACACAAGAATGACAAGCATCTTGTGATAATACTACTACATACAATTTAGCGGCAAAGCGGGTTCCATGGAATGACAATTGCTTGTTCCCCTCACCACGGTTTGACAGGGCAACAATCTGGACTTCGCTGGCATCATCGGAGCTTATGACAATGTCGTCGGCGAGCCACCTGAGAATGGAAGTTTGTTTGTGCGAGACGAGACGGGCAGGCCAGGGGGGCCTGAGGCAACGTGAGTACAATTGACTGGGGCCTTTCATGATGGTCCTCCAAATTTCACTGGCTGGCGTGAGCAGAAGGAGGGGAGGGAGCAAGGATGAAAGGAAGGAAGGAAGGAAAGCGGGCGGTGCACAAGAAATTGAAATGCTCCCCTCCAAAGGCCAGTAATTTGACGGTGGCATAATGAGTTAAAGTGCATCCCAATCTCAATCTCAATCTCAATCTCAATCTCAATTTGTAACAAGCAAGGCGCGTGCTTCCTTGACTTCTGGTATTTCGTGATACCAATTGACATTCCCAGATTACCCATCAACATGTCACCATGATTCTCCAACCTTCATTCTTCCAAACGTTTCCTAGTGAGCAGCAGTCCGCGGCACCAGGCAACTGTGAAAGAAAAGCGCGAGAGGACCCCGTCTTCTGTCCGTATGAGCTGTTCCTTCGGCTTCCATCTTCCATCTTTGCTGTCCGCTCTTCTCTCCAACCTATTATATCTGTTCAAACTTAATTGTCGACGTTGTTCGGCTCTCGACAATTTCCATATTGGAGAGTTCGTGAAGAACTCCCCCCCAGATCCGGCGCTCCTTAGCCAGCACTCCGACCTGTACCCTTGACCTGTCAAAATCCAAAATCCAAAATCCAAAAAAAAAAAGGAAGGGCGTGGTTCCCGCAATTACATGCGTTCATGTTGGTGCTGTCTACACTAGAACCCTGCATAAACGCTTGCCCTCGATACGCTTGACAGCCTTTTTGCATGTGGAAAAGCTTGAAAGTCTAAATTATTTTATCAAGGGTTCTTGGAAGGAAGAGAAGAATTGATCAGAAGACGGATTCGACGACACTAAATTCGAATTTATTTTTTATTTTTTATTTTCTATCTTCGACCGTCAGGTGTCCCCGCCGTCCGCTTAGTCTTCTCGCCTCTGCCGCCCCGCCATAACCTGTCCCGCCTTTTCTTTCTTTATTTCTTTATTTCGTTCATTCTCGCTCTCCCTTGGAAGTAAGTACTTTTGCATTTGCCCTCATTGCCCTGTTTTCCACTACAGAACGGACGGGATTGCATGCCGGAGCGGTGGCGCCTATTTATCAAAATATCCTTCGTTGAAAGTATCATTTCCCTCTCTTATACTTATTATTTATACTTGCCTCGCCCAGGAAATTTAAACTGCAAGACGCAAGGCAAAGGCAGGAAGAGCTCTCGGCTTGTACAGATAGACGAACCCGCAGCAACAGCTGAATTGGTTGATTTGCTGTCAACCTGGTCGTTTGCCAGCACGACACGGCAGATTTTCCGACGTTTTCGACTAGCCATCCTGCAGTCCCACACGTGCATCTTGCAGGAGGACTGGACCGGCCGTATCGATAGCATCAAAAGGACGGGGCAGACGGACGATTGTGTGATAGTGTAAGTGATTAACCAGCCCACTCTGTGTGGAAAAAAAAGCCGTCCCCGTTTCCTTTCAAGATTTTTATTTTTTTTATTTTTTATAATAATGGTTTCCTTCACGTATCCGGATCATATCTTGTGATATGGTCCACCCAATAACGACCGCACACTTCACACTTTCTGCTCGGCCGGCCGTGTGTGCGTGTGTGTATGTACATGATACGTACTTTAACGTGTATGTCTCTGTACAAGACACACTCTAAGCTACATATCTGCCTAGTTGATATCTTATTTCGTCTTTATTCCTTGCTGTGTGTCCGTCCGTCTGTGGTCTGTGGGTGTGTGATGGTGGTGATGAGAGTGATGATGATGATGGTGATAGCATGAATACTTTGGGGTGATTGACCGATTGATTGATCTATCTCGTCTCGTCTCGTCTCGTTATCAGGGTCTGCCCATCCATCGCCCATCCATCCATCCCCGTGATTGGTGAATCTATATTTGACAGGTCTCCAATACCTAAGCGGCTGCGCGGTTTTCCCTACTGTGACAGGGTCACCGGTACGGGACATTCACCGGGGCATGCATTGGACGAAACAGTTAACAACTCATCGAACCAGACACTAGTCCTCGAGGGATCCAATAGAGGGCTTACCCGTCCGTTTTGTTCTTTCTTTTCGTTATTTTCATTATATTTTTTCATTCTCGCCCCGTTCGTTAAGAGAGGGAGAGAGTATTATTTAGCCTTGACTGAGTCTTCGATTCATTCGGACTGGGCTGCTCCTGCTTATTCTGGGGTCTCGTTGTTTTTGTTTCAGATGGGCGGGCAATTCGAGGCAACCGGAGCCCAATATTGACAGCTGGAATCCCTCAGTCTTATTCCTCTTCTTCCTACTAACCCCCCATCATCATCACCATCACCATCACCATCACCATCACCATCATCAACATCATCCTTTACTTATACTTATACTTACACTTATACTCACCTTACTTATTCATCTACAACTGTCTGGCTGATTGACTTACTGACTGACTGGCTCTTTCTTATTTCATCAGAAATTGACCGGCTTGAGAGGGGGATCCTATCCTCAAAAAGAAAAATTCCAAAAGTAGAGGACATCTAATATATATCTCGAAGCGGAGTTGGGTCCAATCCGATCCAATCCGATCCAATCCAATCCGATCCCGCCCGTCTTGGACCCTTCTTCCTGCTCCTCCTCCTCCTCCTCCTCCTCCTCTCCTCCCTCCTCCTCCTCCTCCTGCTCCCCCCTCCCTCTCTTCTTCTCTCCCCTCCACCCCCCTCTCGAGTACTTCCAACCTTCAAATCCTAAAAACTATGCCCTTCACGGTCTCCTAAATCCACCCGTCCATTACCTTTTCAACCTTAGTCTCTTCTATACTTACCCTCTGGAGGCTTCTTAAGTATCGACATTCCCGATTATCACAATTTACCTGGGCTATCCAAGCAATTAGCCGACCCTTCACCCAACCTATCGATAATACTAGTCAATAAACTAGCCACCTTGGAGATTCAATCCGACAGATATATTTTTTTATCCTTGGACAGATATATATACTTGTTTTCAAGACCCACAGCCCATCCCAAGGGAATGTTCTGACAATGAAGACTGTGTCGACGGTATGTTCTATTATTCACAATGATGCTCGCCATCTTGCCTTCGCCGATACCTCTGGTCCATTCCCATTCCCATCCTCATTCTCATTCCCATCCTCGTTCTCTTCCCCATCATGGCTTGGATGCTGATGATAAAAAATTGTCCCTCATACGACAGCTCTGCGCCACTGGTACCATTGGTGTCGCAGCATGTGGCCTAACCTTCGGCCAGCCAGTCGATATGACGATGAGCAGCTCGCACATTCAGGTCCCTCTGTCTGACATCTCCTCGTCCCACCGAGCCTCGCCTGTATCCTTCCCTTCCTCGGCAACAGGGTCACGATCCGGTGGTCGCTCTCCAACAAACCTTACGACTTCCTCTCAAGAGACAACAACCCCTGCCTCATCTTCCACCGCCGGTACCAAACGTAAATGGTACAGGAGATTATCCGAGGCAGCTTTGAAGAGACGGAGTGTAACACCCCCTGAAAGCTCAACCGCATCCTCCTTCACCGACCTTGCAAGGAGACTTTCCGTTGGCATCAAGAATAGGTCTCGATCTAATACATTGAAGTCTTTGGCCCGGTCGAACTCCCACAAGGCACCGATCACCCTTTCCGCACCCGAAAACGTCGACCGTCCCGCGACAATTGGTCCCAGCTTCACATTATATGGAACTCAGTCGCTCTCCAACCCTTCAGGATCCAGCCTTCCCTTCTCATTCCAAAGCAGCGTTCACTCTTCAACCTACCAACCCGAACATATTCACGATTGGGAATTCTATCTGCAGCCGAGAAGAGTACAATTTACCGGTGGGCCGGGTAATATGTCACCGCCCAGAAGCCCGGTAATCAATTGGATTAGGAGAATATTCCCATCGACGAGGTGGCAGCCTACTCTTGTCAAGCCTTGTGATATCTCGCAGGGTCCCCAGGATTTACCCGAGATCGACATCGAAGACCAACGCGATATCAGATTAAGCTACGATAGCTCTCGAGCCCCCTCTCCCGCAACTTCCTCGGCCGGAGGACGCTCGAGACGTTCACTCTCAATCTCTGGCTTCCTCTCGACTTCTACGAAGTTCGGACCCGGCCCGACTACCAGAAAGCGAAGACGTCTTTCAATCATCCCCAGTGCAACCTATGACCCTCCAGGTAGCTCCGAGGGATTCCCCAGTGTCCAGATGCCAACCAGACCAGATGCGTACCATTTCTCCCAGAATGCAACCGTTCGACTGATACCGAACGAGATGTCGCCGAACCTCTCGCCCAATTCCCCACTTACCCCAATTGCCCCTCCACAGACAATACTCCCCACCGCTATGGATCTGGACCAACCTCAGGAAGAGGATTATTCTCATGCACGTCGGCCATCCCTACTCGTATCAGAGAGAGCATCCACTCTAATTGGTAGTGACGACATTGAACAGGATTTCTTATCTGATACGGTTTTCGATTCGCTAAGGACCCGCGCTTCCCCCACGCACGCACCCAAGCTGGACACGCTTTTCAATGGTGGCGAACAATCATCTTCACGTGGCATTCCTGGCACCCTTGAGCCATCCCCGATCATTCTCGATGAGCCCATGCAAGGATTCTCTCTCAACCAATCGACATGGTCCGTGAATGAAGAGCCATTCACCGGCCTGACACCATCCAACACCCGTCCCCAGACAAGGTCGCATCCCGTCAGCCCTTTCACCACAGTTTTTAAACCCGATGGTGACAAGGCGAAGAGCATTGAGGATGATGATGATTCTGTGATCCGAAAGCTCGAAGATGACATTGCAAATGCCCTTAAGAGGAACTCTAAGGAACGCCCTGTGCATTCCACTTTCCCAAGAAGGAGACCGCATGCCCGAAATTCCAGTAATCTTGATACCTTCGACGTTGGTAGGAAGTCAATGGATGCACCTTCCATCGAAGGTGACCGTGTCGTTAGTGGTTCGGATTGGTCGGAGAGTGTGGCAAAGAGTGGCAGGAGCAGCCGGGAAATCGCATCCTCGGATAACTCTAAATCACGTCAACGCGCACCGAGTGCTCACACTAGGAGTCGTAGCATGCCGGTTGCTGGTGTCTTCGCAGATTGTAAGTGGCCTCCTCAACCCTTCGATGTATTGGCGAGGCGATTCTAACTCTTAGTCTATAGCGAGTGAGAACTGGGATGATGATTTTGATAATGATTTTTCCGGGGACGTTATCATTCCTAAATCTATCAAGGATGCCCAGGCTACGGTCATGGGACATCTTGGCAATGTCCGTGAGTTTGCCAAGCAGGTTGAGAACCTGAAGAAGCTCGTTGAGAAAGCCAACATGAGAGGTGTTCGCAATGGGCCCTTTTCAGCTCTGTGGGATGATGCGGAAGGTATCATTACCCTTGCCACTGTTGATGACGATGTCCCAATGTCGGCAATTGCAGACTCGGGTACACCCACCGCCGATTCGTTTGACTTGGCAAGCAATGCTTCACAAGAGAACATCCACCTCCCACGGCCTCTTAGAAGGGCCTCAGTCCTCCTTCCAGATGATGATATCTTTGGAACGGATCTATTCCATAGCCGCAACACGACCCCTCGCCTACCGCAGGAACCATTTCTTGCCAGCAAGTCTTCATCGCCGGCTCTCGTCAAAGATGAGAAGAAAGCGGTCACTAGCGCCAAATCGATCGTTGCTCGAGTCCAGCAACGTGAGCTCCCCGAGAAGAAGTCTAAAGAACGTCTAGTTCCTTCCCCACTTCAAACTTCAAAGGCTCCCACCCCGGAGGCTCGAATGAAATTTGATACGACATCTCTCCAAGAACTTGTTGCACATGTTAAGGGTTTGATCAGACAGCTCGAAGAGGCTCTTGAAGCTGTAACGGAGGCGCCGAAACTCCAAGCAGAATCAACCAAACCAGAGAATAAACTCTCGGAAGAAGATATCTTGTTACAAGCGGCACTGTTTAATTACCAAGATATACTCCCGGCATTCCTCGAGGAAGAGGAGGAATACAATAACTACAATAACAATAGGGCTGTCACGGTTCCCGTAGATGCTCTCTTTGACTTGACACTATCGGAAAAGTCATCATCAATCACAAATACATCGATTGATTCGCCAGTGGAGAAAGATCCCGCCTGCGAAGTTCTACAGAAAGGTCGCGCGAGATCAGGCACTAACAGCCGTCGGCGTCGCTCGACCCTTATGACATTCGTCTAATCTACTTCCCATACCTACTACTCTCCCCTTCACTTTTTTCTTCCTTTTTTTTTTTTCCATTCCATTTCGCTCTCGAAGAAAAAAAAAAGTTTGTGTTTTCAAATTTCTCTACCATTAACATCATCATCATCATCATCATCATCATCATCATCATCATCATCATCATCATCATCATCATCATCATCATCATCATCATCATTTTTTCATGATTAGGCATATTAGCGGCCTCTCTTATCCCCATTGTCTGAGTTGGCATATTCCCCATTTCCCTCCCATTCGGAGTCTTGGTCATGTTGGTTCTGGTTCTTCTTGTTCCCTCGGGTGCATTGGCTCGGCGATAGGATTTCATATTTCACTTTCTTTTCTGTTCGTCAACTTGTTTCTTTGGGACGTACGTGTCTGGTGCACAGGGGATTTTGTGAATTGTCACCACCCCTTTCCCCTATACATTTTCAACGGCTCTGGAGCTTCTTTTCACGCCTGATGTGGGCGAGGGATTGATTCCTACCCACTACCTTTCTTTACACTGTAATATATATATAATTTCTGCCGGGGGTCTTTTACTTTTTCTTTCTTTTCCATTCCCTTTCCGCGCGGTTCTTCTTCTTCCTTGTCTTTACTATGCATTCGGCGCATTGTTGTACATACATACTCAGGTCATTTCGGTTTGCTCTTTCTTTCTCACCGGTTCATTGTCAGGTTGGGGAAAGGCATTTGCATATAGCATTATTGGGAGCATATACAAAGATGGAATAACTAGCATCGACAGATTCAATCAATTGAAACAAAACCGCATGGCCTACAATTTTGAGGTTGCCGGTATTCAGGAGATTCACCTTTCAAGCTCGCTCTCCCTCCTACTTGCTTCGTATAATATAACGTAATCGATCACCTGTCAGTCAATGCAATTGATTTTTCTTCTAATGGTTTGGTTGCAAATCTTGGGAGCCGGCCAAGGACATCCCAACACAACCCGGAGAAAAAAACCCTGGCTGGATCGCAACTCAAGATTACAATTAATTCGCATCCAATCTAGCTTTCTTTCACAATGGGCGATGGAATTCTGCGGCGACGGTAGCGCCCTCAACATCAACATATCCTCCCCTCGATGGTATTTACATCCGCCATGAAGCTGGCAATCCCACATGTTTCGAAACGACCTATCGCTGCTCGCATTGGCCTCTGTGTTCATAGCACCCTCAGAAGAAGTTATGGCTCACAAGACCCGTACCCATTCCCCAGTTCCAATACCGGGTATACCGGCAACCAAGTCAACAATGGCGATGCCGGTAGGCCTAGAAACAGCTACAAACACGGAAATCCACCCAAGAAACGACGGCAGCAACCAAACAATCCGAATCTGAATTCGGCTTCAACCCCAGTTGCTAGGTACACCCACCAACCCCGCCAGAGATGGATGAACGTCAACCCAGCACGAGCCTCCATAAACATCTACAGACATAGGCTCCTCTCCGTCCAATACTGTTCCGCTGTTCTCCTCCTCCGTACCCACGGAATCCTTCTGAATCCCTTCCATCCACTGCTACGCACTGCCCTCCAGCGTCACCAGGAGACATACGAGATAGGCTACTTCTTCCATCTACATACATCTTCCAAACTCGTTACGGGGAAACAATCCAGCGTTCGAAAGGGTATCCGAGGGAAAGTCCGTGCAGCATGGGAACAAGTCCTCACAAAACGAGGATACGATGTAAAGACCGGTAAATTCACGGGTCATCTAAAACCGGGGTTCGACAGATCGCTGGGACATGTTATATTACCCGACCTCAAAGGGACGGTATCTATAAACCCCAGCGAAGCATGCAGTAACGCCCCGTACCAGGATATCATAGCCGCCTGCGAACACGGACTCGAAGCCGTGCTGAATTGTAAACATAGGAATATGACGTTGGAGGAATGGATGAAACCTGAGAATCTATGGAGGTTTTATGATTGGAAGAGACGGGATTTGTTGAACAAATATATGGCTATGGGGCATGGTCTTGGTCATAGTAACGAGGCTTCACAAATCTTTAGGTCAGCACTTATCGGCCTAAGAAGTGGGAAGACAGATATCAGGATGAATGGGAAGAGGACACCTGAGGGAGGGTACCTTGTGGACCTCGATGGCGAAACATTTGATCTCGCACCGCTCAGGGGACCCTCGCCACAGAAATCAGATCTGGAGCAACGTCAGTTTAATGACGATGATACTAAGCTTTTCCAAGAAGCATTCGAAAAGGGTGACGTCGATATGGAAGGGTTGTTTGGGGGGGCTAATGACGATGAGTTTGGCAGTGGTGGCTTGGATTGGGGCCTTGACGATATAGAACCCGAGGGTGATTCTCGGTCAGCGTCGGGGGAAGCCACCAAAAAGCAACCGCAATACCTAGACGATTTTTAGGCAGTGTTGCGACCAATCCGACTCAAATATTTGCTGAGGGGATCCTATGATATTTTGTTCCTCTACAAACCAGGTACTACTTGAGCTTGATCTGGAATCTGTATATATACGACGTACATTTCTTTTTTGTCCTTTTCTTTTTATGGGCGAAGCAGTTGTTCCATCTGCTCTTGGAGTACATACATATATCTGATATGTTTCACATGGTTTTCTTCAATGAATATTGTTTAGCCGATCAAAACAAAGATTTTAAACGGGGGAAGAAAAATAGATACACGCTATGAAATTCAACATGCTATCAAGAGCTAGAAGTCGGAGGAATCAGGGTCGCAGGAGCAGGAGTCGGAGGAGTAGCCGATAGAAAGGATTTAATAAATACACTGAGCAGGAAACGAAGGGTGGGAGTATTATCAATAGTTCGCGGACGGGGATAATCGACAGGTAGCTTAATATGTAAAAGGTTTTTTTGCTCGGAAAGAAAGAGGAAGACGGCATTGGAAAAAAAAAGACGGACTAGGTAAAAGGGGGAGAGCTGTCGAGAATCCCATTTCAGCAGAGCGAGAGCGAGGATCCCTGCTTGTTGGACTTTGAATGGTCGGTCATTCCTGGTCACAATTAGATGATGCGGATGCGTTTAACATGTATATCACCCAAGGCGTACTCTTGTGCCGAGGTTGACGAGGTATTCGACGTGACTGAGTGACAAAAGAGGGCGAGAGAAGAGGAAGAAGAAAACGGGCATATCGCTGGCATGAACGCTAGACTTTATCTTTTCATGAAACAAATGCTTCAAAATTTAGCAGAAGGCAGGACCGAGTAGTATCAAGCTAGGACACGTCTCTAGCGTAGGCCGATGACACTCTGTTGGAGAAAAGTATTGTTAGGAAAAATGCCTTTATACATCACTATATTTTGGGGGTCTATACGTACCATCTCAAGAGTCCACACACGTCTAATCCAAACCTTAAGCTTTCCTTCAACGCCAGGAACGTCAGGAATTTCCATTCCTTCCCACCAGCATCGCCTCTGTGATAATAAGTTAGTATATGTGTATATACTTCGAAATCATGTTAGTCGATCCATAAAGAACTTACAGCAGGTTTTCGCCAGAACAAGAGGAGCTTTTGGGCCATGCCAACGGTATTAGAGTTGGCGCCCTCACCCCGAATATCTGTTCGTAACCTTGCTAGAGCTAGAGAGCAAATAACCGCCTTATTTGGCTCCCTTGCGCGGTGTCCCCATCGGTCATCGGCATTGAAGCCACTAGTTAGATAATATGGGTTAGCACCACAGGTTTGTAAGTTCAATGAAAACAGGCATATCTATAACATACCCTGCAGTCAGCATTTCAATCAAATGTTGCTCTGTAGTTCCAGATTCATCTGTTCTTCTGAGCCCTGAAAAGATACCATCGTATGACAACAATACTTTGGCGCATTCCCTTTTCACCTCTAACATCTGCGACTGGGAGATCTCTGCTTTTGGTGGTATCACATAGAAGTCAAGATCCTCACGTAACACTATTATGCCAGCGCGGTCTTGAAGGAGATTCGAAGGACTGTTGGGTGGTGAAACTTCGTGATCTGCGTCATCATCTTCATGGGGTTGTGGTATGGTGGAGCCAACTTTCCGAAAGAACTCTAGCATGTATTGGAGGCAAGCAGGGTCGAACTGTATGGTACAAAAATTAGCGATTCAAATTTACCGATTCATATATCTGAGTAAAGATTAGTAAGGATTTTTTGACTTACGTCTACAGAGTAGACATCGTCCTCACGGAATTGCCCATCCGGGAATAGCCCGTTAGGGAACAAAGACAAGAGGACGAATTCTGGCAAGGTTAATAATTCATCCCTGGATATGACGAATTGGATTCCTCTGTATGGGATTATATTTTAATTAGCAAATGCTCGATGATACAAATAAAATAAAATAAAATAAAATGAATAAAGCAATAAATGCGAAAAGCTGTGAGAGAGAGCTGCAACCTACCGAAGGTCAAGGGTCAGGTTTTCATCTGGCCCATCTGTGTAATTTATCAAAAAAAAAGGTCAAAATGTCAGTTTCTTTCCCATAAAGATATATATGTATTTCATATCCATTTATTCCAAATATCGCCTTGTTTGAATTGAATCAAGTTGAGTTTGATTGGATTGGATTTCAGAGTATTCCTGACCTGCAAGGTTGACCTGGGGTCCAGCGGTCTGTGAGACCTGCGTTATAACTGATGCAGCCATACAGAAGGTAAATGATTCGATAGGACTCGAAGACTCGGTGTAAGGAGGAGGAGGCTCTCTGTCGTCCTTTGAGGAAGAGCCGGCTTGAGGGGGCTTTTGATTAGGAGGTGAAGCAGAAGCCTCGTTTCCCTTTTTGTCGGCAGAAACCTCGAGAGAAGGACCGGGAGATAGCGCTAGAGTTAGAAATTGGTTCTGATTCTGATTCTGATCTTCGACTTTATGACCGGCGGTTGTGGGATCCTGTTCCTGATGGATGATCTCTCCGAGTCCCCTGAACGGCGGAGGTCCTAGAAAGGGAGGAGAATCGGCGGAAGGAGAGTAGAAGGGGAGAGCCGGGGGGGAAGAGGATGTTGAAGTGAAAGCCGATGCAGAGCGATTGCGATATGCTGGACTTTGTTCAAAGGTATGAGGAGGAGGAGGATGAGGGTGATGAGGAGGAGGAGAAGGGTCGGGCAAAGGAGAGGAAGACCGAGAATCCGTGATGGGCTCCAATACGAAGACCTAGAGGGGCCGAGTAAACATTCAAATGTCGGAAGAGCGATGAGGGTTGAGCGACGACGAGGATGATGGTGATGGTGATGGACAGATAGATTAGCTACTCTATCAGTCTGCCTATCTAATGCGAAATAAAGAAAGGAAGGCGAAGAGAGCAAAGGAGAGAAGGAGAATGGGAGAGAGAGAGAGGGAGAGACGAGGGTTTGTTTGAAGTTGCGATGGATGTTTTGGAGCTTCGAGTTAATTAATCTTAAAAAGACGCGATGTCGATAATCCTAACAAGTATCCAGGGGGGGGCGGCTTGCGGGTTTTCAATTCACGATTTCAAATTTATTCAATCACCGAACGGCAAGCAAGCAGGCAAGCAAGCAGGTAGCGATAGTAATAAGTCAGTCCCTGCTCCTTTGACTGGCGATGGATGGTTAGAAGGAGGTTGGAGGTTGGAGGTTGGAGATATGTATCATGCAGATTTGGGGAAAGAGAAGAAAAGGGTCTGAAACGGGGCTGATTTGATGAGTTTCTCTGGAAGTCATTCATTCACTCGTTTGCTCGTTCTCCCTCTCATTCATTCATTCATCCATCCATCCATCCATTCATATTCATTCATCCAGTTCTCAATCTTGGTCTGGTCTAGTTTGGTTCGGTTCGGTTAGGGGGATTTAAACAGAAGAGGCTGAACACACCCTCTTAGGTACTACTAGTTAACTTACCCTCTTCCTGGCCTCCACTACGATAAGTCTGGGTATACGTATATTGACCATATCCAGCAGGAAACAGTATCTCCTGTACATAATCATACACATATCTACAGACAGCGAGGAGGCGAAGAGGCTACATGATCTAATCTAGATGTCTAGGATATGATGTTTGTATGTATGTAAGTAACTACTTACCGTAGTACATGGGAAAGGAGGCTGACAGGCGAGATTATCATAAATTAATTTTAAGTAATTCAGCCACGGACCACTTCATGAATTCATTGAAGAAAGGAAAGATGGTGTCAAGCCTTATGTAACTTTTAGTGTACATAGTAAGTACGGTACATGTACCTGCTGTACATAAAAGTCGAAGAAGGATTTGGGGATTTGGGGTGCGAGTGGGTGAGTGGGTGAGTGCCTGACGAATGAAGAGCCCCGGACAAAAAAGCCAGGCGCTTACACGAAATATCAACCACTTCCAACCATAACTTAAGACGATATCTTGCGAATGCGGAAATGGTCCTTATAAGCACAAGAAGGATAAGAAGGATAGGATAATAGACATATCGATTGATGTTTGATATGGAAAACTATCATCAATGCTGTTGCACAACTCCATTCTCCTTTGCCGCATCCAATATTCTCTTCTTATACTGCTTGACCGTCCCGTCGAAATGCTCCACTTTCCCTCCCTCGCACACCCACAGACTCGTGCACACATTCTGCAATATCGTAACATCGTGGCTGACCATCAAAACTCCTCCCTCGAAGTTCTTCAACGCATCTGACAGTGCATCCATAGCCTCCACGTCCAAATGATTCGTAGGTTCGTCAAGAACAAGCACTTGCGGGTTGGTCAATCCCAAACATGCAAATGCCACACGCGATTTCTGACCTCCGGAGAGCAACTCCATTCGTTGAAGTCCAACCGGCCCCGTAATACCAAAATTACCCAGATGACGACGGTATTCTTCGTCCGACTTACCCGGAAACTCTCTGGCGCAGAAACTCAAAGCGCTGAGCTTGGGATCCAAGTAATCCAAATTGTGCTGTGCGAAATAACCGACCCTCAATCGTCCGTTCTTGCTAATCATGCCGGTTGTGGGTTGCAACTGGCCCGTGATGAGCTTCAAGACCGTCGTCTTACCAGCTCCGTTGGGTCCAACGATACCAATTCTTGAGTCCAGCTGAACGTCCAAATCCACGTTAGAAACAATAGGGTATCCTTCCCTGTACGCAAAGGAAACTCCGCTCATCTGCATGATAGGCGGCGAAAGCTTTTCAACACCCGGGAATGCAAAGTGAACAGAGTATTCGGCCTCCGGAGCTTCCAAAACGGGCAGTTTCTCCAATTTCTTGATTCTCGACTGGGCTTCTGACGACTTCGCGGCATTATATCTGAACTTGTCGATGAAGGTTTGCAAGTGCTTCCTGTATGCCATCTGGTTCTCGTACTCTCTGATTGCCGTCTTCCTTCTTTCTTCCTTGGTAGCATAGAAAGAATCAAAATTACCACCTTTGTAGTAGTCTAGTCTCTCGGAATGTTGGTGGATAATATCAGTAGCCACTTCATTGAGGAAGGCTCTGTCGTGGGAAACCACGAGCACCGTGCTTGGGTATCCTTGCAGATATTCGGACAAGAAGACAATCGACGGGACGTCCAACATGTTAGACGGTTCTATAGAATATCCGAAAATTAGTATCAACCATATCTCATGGTCACTATAATGTCGATAGAGGGTAAGAGGAGGAGAAGAAGGAAAACCATACCGTCGAGAAGTAACAGATCAGGTTTACAGAACAGCGCTCTCGCCAATGCCAACCTCATCCTCCAACCACCGGAGAATGTTCTTGTCGCGAATTGCTGCTTCTCTGTCGAGAATCCCAAACCGAACAGAATGCTAGCAGCCCTAGACTCCGCCTTATCTGACTCCATTTCCGCCAATTTCTCATGAACATCCGATAACAAACTTCCCAGTTCCTCCTTGCTCTGAATATCAGGTCTGCTCTGTGCTGCCAGAGGCATATTTTCCAATTCTGCTAGTAACCCATTGATCCTCTCCTGCTCCCCCAGCAAATGCTTTCTCCAAACATCTGCATCGAGCACTGCCTGCAGCGCTGGCGTATCGTCTCCCACAATCTCCTGCTCTACGTGTAGGATGGTGATATGCGTCGGAACACTCAATTCTCTCTTACTTAACGCCCTCAGTAACGTAGATTTACCAATACCGTTCTGACCCACCAAACCATATCTTCTTCCATATGCCAATGTCAAAGTCGTATCCGTCAATATCCTCTTCCCGCCGATTTGAACATCCACATTCTCAACCTTAATGTCCTTGCTCTTCCCAGCGGCCGAACTACCGAGCTGTAAGGGATTGACCTGCATATAAAATTCCTCGTAGCTCTTTGTATCGTTCGTAGCAGTGATGAGTTTCGAAGCCTCATATTCGACGTTCTTGTGAAGTTTCTTGTCTTGCTTGGCTTTGATCTTCTTCTCAGCCTTCTCCAGCTTCTTCTTATCGACTCGTGATTCGACTTTCCGTGATGCCGTAGCTTCGAGATCAATTGTAGCCACAAGGTTCATGGTCCCCGATACCCCACTACGGGAGGACATGTTGATGGTCTGTTCCAGCTTACGGTTCGTACCCGCTGCTGCTTGTTTCGCAAGACCCTCAGCCGGCATCAAAGTCTTGACCATCGAATCTACTGTCGCAGTGATGGTTTCTGGGGCCGTATCAATGGCAGCGGATTGCAAAATAGCTGTAACTGATTGAATCGCATTTTGAAGCTCATCGGCAGCATCTGTAACTTCAGTGTTGATGGCATATTTGAGGAAACCGACGCAGTATTGGGTAAGCACTCTGTCGAGGCCCGGCGCCACCTTTAGAAGCTCTGCTTCGACAGACATAATGTACTCCCTTTTGACTTTTTTCTTTTCTTTCTTGTGTAGGGATGTACAAGCCGTGGATGAGGGTTGCTGGTGTTCGTGGAGGGGTTTATAATCCGCAGGTATGTACTGCGCAGGGTTTGATCTAGGTTTCGCCTACCGAATTCTGCCACAACCAGATAGTTCACAAATGCACAAAAGTACGGCAAAGCGGCAATCCTATCATAATTTTCGCTACCAATATTATATATCATCATCATCAATTAAATAAGTGAATGGCATGTCGTCATTATTTAAGCGGAACGATTCCGGTAAAGAAAATGCTTGCTCAAAAAAAACGAAAAGAGCGCAAGAAGTAGGGTATCGAAATGTCCTTGTAAGCATGATGGTAAAAATACCACAAACGATCTAAAAGCTATACAACATCCTATACAATGAAACCTCTAAAACAAGCCCTTAACGACAATACAATGCGCCCCTAGGATAAAGCTTCAATTTGAACAAAAGAAAAAGAGACAGAGGTGAGAATCACTGCCTCAGCTCTGGAAATAGTGCGTCAACTATTGTATCTAGTATCATGAACGCCATGTGAGAATTCAGCCGTTCGTTATTGAAGACTGCGAAGAGCCTCCGGCTGGCATTGCTCGCGCTTGATCTACCGACAACACTCGCAGCAATATCTATCAGGGTAGTTAGTATCTAGGATGATAATAATGGCTATATACGGAGGCAAACCATACCGGGTATTAGCGTAGCGAGCATTAAACTCGCCTCCGTCCTAGTCCTTGACTTGTCCTTCGTGGTCCGAAGTGGTCGATTAAATATAAAACTCTTGTCAGCCCAAAGATTATCACGCAGCATATGAATGTACCGCTCGATACTATCTTCGTTGGTCAGGCCCTTGACTTGCTCTCGAACCTTCCTGTAAAAGCTATTAGGAACCCTGCTGTCATAAAGATACGCCGAGAGCCGGTACATACCTTTCAATAGTCCCACCAAGTAGTTGGTGAAGGACGACGACAACGGCCCGCCCCTTCAGCCAGCTGCTTCCTTTATTCAATTCGAATACCTCCAAGAAAAGATCGCATATAGGTTTTACGAACGGGATATCCTCCTTGTCCTCGTATGCGATCAACTCAGCTTCGGCTTCCGCCACACTAACCTCGCCGCCTTCTGCCGTCCTCGCCTTAAGGGAACTGTCGGTATCGGAGAGTAGGCCACTATGCGGAAATCCCGCGATACTCGATGCTGCCGCGGTTAACTGTTCGAACATCGGCACAGTTCCAATAACATCACCCATTCCATCGGCGATCGAGTTATAGAGTTTCGAGATGAAGTCAGCCTCCCCTGCCCCATCAGCTGCATTGGCATCCGGAATCGGTGGGAGACTTTGTTGTGAAAGGAAAGCCCTAAGTTCTCTACTTCTGCAAACATCTGGTATGAGAAGAAGGCCTCTCAGATAAACCTCCAACGCCGTTCTCCTCTTATCTAAAAAGTCTTTCTGAAGTTTCATAACCACATGTTTTCTCGGGAATTCGAGGTGTTTGACGGATGTGTACTTGGCTCGGAGTTCCTGGTGAAGCTGGAAGAACTCACTATACCGCCTCGCAACCCCCCATTCAGCAGCCGGGAACTGGTCGCCTGCCTTCCGATACACTTCGACGATGTAAATAGCATATTCTTTTCCCTGCTCATTCCCTACAATAGGTTGCTTGATGCTAATGCTTGCTCGACCATATAAACTATTATCACTTTCTTGAATGATGTATTGTTGCCTCTGAAGCTCTTTTTGTCGGATCTCTCGCTGCAAGCTTGCTCTACTCTTGTTTAGGATTCTCAGCTCTGCAGTATTGTTCGTCAACTCAGCCTTTTTCAGCATACTTGAAACAACTGCGTCTTGAGTGTAGAGTTTGTTTATGGACAGGGTAAGTTCAGAGATAGCTTCAGCTAGTCCAAGGTCCCCGGGAGCTGCTTCATGGACTTCTGCATCTTCATAGTCCGAGGCTGGATCAGAAGAGAATCCCTGATCCTCCAACGCTTTTGCATTCTCCTCGGCAAAGATCTCTTCTCCCGCAAACACCGACTTTGAAGCGAAGTCGTTGACGAGGCCAAGAGTAGCAAGGCTAGTAGCTTTCTTTGAAGAAATTCGTTTAGGGTACACAGGCTGAGTCGAAGCAGGACGGGATATCTCGCCAGAGGAACGTCCGCTATCCGGCGTGGGGTTATCGGTCAAGTCATCGAACAGCTTGTTAGTGGAACCCTTCCTACTGTCGTCGACACTAGGCCGTTCTTCCATAATATGGTTGAGTGCCGCCTCCATTGCCTCAACGACTCCATTTGATGGCGAAATCGGGTCCTCTTGAACGGAGCCTTCCGAGAAAAGTTCATCCTTTAGGCTTCCTCGAGATTGCGATAATTCGCTTGCGCCCCAATCATCGTCGAATAGCTTTGGCCGTTTCTCGTCGTGGGAATGCCTTGACGCAAACAAATTTCCTTTGTCAGAAGAGCTAGAGGGCTTGAACTGTAATGAACCTCTGCGTCCTTCTGGGAACTCGGGGACCTGTAAACTATTCGAAGGCTGCGGTCCCATGCTCGGAGGGTCTAGACTCTGTGATCGGTTTTCTCGTGATGAAGAGTAGTTATAAAAAAGATCCGAACCTTTAAACCCTGGGAGATCGTGTTCCTGCATGTCGTCATAGACAGCAGTCTGAGCCCTAAGAATAGCACCCCTCGCTTGGTAATATTGGAGGTTACTTGCGTTCTTCGCCGCCTTGAGGAACTTCTTGACCATGTGTCGTGATTTATCTGGGATTTTAAGCTCCGGAATCGAAATATATGCCTGGTATATTTGCCCAATGTCGTTTCTATCAGAACTTGTCCAAGACAAGCCCGCCGGCACCGATTCCTCATCCGAAGCCGGGTCGTCTTCCAATGGATTCCGTAGTCCGTCGACAACCATCCAGAACTGAACTAACTTGATTCGGTCTTGCCTGTCCATATATTCCATGAAAGACGTGATACCAGATGGGCTCTTCAAGATCTGGAGTAAAGTATGCTGTTCGGCACCTAACGCCCCATTTCTTCCGTTTCTCGTCGAGTTCGACCTTGACATCGCAGCTGGAAGGGCAGGGGCTTTCGGACCGGATGATAAATGGGCAACCTTTTGATCTAAAAGCTTCTTTGCAGTTTCAAGACGTTTGATATAGACTTGATCCTGGAAGTCCGCGTCTTTTCGAAGCTGGATGGCGATCTCGTTCCTCATCCGCTTTGCATCTGGAAGACTGTTACAGTTCCTAATAGATCGAATGAATCGCTCAAAGGTTCGTTCATCAGCCTTTGGCGTGAGCCGTTTATGGAGTTTGGTTTTCGGAGATGTATGTTGTTCTAATGCCGCCCTTAGTTTTCGAACCGTCTTTCGCTCTTGAAGTGCACCTCTTCCCTATAGTTTTAAATTCTGTTAGAGCTAGTAAAGCAAAATCAATGGGTATATATCTTCGGCAGGGCCTACTAAAGTTTCGACTGTCCGGTTCCAAAAATCGGGGTCAGACATCAGCATTATAACGGGCAGCAGTACACTGCACGACATAATTTCTCGCACAAGCACGCTGACAGCCCTGCTTTTCATCTCCTTCTCCGGCAAGATCAACGGCAGTACCTTGGTTATGATCTTTCTCAAATAATCCTGCTGTATAGTTTTGGAATCCGTATAGGCAACTTGGACAGCTGTATGAAGCCTCCCATCTCTATACTTTGATGCAACTGCCATATCCAACTCCTCCGATTCCGTCAACTGTTTATTAAGATGCTTCCCCCTAACTACCTTCTCCGCGCTGGCAAACTCCGACAGGTGCGTCGTCAGAAGCGGCACCACCCTCCCCACTGCTATTTCGACTAGGTCCAATTTCTCTGCTCGAGTCCATAGCGCATAAAGTGCGTGTCTTATCGTCTTTTCGACCTGATTCTTGAAAGCCGGATCTGGTGTGATCCTTTGGTACCATTCATTTATGAAGCTGTTTAGAATAAGATCTATTATTTCGTCTATAGCGTCTGAAACTTTCTGACTTGGCGGGTATAACGGTGCTCGAACGAACGATTCTTCTCTTCGAATGGCTTCTAGCTCTGCTTGAAATCTCGCGGGACGAGTGAACGCTAGCGGTTTGATATTCTTCAGTGGCTGACTAGCAGGTTCATTCGATCGCCGCTTTTGAATTGTAAATACTGTCAGGAGTACCAGAAGTATAAATGTAATTATCGAAGTCCATATCGCCGTGAAGAATATTGTCCGGAAATTGGGAATGATCCGGGAAGCAACTGAAAGGAAGAGGACGATTCCAGCACCAACTTTGAGTGGAAGTGGAATTTGGTCCGGAAGCTCTATGCCCGGGAAGGTTTCGAATTCCGGGTCATCTGCGATAGTTTCGTTATCATCCTCTGGAGCTGGAGGGGCTGGTGATGTTGATGGTTCTGGGGGCGCCGGGGCGCCAGGAGGAGAGTATGGAGGAGGGGGATCAGGTATGCTGCCCGTAGTCGACATCTCCAGGAAGATTTAAACGTATTCTTTTGTGACAATGACCTGACGACATAGTAGCTCCACCATAATCGAGCGATAGTATACCTTTGGGGGTCTTGTTCGATTCCGTAGCGATGCAACTGATGATAAGGGTAGAAGGCTTTCTGGGTGTTGAGCTCGCTCTAATCCAAATTGTGGAGGTATGATGTATTAATCCGGGACTACCTAGCTATAGACTTAATGGAGATAGGAGAGCAAGTAAGTTACAGAACATGTAAGAATTAGGAACTATAGTCGATGCACAAGTACTACTTGTATATGCCGTACTTCGTATACTGCGTAAGTAGGTGGGATGCGGGATGTAGATGTGGATGTGGTTGCGACGTAATGTGGCATGGGTAGGGCGGTTTGCTTGGTTGGTTGGTTGACGAGCACAGTTGGCTAGCGCATGTGCTCCCAAGCTTTTGGCCGGGTCAGGGCAGGTCAACTGGCTCCCGGTCACGCGATGCTCTGCGCTCTCGATAATTCTTATCTCAACTTGCAACACCAGTCCGCAGAATCCTACTTTTTACATTTACTCGGGTCATAATAACTTAAAACGCCCTGCAAGGTAGCTTGCCGTGAGCAGGAGCGCATGCATAGGTAGATAGTTGGGCCTAGTGTCCCTGGTACTATACGACCAACAGCTGCAGCAGATGCACTATCATGACCGGCAATATTGATATCATACTGGGTCTTCAATCCTTCTGAAACATGCCACCCACTTGCTTCCTTGGTTTCGTGCCACCTTCTTGCCCTCCTCTGTATCTGTTCTCATGATCTTTACACAGACGTCTTCCTCCTGTTCTTCCTCCGATAATCTTTCAAACATCGGGTGGTCGTCCAGGTGTTTTGCCATCCACAAGTGTAAATCCTCTACGTCTGTGATGGTGTATATTATGCCACCAGGCCGTAATATATAGGCATATTCTGCTAGTAACGTGGGCCTACTCATTAGTCAGTAGCCGTCTCCAAACTCAACATCATCCAAGTCGAAATTAAACGTACGAAATAATCCTCGCCTTATGCTTCCTAGCCTTGAAGTGTGGATCTGGGAAGCAAAAAAACATCTTGCTTAACTGGTGCCTTTCAAAGAAGTTGGGTAAAAATTTCATCGCGTTCCCTCGGATTATTCCAATGTTTTGATATCCACCCGGAATAACTTCTTGTCCTTCTTTCCTTGTCGAACATTGATTCCGTAACGCCGTTATTCGGTCCTGGACATAGGCTGTGACTTGCATACGTATCTCCATACCCAGGATCAACGTTTCTGGGAACGTAGGGGCGAGTGAAATCAGTAGGCCACCGAAACCACACCCAATGTCTGCAATCTCCACCTTCTTCGTATCGAATTCAGCATCGCTAGTTGTTTGCGCTTCCACTGTTTCCTCGGCATTGTCGGTTGCATCGTCGAATTTTCGCTTTTTAGGGAAGTATGCGGGAAAGTAATCGCTCCAATCCATATACTGGGGTGATATTGGGCTGCAAATGTCAAATTATACCCTTGAGTACTTTTACGGGTTTAGCATCCAATTGAAAGGTTTCTTACTAGTCTAGCCTATGATCAGAAAACGGGTTCGCATGTGCTCGCTGTCGATAGAATCGTTTCTGCGGCAGGACCTCTTGCTGCTCTGTCTTTCGAAAGTCTATGCGCTTCTGTCTTTTGACAGGATTGAGAGCCGGCGAGGACTCCATTATCGTTGATGTCGGGTACAATTGTGGGGGTTAGAATTAATATTGTGGGTCCCTCGATGGTGGATGTCGAAAGAAAAGTTTTGAGTATCCGCATCCACATTTAATATTTGCGACTTAGCTTTCGGTATTTCCAACCAGCCCTGCTGGGGCCTTAAGCGCATGTCGAACCACAACAAAATCCTACCACTAAATTATAAAATACAAAACTACACGTAGATCTGATACTAAGTATTTGTCTACTTGATGCTGCCCCGAACTAGGTCCGTATAAAATCACATGAATTCAATCAAGCCTGCTGTAAATGATTTTTGTATTGGAATGATAGTTCTACTAATAATACAGTTGATATGATGCCACTATCACATCAGTGTTATAGAAACGTGCGTGGAGCCTAAGTCAGATATTGTAATTGATAACATGAAACTGCCCCCCAAAAACATCGTGATATATATAAAAAGAGAAAGGGGGGAATGTGATAGTAGGATTCCCGCCTGAAAATGTAGCAGATTCCCATGACGCTAGTTACGACCAAATAATATCTGTAAAAAGAGAAACAACCGCTAAACAACAAAGCGAGATGGGATGCAAACTTTGAGAGAGAGAAAAACCAAAAGCAAAACTAAGACCACACGGTAGGTATCATAGGATAAGAAGAGGGGGAGAAAGGGGAGTATCATCGGGATACCGAGAGGCCGTATGATACAAAACAGAATATAGAAATTGGAAAACGAAAGGGTGTGATTTGTAAGAAATAACTATAGCCCATGGCCCAGTGCCAGTAAAGGTATGAGAGTGAAAGTCGAAGGGATATTCCACGGTCTTCCTATGTGTTTCTTGCTCTGTTCTCCTCCCCCCTCCTTCTTCTTTCCTTCATTTTTTCTTTTCGTTTTTTTTCTTTTCGACCGGGGAAAGTCCAACGACGAACTTAGGCGAGGGTGTAGGTTAGTGGGTATGGTAACTGGCTTCCATTCCGAAGGTCCCAGATAGTCGTCGAGGATTATTACCTCAGCTGATGTTGACTAGCTGGAAATAGATACACCATCTTCAGTGGCCCATTTCATCTGAACTCAATTGACCCGTATATACCATGATCAGGGACATGCTTCAGTTCCAGTTGCTGCCATTTCTCACTATTAGAGTGAAAGTAAATACCCGAAACATCGCCGGTGACCTGGCTGAAGCAGATGTAGTAGAAACCATCAAAGCTTGCACCAGTAAGCTCCTTAACTCTGTGGTTCGGCACAAGGAAATACTCCTTCCACCTCATGAAAATATGCTCCTGCTCGCCGAAATCCTTGGTATGGCTCTCTTTGGACTTTGAAGATTTGGTGTACGGACGATAGGCAGGAAATCTGCCCCAATGTTGGAGGTCAATCTTTTCGGAAGCACCCCAGTTTTTGTTCTTTGTTTTAAAGGCGTATTTGCTGCCGATGAGTTCGCCTTCAAAATAGGTAGTCAATGTAGGGTTATCCTGTGTTAGACCTGTGACAACGACGATGGCGGTTGGTTAGTTATGTATCGATTTTGCCCCCCATGGTGCTAGGATCGTACCTTGAATACACAAGTAACCACACAGGAAGGACTCTCGCATGTCGACATGTTTGATTTCAACATGAACGGTATATGTTTGTTTATCGGATTGCTGGGTGCCTTCGAAGCGGGAGCCGGGCCGTAAGAACGATGAAGTTGAGTATGGTGTAAGCTATGTTCCGGTTTGGTTGGTTAGCACATGGGAAAGTGATCTAGTGTCCGAGCACACCGCACTGCGTTGTTGCGTGCCGAGCTGGTGGGAAATGCACGTACCCGAATATTGGAGTATGAAGCTGCTGACGACGACGGCAAACCAGCCGACGATGGAGCAAATGAGTCGGTCATGGAGTAAGGGCTTCCGGGTAGGCTGCGGTTGTTTGATGGTTTCGAAGTGGGAGATTTTATGTCCGAGGTTGAGGTTGAGGCAAGCGATTCGTTCAGGTCGGCGAACGAGTCACTTGACGACGATACGTTGATATGGCCGCCGCCGCCGCCGCTACCGCTGCTGCTGTTACCACTGCTGGCGCTTGTAGGATCCTTCCGAGAGTTTGAATTAATATTAATGTCGGATAGACAGGCGTCGTGAGGGTGGGATATTAGAGCACTGGTGAATCTGCTGTTGATGTTGTCTAGTCCACCGACGTCGATTTCTAGGCCTTGTCGCAACTGTTCTGCGGCAGAGGAGCGGGCGGGACCGGTTGTCGCCATGGCCAGTGCGATTACTACTCTATTATAGTGGCGTAATGTAATATAATGAAATGTAATGCAAAAGTATATCTGTAGGTACTTAATATGTACGAACGAGGATTGTCGATCAGAGGGCGCCCAGGTCTATCATGAAAGGAATGGAATGAAATTGAAGTCTCGGATGTCGCTTTAGAGGACGGGACAATGTATACGACTGGGGGGTAGTGCAGACTGATGGGTGGATTGACTCCGGATGATAGTGTACTCTATCGTTATAACTATGCCTTCTTGGGTAGGTAAGTATGTAGGTACTTATACAAAAATAAACGACGGTGGTGTGTCTGGCGAATGGCCTGTTAATTTTGCATCCAAGTTGAATTCAATGTCTGGTCCGTATATAGTCCGCTGGGGGGGCAAAATGGGAGGAGGTGGAGGTGGAGGTGGAAGTGGAGGAGGAGGAGGTCACAACTATTGCAATTGGGTGCGGTGAAATGATCCGATCAATTGGCTGCTCTGAGGGTCACTCCAATGCAAGACCTGGTCTGGTCTCCGCTTTCGGTCAGAAAGAATAGGCCAAAAGACAAAATAGACCGTGAAGCTTCGAACTTCAAAGCGTATGCACAGTGTACTTGAGTATGTAAGTATATGAGTAAACAGTTCTGAAAGGAGAAAAAAATCAGACCACAAAGGCGAAATCCAAGTTCAGTTTCTCGAAAGACGGCCTCCCTTTTTATCTCGTCTGCGCGTCCAGCTGCTGGCTACTATATTCAATCAATCCATTTAATGGATGGATGGGGGCCCATTTCGGAACCCACACTAGCAGGCTAGAGATTCTATACTAGCCGACAAGTCTACACATGCACCGACCGTACTAATGCAGGTTAATCCCCTGAGGTACATGCTATACAGTAAGTACCTCCGGAGGTACTTGCTTGACTTGGTGGTACCTCACACACCTCTCTGCCTGGTGAGCGGGAATAAATCATCGTCGCAGCATGGAATTTTCGAAATTCCAAGTGAGCTCAAACAAGGCAGAGCTGGAAGGGGCATCATTGAATGCGACATTTTTCCGCTTGAAGAAATCAGAAAGCGCCGGGGAAAGTGTTTTTTTGATCATGGATGGCCTGTGGGTTCCAACTAAACTTCAGGAAGGCGGCGAGATCTAGTACTCCAGTAGCACAGCACCTCATTGGTGTTCAGGTTTCGCAAAGAATGTAGCTCTACCGTAGCAGAAGACCGGTTTAGTGTTTGAACTCTTTCAATTCTCGATATTCGAATCAGCCTTTGCATAGTTACTTTTTTTTTTTTTTTTTTTTTTTTTTTTTTTTTGGAAATCTCTGACAGCGCCTGCATTTAGACAACATCAAAGCCGGACAAATGGCATCTACTCCGCATAGGATCACAGGCAAAGCTGCCCCAAAACTTGGGGGTGTCGAATTCAGTTTTATCCTGCTTTCTTGCAGGGAGCAGGCAGCGTTGAAAAATTCATGCAGTATTTTCTCGCTTCCCCACTTTTTAGTTCACCAGCAAGGTCTCTGAATGGCTGAATATGGGAAAACCCTTTCGAAGTTTCTTCCGTGTAATTTCACGCAATGTCGACGAACTAACAGGCAAGGGTTATAGTCCCGAAGAATCGAACTCGGCCGTTTGGAGTTCGCATTCTTCGCATAATTATACTTCCCTGAGATGAAGCCGCCTTATTTAAACCGGCTAACATGGGTTTGCGAATCTCATTCTATTTGTCACGAAGTGATATAATCGGTCTGAATGCTATTGCTTTGAAGATTAGATTTTGGACCTATTGATGTCTATAGAAGGCCGGAAGCATACCTCCAGTATAGAATACAGCGCCACGGTCGCGATGGATCGGCGACCGCTAGTAGCGGATTAAAGGAAACAAGGTACAAAAACTCGCCAGTTTAAATAGGTTTGATCTGACATTCCCTTATGTTAGCCAGAGGTTTACTAAAACAGCTTGACAAAACCAAATGCTTGCTTACCTTGAAGTGCAAACTGATGAGAGAAAATACCAAAGCTTTCAAGTCTTGAACGAGATAATAGAAAACCCGAAGACCTTCTGGATCCGCACTTTCCTGGATATCAACCAAGGACCCAATTTTCGCCGTCTATACACAAAGTTCATGAGCCTATGATAACCGACAGCCAGATTTCGATATTGCGAACCTCAAACGATATATGCTCGTTCCCCATGCGAATTTCTAGCTCCTGCCTTCCATCTTTATTCTTCTGTGGCCATTTCGCGTCGTCTTCCCTGTACAACAGTTAGGCTACAAAGCTTCACCAGGATGTTCCTCGGTTTTCCTTACTTCATGATTTCGCTCTCCTTGATTATGCGCTTGATCTCTTTAATCATGAGAGCACTGACGAACACTATAGACCGGCATTAGTCTAATTCGATTGTGACTCGACGGCAGGCAATAGGTTGCACGATGTCACATACTCTCTTTGCGAATCAAGGAGTCGTTTCGATAATTCGAGTTGTTCGCATATCGGGCGAGGGCGCAGCCACCGGGGACAACCTTGAAATCAAATTCTGGACGTGGTTGTTAGCTATTTGTCGATGCAATGGGTGCATAAGCTTCAGAATCGCGGGGTACTGTACCAAGAAACTCATGACCAAAACGGCCAGAGTGACCGGAGCTTCAAGTAGAAATTAGCATTACCCAGACCTAGAACCGGATGTTCGTATATTTTATTTGCATGGACGTACTAGTATCGGATATAGAACTGTTCGTTAGGCGATGACATTGTAGATTGGTGATGTTGATTGAATTGGCTAGAATTAAATCAACGGAGTAGAAGAATCAAAATGGGAAGACGCGATAAGAGCAAAGGAAAAATGCTTGGGTGAAATGACAGCGCACACGTGGTCACAGAGGATGCGTATTCTGGGGACCAGCTAGAGAGCTGTCTGCTGGGACCACCCAAAAGGACACCACGCATAACCACTAAGCAATAGAGGTAGATACCCAGATACCCTTGAGCTGGAGTGTAGCTACGATACGACGACGCCGACGACACGACTCGCCGCTTTGGCATCACTATTCCTCATACTGCCACCAATCACCCACCACCATCACCTCCTCCTACATCACCAATTGGTAGAACCTGCCCTGCTTGGACCCAGCAGACTCCTCGACTTATTGCTATCCCTACCACCGACCTGCCTCCTTCAACACGCGGCGAACGGTTCACTATATCGGACCTTCTAAGCTAAAGAACTACTAATACTACTACTACCACCACCATATCACATCGAAACATCGCTATCCGACCAATCTCGATTACATAGCCAATCATTCAAGATGTCGTTCCTAGAAAGCACGTATACGCTCGTGCACCAGGACAACAACTCCGATAGCTCGTCGTCGCAGCAGGACCTCAAGAACCAGCTTGAGAAGGGCTCCGATGAGATCAAGATGGAAACCATGAAGCGAATCTTAGTCATAATGTTGAACGGAGACCCAATGCCTGGCCTCTTGATGCATATCATCCGTTTTGTCATGCCGTCCAAACACAAGGGTTTGAAGAAGCTGTTATACTTCTACTACGAGATATGTCCGAAATTGGATTCCAGCGGCAAGCTTAAACAGGAATTCGTGCTCGTTTGGTAAGCTTGCAACTTGAGACCAAGAAAAAAAGGGCCTCTGGTTCAAAAGAATATAAGAATTCTGACGGGTTTTTATAGTAATGGTATTCGAAATGACTTACTCCACCCGAACGAGTTTATTCGCGGAGCCACATTGAGATTTCTCTGCAAATTGCGCGAAGCTGAGCTGCTAGAGCCTTTGCTTGGTTCCTGTCGACAATGCTTAGAACATAGACATGCGTATGTGCGCAAGAACGCTGTCTTTGCCGTCCAATCTATCTTCCAACATTTCGAATCCTTAATACCAGATGCGCCGGATCTCATTGTCACGTTCCTCCAGAATGAAAGCGACCACACCTGCAAGCGTAATGCCTTCGCCGCCCTTGCCGCAATTAGCCACCAAAAGGCGCTTGAGTACTTCAATACTATCGTGGACAACATCGGCGGTCTAGACGAGCTTATGCAACAGGCAATTATCGAGTTTATCAGAAAGGATGCTGTTGTCAATACACAGAATAGAGCCAGATACTTGAGAATAATATTCGACCTGCTCGAAGCTCCATCGAATACTGTCGTCTACGAAGCTGCGACATCCCTTACAACGCTTACCGGGAACCCCACTGCGATCAAGGGTTGGTCTTTAGTCGATCTCTTTGTCTCTTTATTGGTTATACTGACTGTTACGTAGCCGCTGCCGGCAAGTTTATTGAGCTTAGTGTGAAGGAGCCGGACAATAATATCAAACTCATCGTCTTGGATCGTGTGGACCAACTGCGCAAGAAACACGATGGTGTTCTCGATGATCTAACGATGGAGATCCTTCGAGTTCTTAACAGGTGGGTGCAGAATCTTAGGTACCTAAATTACTAAGCTAAAGTCTAGAATAGCCCCGATATCGATGTTCGTAAGAAGGCTTTGGATATCACTCTTAGCATGGTATCTAGCAGGAATGTAGAGGATGTTGTCATGTTGCTCAAGAAGGAGCTCGCAAAGACAGTAGACCAAGAATACGAAAAGGTTGGGTTTACACCAGAGTACGAGTGTGATGGTTGTTCTAACGTTCTTTGCAGAATGCCGAGTATCGCCAATTGCTCATCCACGCAATTCATAACTGCGCCATTAGGTTCTCGGAAGTTGCTGCTAATGTCGTTGGGCTATTGATGGATTTCATTGGTGATTTCAACAATACTTCGGCTGTTGATGTTATTGCATTCGTCAAGGAGGTCGTTGAGAAGTTCCCAGCATTAAGACAAAACATTGTTGAAAAATTGCTTGTAACACTAGGAGAGGTCAGGGCCGGGAAGGTCTATCGTGGGGCCTTGTGGATTGTTGGGGAATATTGTGTGGAGCCCAAGGATATCAGGGAAGCCTGGAAAAGGATTAGGGCGAGCTTAGGGGAGATCCCCATCCTCTCTTCAGAGCAGAAGCTCCTTGAGGCAGTACCCGAGGAAGGTGAACAGACTACGGCCGCCCCCAAATCCGCTCCAACTGGATCCCGTAAGGTTCTTGCAGATGGAACATATGCGACAGAGAGTGCCTTAACCAGCGACTCTGCAACTGCAGCAAAGCTCGAGGCCGTCAAGGCTGCCCAGAAGCCGCCATTAAGGGCCTTGATCCTAGATGGTGACTTCTTCTTAGCCTCTGTCCTTTCGTCTACCTTGACAAAACTTGTCATGCGCCATGCAGAGATCTCGAAGGATACTGCTCGGACCAACGCTTTGAAGGCTGAGGCCATGTTGATTATGATCTCTATCATTCGGGTTGGTCAATCACAATTTGTTAAGACGAAGATTGATGAGGACTCCGTCGATCGTATCATGGCCTGCGTTAAGTGTCTCTCGGAATTTGAAGACAGGAAGGAGTTGGAAACCGTGTTCCTTGACGACACTAGGAAAGCATTCAGAGCAATGATTACCGCTGAAGAGAAGAAGAGAGCAGCCACAGACGCTCGTGAGAAGAACAAAAATGCGATCCAGGTTGACGATGTTATTTCTTTCAGACAGCTCTCTAAGAAGAATGCCGGAGAATCTGCTGATGTGGTAAGCTCCTTAGGCTTCGAGGGTAGCTAAGTAACCTGCGCTAACGAATATAATAGATCGAGCTTGACCTTGAAAAGGCAACCGGTGGTGACGGCGCCGTCGAAGATGTCGCATCTAAACTCAGCCGGGTCGTTCAGCTTACTGGTTTCTCGGACCCAGTCTACGCCGAAGCTTATGTCAAGGTGCACCAGTTTGATATTGTTCTCGATGTTTTGTTGGTCAACCAAACCGCCGATACGCTTCAGAATCTCACTGTCGAATTCGCAACTCTGGGTGACCTCAAAGTGGTAGAGAAGCCAACGACTCAGAGCCTTGCCCCTCACAGCTTCCAGAGCGTGCAGGCGACAATCAAGGTCTCCTCGACTGACCAGGGTGTGATCTTTGGAAATGTTGTCTATGATGGTGCTAGCTCGACAGAGACCAACGTTGTGATCTTGAACGATGTGCATGTGGATATTATGGATTATATCCAGCCAGCCACCTGCACAGAGACCCAATTTAGATCGATGTGGACGGAATTTGAGTGGGAGAACAAGGTCAACATCAACTCCAAGGCGCCCACACTTCGAGAATTCCTGAACCAGCTTATGGCAGCTTCGAATATGAACTGTCTGACACCTGAAGCTTCATTAAAGGGTGACTGTCAGTTCCTCAGCGCCAACCTCTATGCTAAGAGCGTTTTCGGTATGTACATGCATATTACCCCGCTAGTTTCGTACTATATATGCTTATGTGTTTATTTTAGGTGAGGATGCACTTGCAAACCTGAGCGTAGAGCAAGACGGAGAGGGGGGGCCAATTACCGGGTTTGTGAGAATCAGAAGCAGATCCCAAGGCCTAGCGCTCAGCCTAGGGTCGCTCAAGGGATTAAGCAAAGTCGGGGTTGGAGCATGAGATTCCCCCTAAGTTCGTAGGTATTCGATTACATACGTACTTGCTTAGTTACTCGAACGGGACCGGAAGCTTAGGGGGTCGGGTTGGGGTCGGTAGTAATAAATATTACATATTGCGATGGGGCTGGAGAGGAGCATGCAAGTATCTGCCGATTGGATGGCAAGTGCAGATTTGATATCAGATTTCCTTTTCTTTTCTTCTTTTCTTCTCTTTCTGTTTTACTTTTATGTATGAATGAGTGTATATACCATATTTCCTTTCCTTTTCCTTTCCCTTTCCCTTTGCAAATGCTCTGCTACATGCTGTTTGGACCTGTAGTAACGTTCTGTTTCCGCCTGGCGTTGTCTGTCGAAAGAAAAGAAAAAGAAGAGAAGAGACTAAAAGATAATGCATTTTACTCGATATGGACAATGCCTAGCAATATGACCAGGTGCCTAAGTACCTACTATTGTATAGGTCCATAGTATATAGATGAATGGACGTAAATTAAACGCGGATGATTATAACAGTGGACGGGGCTTTAGTTCAACCGAGGAAGCTCCTGAGCAGCCACCCCGGACCATTCGAACGCGGCACTGTCAGGCACACACCACCCCAATCTAATCTCGCTCTGCGAACAATTGATTACATTCTTGACATGACAGTTTATCTAATTAGTATAACCATGGCTTGTTCCGTCACTTCCGCACCGTTTCTTCCTCATCTGTAACTAGCTCCTGGCCTGTCCTGGCCTTGAAATAGTAGATAAAGTCTCTTCTATCCCCCTTGAACATATCGATCTCAACAGAGCCCCCAAACTCTTTAGGTTAACGAGCACACGCACGCACGATGTCGTCAGAACACCAAGGCCTCGTTACATCGACTTCGCACGACGGCGTGGCAATAAGCCCCGAAGATGCGTTGCTGTTGGACACCCATTCGCTGATTATTCGCGAAGACCGTGTGACGATTGCCGGTATGAGACCTAATTTCGCCTGGAGAAGTTGGAGTTTCTGTTGCTAATTCAAAATGTACGCATATGCATAGACAAGAGGAAGTCGTCCAAGAAGCGCGATGCTTCATGCTGTGGAATTGGTGCGTGTCGCATGAGCGTGTTCAATTCCTCACATTTAAACCCGTGACAACGTACTTACCAATTGGCGTTCTTTATTATAGCTGGCACCGGCAAGCCTTCTGACGAGCTCGTTACTCTACATAATATCCTCTGGGCTCGGGTATACATTTCCGAGGACAAAAGTGCTGTTCAAATTACTTCTGCAAAGGAACTTTCTAGTCGACTTGTTAAACCCTCTACAATTTCTATCCCGATCGATGATGGCGACTTGGAAAAGGCGGATAGATGGGTCGAGAGATTACTTGAGAAGGCATACGAAGGCATGTATCTCTCAGCGGTAGTGCAGGGCATGACATGGCGGGATTGGCTATAGCTAATGCTACGGCAATATAGGATCACAACAGGCCAAACGTTTCAAGGTCCTAATAAACCCACACGGTGGTCCGGGGACGGCAGAAAAGATATACAAAACCGAGATCGAACCGATATTCGCCGCCGCTAGTTGCCATATCGATGTTGAACATACAGAGTACTCCGAGCATGCGATCAAGATCGCACAGGAGTTAGATATCGAGGCATATGATGCTGTAGTCTGTATCTCTGGCGACGGCGTGCCGCATGAGGTGTTCAACGGTCTTGCAAGAAGACCGGATGCCCGGAAAGCATTGAATAAAATCGCAGTTTGCCAATTACCCGGTGGGTCTGGCAATGGCATGTGCTGGAGCTTTACAGGAACGGATGCGCCGAGCTTAGCAGCCGTTGCTCTTGTTAAGGGAAAACGGACGCCGTTCGATTTGGTTTCCGTTACCCAGGGAGATAAAAGGATACTTTCCTTCTTGTCCCAGTCTGTCGGACTGACGGCCGAACTTGATCTAGGGACGGAGAATATGAGGTGGATGGGTAATACCAGATTTACGGTTGGGTTCCTGCAGAGGGTTATTACAGAAAGAATATACCCATCTGAGATCCATGTTAAGCTAGCGATTGAGAGTAAGGAAGAGATCCGCCGGAATGCGTCTACAGTTAGGTTGCCTCCCGATGGAGAACACGAATATGAAGGGCTGCCGCCGTTGCAGTATGGCACTGTGAATGACCCGGTGCCTGATGACTGGGTCGCGGAATCCCACCCCAAAATGGGCAACTTTTACTGCGGAAACGTAAGTTGAGATTGTTTGGTTCCAGTGCATGGATCTACGGTGCTAATGTGGTTTTAGATGATTTGCATGTCGAAAGATATCCATTTCTTCCCGGCCGCCAAACCTAACGATGGTCACATGGACCTAGCTACTATGGATGGTGACGTTGGGCGATTGAAAGCGGTGGGAGTTATGCTTGGTGCTGAGACTGGAAAACACTTCGACATTCCTGAATTGAACTACAGGAAAGTGCTTGCATACAGGTTTACGCCAAAGAATCAAAAGGATGGATACATCAGTATCGACGGTGAGAAGGTTGCATTCGCACCTTTTCAGGCAGAGATCCACCATGGACTCGGAGTTTCATTATCATTGAGACCTAACGTGTATGAAGGGCCAACCTTGGTCTAAAAGGGTTATCAAGGGAGTTATATCGGTCTGGTTGGCGTTGTTTTCTGGGGGCCTTTCCTCCGTAACTTGTAATATAGGATACCGTGATAGCAGCATTTTAATTTGCAACAGTTGGTATTGCGGGGTATAGAAGGTCGCTCTATAGTTGTGATTCGTACAGAAGAAAAAAAGAAGGCTAATAGTACAATGTCGTTTCATTCCCTCGTATTCACCCGATCTAACCGATTGGAACTTTTAATAGAGGTTGCAGTCGCTCATCCTCCAGCATTTCCGTTACATTTTTTCGTATCGGCTTTGACAATGTTTCTTTCTGGAGTTTTCGGAAGGGTCGTAGAACAGCTTCTGTTTGCTCTGGAGTGATGTCGTATTCTTCCTCGGCTTCTTCTTCCTCTTCTTTTCCTTCTTCTTCGTTGTCTTCACTGGCCTCTTTTTCGACTTTTGCAACTTTGATTAATTCGTCGACGAATATATCAACCACATGGTACCGTAGCCCGTCAGGCATCTTCGAATTTGTAGGACTATCGATCACCCATAGTTAGCCTTTTCCTTCCTAGCCATTTCCAAGATATACGTAGAAGAACAAAAGACATACTGCAACGTCAGCCCTTCCAACACCTCATTCCTTCTCCCCACGACCCCTTCATCCCACCCAATAGCCTTTAAACACCTCAATTCAGCCGCCAAATACCGTCTAACCAACAGCATGAACTTATCCATTCTCAGTGAATCAATAGATGTCCATTCTCTCGTCATAGTCGCCCAATACGCTTCTAAAAATGTTATAACATTATGAGGTTTTAAGACTTCGACCAGAGATGCAAGTTCGTCCGCTAATCGCTGTTGTGTACGAGGACGGTCCGACAGCCACATGCAATAGAAGAGTCCTTTCCAGAGCTTTAACAGGTCGGATTGTGTGAAGGTGCGGGAGGAAGAAAGGTAGGCTTTTAGAGATTCAACGGCCTTGTCGCGGGTTGGACGGTCTATAGATCACATTCGATTAGAATTCCGAGTGAAGTTCTTGAGATTGTACCGAGGAGAGATTATACCATTTGCAGCAAGCTGCTTAATAAAAGGAGTCTGCTGGATACTGCTGTCGGTCGTCATTTTTAATTTTTTTTCGGTTTGGCAATGTCAATTGAGATTTAGCTGTGGCAGTTTGAAGGTTGAAATTTTGCGACGAAAAGCCCAAAGCGGAACCTGCGCGACCTTAGCACGAGACGAGACTCCCAAGTTGAAGTCACGTGAGTCCAGAGCTGGTGTCGAAAATAACACAGCAGAAACACATGCAACGGCCCTCCAAATTACACCGGCCAAATCCAGGTATATAAAACAAAGATACCAGGTTCGTAATTTCCAGGCATTAACTACAATCCTATGCTAAATATATAAGCTTGTGACAGTCAATCACTATGGTTTCAATATAGTTTTAAGGCTATATATACATGCATATTATGTGAAAGTTTAATAACAGCCACCGACCATTCACCGCGGAGAACCGGAGTCTGAGAACATCGGTTCTGGAAATGTATGTAACGGCACTAAATTTGAGGAGGCGAAATCATTACTGCCAACAAGCATTTTGGCTCCGAAGTCTAAGGGCGCAGCGGCTGAACTGACCAAATGGAGGAAGGCTTGTCCAAGTGGCAGTTGACGGGTCACACAAACCAACCTCCAGATATCAGTCGAAGCTCTGGAAAACGGGTCTGGTGACCGAGGGGTTGGTGGCTTTGGGGATATATAAAGTACTAAGTATGCGGCCCGATCCCGTAGTCCACTTTTCACATTATTCCACACACCCTCGTTCCAAGAACCAGGTATATTAACCTTCGGAATAGTATTATCTTAATATTATTTAGTGGCCAGAAAAAACCCTAATATTAAAGCAAAATGAAGACTAGTACTCAAGTTCTTCTAAGGTATGGATTCTACTCCAAATTTGCCTAAATTTTGCATATATATTACACTACATCGTGGATCTTGCTGACTTCAGGGATAAAAATAGTTTGATGGCCATTGGTGCTTCCGCTTACCCAGAAGGAACACCGACAGCAGAATACTCTCCTGTGGTCACTGGAGACGGATGTCCTGCCAAATACGACCCAAACTGCCCATACTTCTGTAATAGCCGTGGCCAGGGCAGCAATTGTTCCCCAAATTTCATCACAGGCCCGGGTACCCCAGGTTGTTTCGTCTGCCCTGGAATCCCAAGCGAATGTCCCAGTAAACCCAATGACTCTTGCGCATACATCTGCACCGGGTCAGCGGATATCAACCTTGGACCCGGAAGCCCCAATGTTTTCTGCGCGCCTTCGGATGCCAGTTTAGAACCTCTGGGCGATAGTACAACAAAGGCAATTACTTGTGTAATTTGCTCGGATGATGATGATGGTACCCCTACAGACCCTCCTCCCTCGGAAGATACAGAAACACCTACTGTGCCCCCTCCCCCAGAAGATACGGCTGCGCCTCCACCTGAAGATACGACTACACCTCCACCTGAAGATACGACTACATCTCCTCCACCTGAAGAAACGACAACAACTAGTACTCCTCCACCTTCATACAATACTACTACACCTACCATCCCTTCTCCTCCCCCTCCTCCTCCTGCATACAATACGACAACACCTACCCTCCCTCCACCCTCGGGAAATACGACTGTAGTCCAACCACCAGAGTACACCGGCGCAGCCTCGCGTGTTTCCATCGGTGGAGCGGCGATTTTAGGACTTGCTGCTATCGTTTTGTTCAATTTTTAAGAGGATTCGGACAAGATCGGGGCGGTGGTGCGTCTGTATTACTATCAAAGAAATAATTATAATGGGGGTTCCAATTAATTGCGAATTGGCGGATCGATGGCATACAATTTTTAATACACAGCATATTTCATGGTGTTTTCTATTACGATACATATACCTTATGTTTATTTCTCTTTATCGTCTTGTCTAATTATAAAACTAAAAAGATGCTTCAGCTTTATGAAGTACATCAAAATAAAACATTGGCTTCTAGGTTCGTTTTTGTGTCCGTAGGCTGGTAGGTTGTACAATTGTAAATTTTGGATTATTCTATATATCATCTCTTTCATATATGCATATGCATGCGTCACTCAGCTTGCGCTTGTCATTACGGTAGACTACCGCAGAACATAGTGCAGCATTTGGCTCACGAGTTAACGTTATAATAGCAGATACTGGTTGATACTACAGGCGCATAGACGGATTATATCACATACCTAAGTACCTAGTGAGCACCTAAGTATATAGCACATATAGAATGGTATAGATGGTGCATGCACAACAAGCCACTGGTTCTTTCCGGGCCATTCACCATACCAGTACCATAATGAAACTGTACTAACTATTGGTTCGAGACCGCCAGCAGGATAAGTTTAAGATGTGTATACATATACAGGCATAATGTAGTACACTCGGAGACACGTCGCGTCGACACGGGTTATGCTGCGAGTAGGCATTATTTAGAGACTATACAGACACTACCAATTGCAATGCAAATTCAAGTAAGGCTGCACCCGCCATCGATGGTCTCTATACTAAATTTAACATTAAGCTTTATTGGTTAAGCTACCCGTTGCTTGTCTCGTCGCCTCAGAGCTTTAAAGGACTAAAAGGGTTATCAGTTAGAATTAGAATTAGGTTTAACAAAGAAAAGGACGCGACAGAAAATACATTCATAACACGTTGGCAGCTACAAATCATCTTTGCAGCCAAACTGCTAACTCGCACAACAAACGCGTTTTCGGAGTTACTCAAACTTGAATATTCACCCACTTCTGTATAGTCAATTATAAATATTTAAATACTTAATTACTCAAGTAAATAATCATTGTTTTAAATATATCATTTTAAACAGGATTTTCTATATCTTTTTATTTATTTTGCTATTTTATTTAACTTTGTTATTTTTTGTATAATCTATAACCTGCTATAAGTAGGTACATAGCTATAGCAGGTTGTTTTTGTGTTGTTTAGCCCAACACCAATAAAACAAAATAGGGTAGTGGCCGGCAACAACTGGTAGTTACATAAAAGTAATCATCTCACCTCCTATAATTCACGCCTATACTCACCACCCCACAAGTCATCACCAACGGCACTTGTTTAGACGAAACTTATATAAATCGATTCGTCTCGTCGAGCCGAATCTTTTAAGCCAACTTTTGGGCTATTTCGCCGGGGTAAGTTGAGGTCTCCTTGCGAGGGGTGGATTCTGAATCGTGTCTAGCGCCCAAAGTATGCTATGCATAAACAAAAATATAAAAACGAAACATGAAAACAAATGAAAAGAAAATGAAAAATGAAAAGATAGAAAAAAATATTAATTTTTTTTTTAGAATTTTTAAAAAGACTTTTTTTCTTCTTTAAATATGCGGGGACTAAAAAACTAATATTCAAAAGCTTCTACTAGAACTCCTAAAAAAAGGTGGTTTTTCGAAATGGCAGAAGCCAAAGGCGCTCTCTACACGGTTAGCTCTGGGGCTGCCGAAACACAATTGCTGGTGGAATCGCTTGAGGCTGTTCTCGATGCCCAGCCTGACGCTATTGAGTACCATGAAGTAAATACATGATACACCCAACAAATTCACCAATTTTCAAGTTTATCTCCTGCATGCTATGAATGAACCCCAAACTAATATCATTTTTATCGATACTTGTAGGTCAATAAAATTGTTGATGAGAAATTCATTGTCGGCATGGAGGTAAGCTAAGCCCTTGAACCCTCAGGCGCGCTTGTAGCGTTTAATAATACCACTATTTGCCAACACATTTCTAACGGGGACGGGTGGTTACAGGAGCCATTGTACTTGATCAGGTGGAAGGGTTATTGCAAAGAATACGACACCTGGGAGCCGGCTGTGAACTTTAAAGACTGTAAAAAGGTCCTCCAGAAATGGAAACTAAAAAAACTGGCAAAGCAGAAGGCTCAACCTCAGCATGAGGAGATAGTCAGGGCAACATCGTCTGCCAGCGGTGAGGTTCCTGTCCAAAAGAGAAGGCCTGGAAGGCCAAAGGGGAGTAAAGACAAAGAGCCGCGTCCTAAGAGGTGGGTTGATATCCTCTAACTTCGTTCAGTTATTCTTCACTTCATATCCTTCCCAAATTAGCACCCTTCTTTTAACCCTAATTTTTATTTTATTTTATTTTATTTTTTTTTCTAGAGATATTTCATGCTCGAGGGTGACGTTGCTAACACTTTTGACACCTTTGTAGAAATCGAAAACGAAGCAGATCAGAGAGTGGTGACTCTGAAATAGAGTCCATTGTCAGCAAGAAATCTAATGTAAGTCTGTTATTTTTGTCACTATTTAGACCACATATGTATATGCAGCTACCCGAGTCAATTGTCAATTCCCTTGGCTTTTCAAACATCTTCAAAATTTTATTTTTTTAATTTTATTTTTTTTAATTTTATTGTTTTATACTATTTTATATTTTATGTTTTGTATCCCTTTTTATAGTTTTCTTTATCAAAAAAGAAAAAAGAGAAGAAGAAGAAAAAAGAGAAGAAGTGGAAAACCTTCCCATGAAATTATGCTAACATACATCTAAATATATATACAGTCGACCACCCAATCCCTCCAGAAACTCCAAATTTATAGTCCTAGAGGGGACGATCCAGAAGACAGAACCCAAAAACACCCAGACCGTCTCAAGTTTTTGAAAAAATTAAAACGTCTGAGCGGGCCCGAGATCACAGTTGTCAACACCGTTGACACGGTTCCTTGCCCTCCCCTCGAATTCACCTTCTTAGATGATTATGTCTACAGAGAAGGCGTTCCCGTCCCCGACCCCGAATTCAACTGGGGCTGCGAATGCAACCATGCTTTCGGATGTCAAACTACGAATACGGACTGTCACTGCGTAGAGGGCAATCATTCCGACCTACGGCGGCTTGCATATAAGCATAAAGGGTTGCTTAAATACCCTGCGGAAAATGCATACGCTATACACGAGTGCAATGAGAAGTGCACCTGCAATTTTCGGTGTCCTAATAAGGTTGTGTTGAAGGGACGACAGGTTCCGTTGGAGATCTTCAAGACGGAGCACAAAGGTTGGGGTAGGTTTTAAAATATCATTGTACCCAGCATAGATTCCTCTTTTCCACGTTTAAGGGGTTAAAAAATATATATTTTTTGAAGCAGTAATCAATACTAACTAATCCTTTGAACTATAGGTTTACGCTGTCCTGTTGACTTGGAAGCTGGTCAATTCATAGACCGTTATATCGGCGAAGTCATTACGGAACAAGAAGCAGAAAGGCGCACCAAAATCCAGGAGAAAATAGGACTTACATACCTTTTTGATCTTGACAAATTTGTCGAGGAAGATGAAGATGAAGAAGACGACGATGACAATGACAATGGTTCGAATGGCGAGGGAGCCACCAAGAAGGAAGTTTACTGTGTCGACGGCGCAGATTATGGTGGCGTCACCCGATTCATAAACCACTCTTGCGAGCCTAATATGATGGTTCATGTGGTCACTCACAACAGATCCGACCTAAGAACGTATGACTTAGCTTTGTTTACATCCCGCAAGATCCCCGCGGGCGAGGAGTTGACGTTTGAATACGTTCGAAACGAGGGTTGGAAACCAGGTGATCCCATTCCCGAGGATAAAATGAAGTTTCCTTGCTATTGTGGGGCGAAGAAGTGCTACGGGTGGCTGTTCTAGAGAACTTTATTCACTTCTTTTTTTAGAGCAGATGCATTTATGATATTTCTTCTTTTTAATTTTCATCACAGCTACTTTTTCTTCTTCCTTCTTCTTTGAACTGTCTTCTTCGGGGTTTGATTCTTATGATTTTTTTTTTTTCTTCTTTTTTTTTTCTTGTTTACGAAGCAGGCATTTGCAATTCCTCGGTCTGTATTGAGCGATATCGATTCGATGCGGGGTTATGTACATTTATATATTAGCAACTGTTTATAGTTTTATGGCGAATTGTGGGGACTACGCTGGGGGGAAGTTAGGTAGATAAAGCATAGTATATAATATCGCACCATTCCACAGCTACTACTTACGTAATAAGTAGCTATCTATCTATCTAGAATTCCAATATTATCAACATGTAACTAATTGTCTATACATAAGTATATCATTTATTCTTTTGATTGATAGGATGTTGGATATGTTTACGACCCGAGGAATTCTAGAAAAGAGAGGACGAGATCGGTGGAATGTTAACTCAGACGTCTCAGCCTCTTGTTGCGGAATTTACATGTGTATATACCCCGCCCAAAATTAGCAGCATTTTATATCGGGAGATAGTCGGATCTTGAAGTTCTAAGTGATTAGGTAGATAGGTATATCGAAAGAATTGTAATTTCCTTTTTTTTTTTTTTCGGTGCATGCTGTGGATCTTTGTCATCCCAGCGAGGAGGGCTAACTAGTATAGACGAGATAAGCTTAAGAGGCGATGCTCTAGCTTTGCATGACAAAATAAAAGAAGAGAGAAAAAAAGGCATTGATTCATTACCAGATGCTTACAATATCCTGCGAAACGGCCTAACTAGCTAAGCCCTACGGTCTCAATGATGCATATACATTACCGCAATGTATGGGAAACCTGGTATCGAACCTAGAGACTTAAAGGGACTTCCTAGCTTCGATATAATAACAATCGTCGCTTACGGTGTGTATGCTTGTAAATTCTGGGGGGGGGTTGGTTTATTTGTATTTGATTTGTTAACATGTTATCATCTCGAAATGGACATTTCTCGATACCATTCGTGTTCCGTCTACGTCACAGGTTTCGGGTGTTTCGCTCTCCGACAAGCATCTGAAATCCAAATTGAGGTCATGTGTATTGACCGAAAATCGTCATGATCATGTCATGTTAGGATGAGATAGAGAAAGCAAAAAAAAAGGAACAATCTAAAATAATCCAAAACAATCTATATTTTTCAAACAAATTCTAAAAAAAAAAAAGGCTGTTCTACTGGCTTAGGAGGAAAAGAAAAATGTATGAAATGGTAAAAATGGATATATGAAATTAATGGTCTATAGCGAAGAAAGAAAATATATATCGAAAGGAGTAATGAGGTTTTTTTGTAATTCTAGACTGACAAGCCAAATAATATGTCAAGTAACTAGAGATATCTGCCATTTCTGACAGTAAAATAGTCGTTAAAGAAAGTAAGAACCAGAGATATAGAAGTAATCACAGAAAGCCTGACTGGAAAAGCCAAAAATAAACTAAAGAAAAACGACTCGCTGATTCCCATAAAACCGATGAAACCAAAAATTAGACCGCCAGCCAGATGTTACTTCCAACCAAAGAGATTTGTAACCAAGAAACGCCCCGATAAATATAGAAAAGAGAAAAAAAAAGAAGATAATAGTAATACATCGCACGTTGAAAATGAAGGATAAGCCTGAAAGAATTGTTGCCTATAAGAGTGATTTTTTTTGGAAAAAAAAGACCCTGATCACCAATCAATCCCTTGCGTGCTAACCTCAGGGACATCTGAACGTCTTCTTTGAGAGTTGACATGAAAAAGCATGAACCATCATATTTCCATTCGTTCTTCCGTCATGAATGTAAAAAGAGGAGAAGGATAGAAAGAGAGAAAAAGAGCAATTATGGATGTATATGCCTACAATCGGAATGGAAGCATCGATCGCTGTTCTAGTGTCTCCTCAAAGCCGCAGAATCTGAGAGCATCTGGTCTTGGTTCCAATACTGCCAATTCAGGGCTGAAGTTCTCCTCAGCGGAATCAACGTGGTGGAAACCGCATAGATCAATCATGAGTCCGCTGGTGCTGAGGGTGGAAGCTATCGATGCATTGGTGAGCTTTCTCTGTGGGGTCGGCAACTGCTTCCTTGATGATGGTGGGCTAAGACATTTGGCAGGGAGATAGTAGGGGCTGGTAAGGCCGAGATCGTCACAGGCATCGAGGAAGGCGCTGGAGGCAGCGGTGGAAGTGGAAGTGATCGATTCGATGGAGTTTCGACGACGATAGATGGTAGAGGAAGCGATGGAAAGGTTGGATGGGGAGCAAGCAATGTCAGAGACGGTTGTGGAAGCATTGGAAGACTTTCTCTTTCGTAGACGGAGGTTCTTTGGGGAAAGAGAAGCGGTGATCTGGTGGATGCTGAAGTGAACCATTTTTGCGGTGTTTTGGATATTTTGTGTTGAGAGTGTGGTATTCTGTATTTGGAATCTTCGTTCGTTCTACAACGGAAGTCGAAGAAGTCGAAGAAGCTAAGAAGATCTGAGGAAAAAGAAGAAAAAGAAGAAGAATCGAAGAGAGGATGTCTTGGTTTGTTAATATATTGTAAGTGTAATGAATGGACGGGGAGATCAAAGAAATAACTTCGATTCCACTGGCTGTTGCTTGTTGATATATAGATATATGTAAGGGGATGTCGAAGGACAACTGAAGGTTATTATGATGGCCAAAAAAAACCTTGAAGAGGAGAAAGAAAGAAAGAAAGAGATAGCAAGGGGACTGTAATATATGTCAAGACGATGGCGTCCGGTTGTAACAGACTTCGAGGGTAGGGAGGGAATATAAAATTGTAACTTGTAAATTGTAAAATTGTAAAATATGCACGCAAGCCGAAATATGCACGAAAGGGACCCCCTTGTGCCACCCTTGGAAGGAATTCAAGGATGCAGTGGAACAAGATCCGGGAAAGGAATGTTCAACTATCAACGGACGTGTGGGTGTGCTTGGGTTAGATTAGATCTCGTCTAGGGCAGGAACGACGACGGGGTCTAATGCAGGCACCAAGTATACTGCACAGTATGGTATGGTGGCTAAAAGGAACAGAAGCCGGTCGCGGGAAATAAAAGCCAACTAGTAGCCAAGTGGAGCCTGTGAAAAAAAAGGGCGAGAATGATGCAGACACGATGCGTCGTCACTGAGTGGTGTGATGAACGAATCGAATCAAATCGAGTCGGGTCGAGTCTGGTCTGATGTGATGTGATGCTTTGGCCTATTACAGAACAAAGACACTTTCTTCTTCGGGGTTCTATTCGTGGTGATGATTCTTCTCGTCAATGCTCGAAAGAAAATCAGAAGATTCGATTTTTAGAGAAGAATTGAATATTTAGTATCTCTCAAGATGGCAAGTGAGAAACTGTGATGGATGTTTTAGGCAGACTATCAATCGGGATGAAGTTCTGAATTAACAAAAGTTAGTCTTTTTTTGGATGGATGCGAATCAACCGCAGTTCGAGTTCGAATTCCCAGAATTAGAAAATAAAATAAAATAAAATAAAAATAAAAATTAACCTTTCAAAGGCTGGCTATTCAAGCAATGGCAATGACGGAAAAGAAGAAGAAGAAGAAGAAGAAGAAAAACTAAAAGAAAGTTATGTCACTGGTGCCTGCCAGATTGTTTTAGACGATAAGATCGTGAGGATTGGATGATTCGACGTTCGACTGAATTGAATGAATTCAACTGGAGAAAAAAAAGAAGAAGGACCGAACACTCCATACATATATCCACATCTCCTTCCCTTTTACGGCGTCATACTATACTATACTATATCGTGAATGTACTATGATGTCCGGCTGTGCAGTCTGGTGGCGGGCCCCACAGGGTTTGAATGAAGCAACTTTGATTCAAGCTTCAAACACCATCTGTTCTACAATCCAGCTCGTCATTCGGCAGCATCGCAAACCACCATGGCCATTAGAGTACTATCCAAAAAGAAGTAAAAGTAATTATACGCTAATGCCAGGACTAGTATACTCTGTACATAGTATGTCCATCTGTCATGTCCATTACATTGCTAGCTAGCATGCGCATGCTACTTCTGTAACTCGAATGCCCCCCTTCGCGCGCTTAAGCTTACACAGCACTTACTTACTAGTGTAGATGATATCAGGAAACAAGACATACATACATACAGTATAACTATTCCAGAAGCACATCCTCTTCCTCTTCCGCTTCTTTCTCTTCCTCTTCTTCTTCTTCTTCCTCCGTTGCATCGTGGTGGATTCAATTGTGTCTGCCGGTAACCCTGAACCAGGCCTGTTAGCCCATGAAACACGGGACGTTTACCTTCTGGGCCTTGCTACGGCACCCCCTTCGCACTCAAACTTCGTTTCATCCAGCACACGCCCATTCCACTTCCACACCCACCCCCCCTTGAGCAGCAGGTGCAGAACATGTTCTGTTGACGCGAAAGAAAGAAAGAAAAAAGGGTGAGCCACATGCCCACAATCCAATAAAACTGATACTGGACGCCTTTCCCGTGTCGTCAACATGCAGTGCAAGTACCACTGCTTCGCTTGATATCTCTCCTGCCATTAAGGTTAGTCTAACGGCCCATCCCCCTCATATTTTCTTTTGACCGACTAGACCAAAAAAAAAAAAAGGGCATGAATTGTCGAAGCGGTGGCAGTGCTTTAAGATCCTGATGATATCTTCATATTCAGGGACCGAAAGCTTGAGCTCTTTCGCTTCTGCATTGAAGAGGGAAGAAAAAAAAAAGGGTCTTCTTCGTTTCAAAATGTTTAGGCTCAAGATGCTTCCCGAGGGTTCATGCAAACAATATATACAGTAGACTCCTGCATCGCGCTATCGGATAAGGCACAAGAACAAATGGAAGCCCTTCCTTCTTGTCTTATCTTGCTACGATATTTTCTATTTCTAAGAAAAAGTTTGCAAGGGAAGAAGAAGAAAGAAAAAAAAGACTTGGGATTGCTCGGATATATCTACCGAATACATAGCACACCATGGTCCAATTGCTAAAAATCGAGTACAATAATAAACTCGCCAAAATCGAAAACATCTCCTCTTTTTTGGACAGCCGCTTAAACATTTCTAGAGAGACCGAAAAAAAAAAGAAAAGGAAGAAAAGAAACAAATCAATGCAATTAGTATTACAAAGAACTCGCCAGTCATGCCTCTAAGCCCCCCTCCACATCGTCGCTTTTTCGTTTATTGTTCAGAAACGCCGAGACCGTGATGAATTCAAGTGAATGAAGGGACATATACACATCTGGAAGAGAAAGGGAATCGTTACCCAACGGAAAGGCTGCAAAGGGTCGAAGCAAAAAAAAAAAAAGGAAGGAAAACCCCAGAATATAACTCCATACGAACGCCGCTCCAAAAATGGAAGGACCAAAGAAACCAGAATATCTACAAGCAAAAAGAAGAAAAAAAGCCCTGCAATGCAAAAGTAGTATCTAACACAAAAAGAGCGAACTAAGAGTTGTATCAACTCATCATCGATCACTACGATCGCTGTTGAAAGAGAACCGTGGGTTGGGCTGCTGCTGTTGCTGCTGCTGCTGCTGCTGCTGCTGCTGCTGCTGCTGCTGCTGTTGCTGGTCCCCGCTTCGTCTTATCCCCGCATGCGATACAGATCTCCTCATCGCAGCTCCCCAAGAAGAACTCTGAAACGCATCTAGAACATCATGCGTCGAAAGTCTAGCATCTGCTCGTAGATGTTGTGAAGGTTCACCCAAATGGGGATCCCGATTCCAAGACCCGGATGAATTTCTAGGTTCTGCTGGAGTAGTCAAAGGCGAGACGCCTGACCCGGTAGGGGAAAGCGGGACTACATGTAGTGTATCGTCAAATGACACTCGATGGGCTCCATATCTGGGTGAACCTGCCGTCGACGGTCGGGGCCTCCCCATATCTACAGGGAGCGTTGCGAGCAGATCAGGTGTGGATTCAGACTCGACATATATTTGGGGAACTGTGGAAGTCCTGTCCCTGTCTGTGCGTATCACAGGGATATAAGGCACCGTAGACTTTCTTCCGCTTATGGAAGAAAACTCCCTCATTGCGACAATCATACGGAAGAAGTTCCTAACAATGTTCCGTTGCATGTGGTCCTCCACCATCTGAAGTTTTGCTCTCCGTCGAAGGAATTCCTCAAGCCTAACGTCGTGTGTTAGTCATTTTGCCCCTCACTATTTCGTATTGTGTTATGGGTAATATACCTGAGACTCTTGTTGTCTACAATAAGCTTGTAATGTGCCAGGATCAGCAGCACAGTAGTAAACGAGATACCGCGCTCCTTATCCGCTGCAACATAGCATTCTTCCACAAAGCGAGTGTAAACGTGCCGTTGTCGCCGAATTTTCCAAACAGGGAGACTAGCTAATCTCTGGTTGAAGGCCTTCAAGTCGACACCGATGCCAAGTCTATCGTTCTCGGGTCCGACCCTACAATCCTTCAAGATAGATTTGACGGTGTAATGGCCATCATAAATGCGCATCTGAAACACGCCGTCGAGTTCTGCAAGCAATCGAGGGAGTTTTTCGGGAGGAATGAACCCGGTCCCTCTAGGGTCGATGCGCGACCAGGCCCGTTTGAAACGTCGGATGTCCTCTCGCGATAGCTTATTGTGTGCTCCGGATTGCTGGTAGACATAACTGAAGCTCTCGAAAATGAGAGAGACGAACATGCTCACAAAGATATACATACTGATGATGTTCCACGAGATGAACAGGAACCTCGCGTATCCTTTGCTGCCGCAGTCCGAGCTGAAAAAGTTGGAACTCATAACGCAGCTAGGAGTTGTGACGCTATAATCATACATGATTTGATTCCAACCCTCACTATAATTGCACGTTAGCATTCGCTTCGTCATTTTTCTTGTTGTCATTAGGGTAGGGCATACCCGCAACTCATCCTGAAGAGGACAACCAGGGCGTTCGGAATTGTCCTGAAGTTTCTGTTTCCATCACCATTCTCGCCTAGACGGGTGAGTCCAAAACTTTGTACCAATGCGATAGCATAAACTACGAACAGGACAAGCCATGTGAGCAGTAAGTTACCGATGGCTTGGAAAGAAGCTGCGGCAGTTTTGAACAATTGATCAAGTTGATTGTTGCGCGGAATGAGAAGGAGTGTATCCTATTCTAGCGTTAGCATTTATTCATTCCTCGTTGTTCTTCGACCCGACTTACTAAGACCAGAAACAGCTTTTGAAACTGAACGAAGATTGGCGCCTTCTCAATAGCAATAATCGCAGTCGTCGTCCCGAGAGTTCCAGTCACAATAAAGAGGCCGAATACATCCCATCGACTTTTGATATATTGTTCCCACGTCAAACCGATGATACGGACTGTGATATTTACTGCGTACACCAAAGCGAAGCACAGGAAGATGATATCTCGGTAAGTATCTAGTTTCCGGTTTGCGGGGTAGTACTCAATCACAAGCAGTACCAGGTGAAGCAAAAGGACTGTGGTGATAAACCCATTCCATCGTCCATGTTTGCGCACAGAGCGGTTGTAGCACCAGGCCTTCCATCGTTCGCCGGGGCTATTGCTCGGCCGCTTGGATGGCCCTATTTGCCGTAGTAATTTTCGTAATTCGAGCCACGAACGTTGTTCAGCTGTCAAGAATGCCACACCGGTTTGTTCTGTATAATTGCGCATAAAGACGGATACAAACAAAGTCTATGGACCCATTAGCGGACATGAACTGATGATACATGGGGTTTCCGACCTACCAAGACAAAGACGGCACCCAACAAGTTGAATGCCAGAAAGAAAATGGCGTTATATTGGGATATGCCCTGAACTGGTTGCATGTCTAGGAAATAGCTACGTTAGCCGTCATGGTGTCCATTATCTAGAGGGCATTGGTGCCATACTTAGGCCAGTAATACTCATTGCCTGCCACAGTACATCTGTCCAACCTTCTTGTGACACAATCTGGAAAAGAATCAACAAGGAGTCCCCGAAATTGTCAAACGAGTACCATGGGTTCTGTGCTACTCTTGGGGCTAGAACATCCCAGTTGTATGGCGAACTCGCGTACTCAAAAATACAATCGTCCAACTGCTCTACGGACCCATCATTGCAGGATACCATTTTGCCCGCAAACAAGTTAACACCGTAAATGGCGAACGGTATTAAAAGTGCTAGCGAAACGAAGGCCGCAGAAATAAGTTTTCGGGCACCGAATAGCATCGAGTTGAATGTCTCACGTGCGCTATCGCTCACGTTGAGTAGCCTCAGGGCTCTGAGCGCTTTGAAGGCACCCACAGCTCTGGCAATCTCGCCCTGGTCTGCAAAAGAGGTTCCCACACTGATCCAGAGAGTTATAAGGACGATGGCGTCAATGATTCCCCATACATTGCGCAAATAGGCGTTTGGTGTCCAGTAAAGCCCGTCCGCAATGATCTTGATCAAGGCCTCTAGGGTAAACAAACTTGCAAACCCGATATCAGCAAAGACAAACCAACTTCTAGTTGTGTAACCATGAGTTTCGAAATAATCTTTTTGATAAAGCGGCGTTGTTATGCAAGCAAGGATAACCATGGCGATGATAGAGGTATAGACCAAGGCAGAGAAACCGAGCCAAACTGGTATGAAAGGTGATACACCATCGAACCGATCCGATCCATGGCTAGGCCCCACGATTCGTTGGCACATGCGCCGAATTGGATTCTTGGGCCCAAAGATGAAAAGGGATACGTTATACCCAGGGTGTCGTATCAAGTATTCTCGCTGGGCCCTTCGGATCCGATCGCGTGATTTCGCAAGTTCCTGTGCCATAGCTGTTGGCGCAATCTCCGATTGTTTGTTGAACATTCTAGTAGTGTGGAAAGGGTTCTCCTCCCTCGCTTTCCATATCTTATTAACCCATTGCCCGATCTTAGTCAGAACATCCGGAGAATGCATATCACCATCATCGAAACGAATAGTACGTTGATGGTGGATGCCTGCCGGATTCGCCTCGCTGTTGGGTGTCTCCTCCAAAGGCCGGTCGTCGAGGAACTCATCCACAATGGCATTCCTTGTCAACATTTCCACTCCGGCATGCCCAAATTCTATTGGATCACGCTGTTGGGCTTTGCCGAATCGGAAGAGCGAAGATAGCGAGAGGTTTCCTGCCGGATTCCCACCGTCCTTCTTTTGAAGGAATGACTTGATCTGCCAAAGCCGTTTCTCATCCTCTGTGACATCAAAGTTCTCCTGAATGACAGCAATAAACATATTCAGGATGATCAAGTTGGCGAGGATGAACCAGAGGATGAAAAAGATAGCTGATATCCAGCCGACATGGAATCTATTCTCATATTGTTGGGCGTCGTAGAGTATAGTTGTCCAACCTTCGCTGGAGAAGATCTGGTACATCCCCAAGAAGCTGTTCCAGATGTTCTGGAACGTAATTCTGATCTCGTTCCCGTCGCCGTCATCTTGCGGGATATTACCTCTAAGAAGCTGGACGGCAAAAATAGAGCAGAGGAAGGTTATGAGGAGCACAAAGAATAATAGGTTGAGGATACCACCCACACTTCCCAGAACGAGGAGCTATAAGCGTACCCATTAGCAAGTGAGAGGAAGAAGGTTGCCCAGGCGTAGAACTTACCAAGAGGTTGCGCGTGACAGGCACAAATAGAACAATTCTGTAAAACCGCAGAATCTGGAAGAGTGTCAACCAAGAGTATACAATCTCTTGGTTTTTAATCACAGGTATTTCCATCACGCAGGTGATAATTGCAAGTGCGAGATCGAAATAGTTGCGGGACACTTTGAAGAACCCTCTCCAGTCAGCGGCAAACCGAAGGATGATTTCAGCGAGCAAGAGTAAAGAAACGCTAAGCTCTACTCCATTAATGATATCGCGGCGGTTCTGGCTCATATCCGCACTCCGAGTGCAGGCAACAGCAAGGCCAGTAAAAATTATAAGAATCCAGACAAATTCTGTCTTCTCATAAAGTTTTTTGGCTTTATTGACGCGGATTGCTGGGAGGATATGCGGGTTTTCCTCACTAGATCTATGGAACATTACTAATTGGCCGTTTAATCGGATGGATTAGGGCAACTTACTCGTCGTCTTCGTCCTCCTTGTTTCTAAACGCACTTTGCTTACTCTCCTCTCGGATGACTTGAAACGATGATGTGATGACGGCAACCAACTATGAGAAACTGGTCAGCCTCAACCCACCAAAAACGAATTCCTTTATGGACTTACCAAGTTCACCAACCAAAATGTCAAGATAATCATACTGTGCGCATTGTTAGCTATCTATTCATGGCCAATCGATTACGGTTGACATACCCGAAGATAAAGACTAGAGGCGTGTTAGTAACAGAAACATCCATGATTTTAAAAGAAGAAAAGAAAAGAAAAGAAAGAAAGGCAAACTCACAGAGTGCAGACCATAGGTAATCACTATCCGCAGTATAGTACATGATGTCGGTGAAAGTATTGGAGCTAATAATGATGAACACAAGCTCCATGGACTGGAGTATGTTGTCAAAGCTAACCGTGCCTCCGTACGGATTCTCCCCTTCCACACAAAGGGAGTTTATGGGACAGATGTAGCCTTTCGGGGATACCTCTGCGTGAGAACCATCCGGGAACATGTAGGGCATTTCTAAAAGGTTACTAGTGTCGATATAGCCGCCACAAAACTGGAATTCTTGCGTATAATTTTCTTGCACCCCGAGAGGATCTGCGGTAATGAATGCTCATTAAAGACGGTACATCGACAAAAGGATTTGACTACCCAATTACCTATCCAAACACAAGTGCGCCGCAGGGAACTTTTGAAACTCTGGACTCCAATGATAGCAAACAATAGCCTACGTATGTGTTAAATTAAGGCCGCCTCTTGCATGTGTGCATGTCGTGGAAATATACTTACCAGAAAAACGATATGAGAAACGCTACATTTACGAGTAACGGGGCTGCCTTCTTCAAACTTCTGAGGATGACCTATTATCAGGTCAGAAAAGACCTGCTGATACAATGAATGAAAGAAGAAGAAAAAAAGTATGTTACTACTTACTCCTGTACCGCTGCTGATACCGAGGAGGCGCAAAATTCGGAGACAGCTGAGCATTCGGAAGAGATACAGGTGATACGTTTCTTCTAGTCCAGTAATCGCCAAAACGAAAGCAATCCAATAGGAAACTACGGCCAAAAAATCAAGCCGATTGAACGAGTGTCGAAGAAAAGCACGCCGGGAGAGTTGGAATCTTTGCTGATCGCGAGTGTGTAGAAAGCCCTGGCCAGAATGGATATGTGCCATGGAGGGGAAAAGCGCAGCCGCCGACAGCTGTTGAACAGTCGGCATTTTAACCTGTTGTTCACTGGGCGTGAAGATGAATCGCAGTTTTGCCTCTATGTACGCCTTCCAGGTTTTGTAAATGTTATTCGAAACCGCATCCGGATTGATGATGAACCCAGAAACGATGATACGGGCTACCAACTCCATAGTGTAAAGGATAAATATCCCAAGAAGGGCATAGTCTGAAGCACTCGAACCCCATTTATTATCGTCTGGGTGGACGAAGATGTTCTTAGCAGAGTCTACAGTAAGCAAGACAACTTGGACAATGATAGTGAGCAAAATGAAGGGCTCGGTAATCCTACAGATGAAGACAAAAATTAGTGTTTAGTCGATAATTGGCATAGGGACTAGAGGCGAGGGTTTCATACGGGTGTGTTAGGACATCACAGAGGAAGATTCGGAGCTTATTATCTGGTGGGAATAGTTTCAAGCTATTACCCTTGAGCGGGTTTATGGAAAGCTTTCTAGGAAATTCCGGGGGAGGAGGAGGCTCATCCGACGACGGCATCGATACCTTCTCACTGCTACCAGTTGGTGACATCGGTGGCACACCAGGCCGCTCGCCGGGGGATGCAGCAGGACTGATATCGCTCCGGCTTGACTTGACGGAAGGTCTTCTCCCAATATCAGCATTTGGGTCGTTGGACAGATTGACAACTCTCTGGGAGATATTTTGAACGGCCATTGACACACGACGGACAGGCGATGAGGCTCCGGGAACAGCGAGCGACATTTTTCGGCCCTTGATAGACGTTTTCCTCCCAGGGGATCCTCCCCTTCTTGGGGAAGCCCGTCTCATGCCCTGTTCTGCCTGATGGAGGTCATCCCCAAGCCTAGTACCAGGTGACCTGGACGGCGAACTTTTGGGATCGAACCGAACATTGTGCGATAGAGACCGCTTTCTCCCTCTAGGAGTACCGGCTTCGGACGTCGGAGACTTCCCTGCCTGAGGTGACATGCCCATCGGCTGTAGATTGGCAGGATCCGTCAACCCGGCCTGATCATCTTCCTCTTCCTCCGATATTGTGCCGGGTGCAGGGTTTAAATAGTAGTCGCCAAAGTAGTCATCAGGGCCTCCAAATGTCGGTGATCCGAGTCCAAGCCCTACACTAGCACGTTGATGTTGCGGAAAATGGGTGTCAACAGGTGAAGCCCCCGGTGAAGTCCGCGGCGGATGCGATATCGATTGTCCAGCATTCGAGCGCCTCCGACTATGTCCCATCCAACCTCCCTGGGTTTCTCCCGCCAACACTTCTACTAATCCACGTCGCATGGTATCCATATCTACATTCATCCCCCCCTCATTGTCGAAAACAGTCGATTGTGTGGTCGTCCTCCCATCATCTTCGGCCAGACTTGTTGTGATGACTGGTATATTCGGATGTACTACCGATCTACGAAAGACAGGTCGTGCTTCGGCAACCGTAGGGCCTTCATCTCCCGTCGAGTTTCGAGGAGCCAATCCACCGGCGCTCCTCTGGGACGAACTACTCCTCCTCTGAACTCTACCAGCTTGACCAGTCGGAGAAACCGAACTACGGCTTCGGAAGAGCGATCTCGACACTATACTGCGCCTGCTAGGCGATGTTGCAGGCGAACGGCCGGTCTGTCGGGTGGTTTCCCGCGAAAGGTCCTGGAGGGGTATGTCGGGTCCTTTTGGGTCATTTGGGATGTTTGGTCGCTCAGACATCTTGTCATGAGCTTAATCAGACGAAGGATCGTGGGTCCGGGTAATGCTGATGGCCGAGTAATATCATGATCTCATGGCAGACTGCGAAGTAAAGGAAAGGAAAGGAAAGGAAGAGATATTGTTTATTTTTGTTTGCTCGCGACACAGCAATGCAATGCACTGCCAGGTATGGATTATGAAGTATATGAATGTACGTTAGTCAATTCAGCCCCAGCCCAGGTTGTTCGTTAACCGACTAGTTAGGTAGTTAGTTAGACACGTTTGGTGGAAGAGGCGAAGGTTGTTGAGGTGGAAGAATGCAGACGAAAAGGGACGGCGGTTGACGATGGAACGTTAATTGTGGCCACGGAAAAAGAAACTTGGACCGGATGGTTTAGCTCCTATTCGACCCTCAGTATACAGTATCCGTATACCTATAATACACCAGGCTTGGGCAGGGCATCTTACTCTAGACAATACATACAACCGTCGATAGGTACTTAAGTAAGTAAGTAAGTAAGTATGTAGCATGTGTGTAGGAGGGGCCTTGTTCGGTCAACTGTTGGAAGAGTGGTGGAGTGGAGCGGAGTGATGTTTGGAGATGCTGTTTTGGGAGTTTAACGTGGCTGTTGAAGCTCCCCTTTTTTGACGAGGCGGATTCGCAATTAATTTAATTCATTTAATTCAAGGAAATAGTAATAAAAATAATAAAAAATAATTAATTGATCAAAGAATAAAAATAAAATAAAAATAAAAATAAAAATAAACTAAAGATTTACTGTGTACTGTGTACGTACGTGCTCTGTCGGGTAAAGCAGAATGGGTAAAAAAAACTCGGTTCGTGATCCGAAGCGCCTCTGATTCAGCCCCTTTCTCTGTCCTCCATACGGTGCAGTATTGAACACGCTTCACCAAAAAAATATAATTCCCTGCAGAGTCCATCTCTGCTTCCATTGGCGTTTCTGGTCAAGCTGAAACGGAGTGTGGTGTCTGGTGGGGGCTGGTTTAGGCAGGCTCTGATGCTGATGCAGATGCATACCCAGGAAGCCTTGTGAGGGATTGGTTACATCGATCTAGCCCATTATTGCCGGGCATTCATCCATTCCAGCTGCATACACACATACATACTTACATACTTACATACCTGAAGTAAGTGCTTCCATACTTCCATACATACTACTTACTTAAGTACATACTTCTTGCGTATATATTCATGTCGAATCGATAGATACTTAAGTACTAATGGATTTGATTTGTTGTTAATTGTTCATTGTTCGTTGGAATAAGCCCTCATATTCGCTGCTCCCGTCACGAAGGATCGATTCATCTATATCAACCAACCAACCAACCAACGGCAATTTGTTTTCAGGGGCCATCTACCTTCCTTCCTTTCTTTCCATCCATCTTCCCTCTTTAGCCTCCAATTTCTAACATATGAAGTACCTACTTACATATACAGGGTAACAGGCTAGCCAAGAAATATATATATATAGGAGAGAGGACGGTCTATATACGGGATACGGCTGTCACTCGAACTCTATACGAGGTAACATCGCTGTCGCCCTTCCCCACAAGAGCTTACGCACTCCAGCTTCCCCCCCTTCGAGCCCCCTCCTTTTTCGTTTTTTAGCCTCGAAGAACAAATAAAAAAAAACTTCCAATGCCATGGACACCAAGAGGTTTATCGGATACGCCAAGCGATATGATAACTTCCAATCAATCTCATTGCAAGTCCATGTTATGCCTATCCCCTCGTGTGACGTACATACGCTACATTACATTATGTACGCGTAAATGGGACGACGACGCAACCAGGAACCAGAACCAGAATAGAACAGGATTGAATGGGACGGAGGCAAAGGGATGATCCAGGTACCACTCTCGCATGGCCAGGCGAAACTCTCTACTTGAGAATTTCCTCTAGTTATTGACAGGGTCGCACGTGGCGAAGGCTTCATACAGCTTAATTACCTTGGTATACGAAAGATGATCAGAAACGGCAGTCGGAGAATAACGATCGAAGGCTCAGCCTCTCACTATGCTTCTTGGGACCGAGCACGCCGACATACCATACACAGAGGACATATATATGCGTATAAGTATCATGAGATTTCCTCCTCCTCCTCCTCGCCGTAGCAAATTTGTGTGTGCATATGTTACGTATTGAAACCAGATTCTCTTTTCGGGCCTTAACGTTGACCGGATCAAACGTTGATAACCCAACAGCGCGCCACTGCACTGCACATTCTTGTGATCGATCGATGCTAATCTCGAGAGTTCAAGATATCGACAGAGAGCGCTCGATAAAGAAAATTTTAATTAATTAAAAGCAAAGGTCATTTGAAGATGACGATCAGAGGCAAACTTTTCCCTTCTAACGGGGGTTTCCACAGCATGCTCGCATCCCTATCGAGAATTGGGTTCGATGAATCGAATCGACGAGGCTCTGAGGTCACCCGCTTGTCATATCACCACCACCCGGCAGGAATCTACCGAGCTTGGCATCCTTCGCCAAACATCCAAGAAACGTTTTAACTTCCAAGAGAATTCGAAAGAGAATCCGGTCTCGAATTTCATTCATTCACCCACCCCCTCTGTTATAATCAAGCGAAGGAACTCGTGATGGTCCATGCATGCACCATGTCCAACGTGATTCTTCAATTCCATTAGAGAAGAGAAAAAAATTTTACCCATGACTCAACATGTAGAGATACTTACACAGGGCGGGTGTAAAATGGTTCCGAGATCCGTTTCGACATCCTTAAATTCCGAAAACCCCACAGTCCATGGCCAGTTAGCGCATTGGCGGGAAAAGCTTGTGATCAGCTCTCGGCAGGCCCTTTAGTGCCGTCGTACATATATATCCTTATGTATATATGTATGGATGTAGGGTTCTTTCGGCATATCGAGGGATCCTCGACCACCCTCAACGTTGATGGTCAGAAGGATCCTAGGACCCTCGCTCCGACCGGGCAGTAAGCCAATTGGGCACAGCAGATTGGTCATTGATTGCATTTCTTTTACTATCTCTGAAACCCGTTCCAGGCCTTTAAGCTTCATGACTCTACAAAACAGTGCAAAAACTAGTGAATAAGTCTGATTTCATAATCTGCGGGGCTATGTGATTATTCATAGAGTCCGCCAAAATGATATCTTCTGCAAGCGCCTGGAAATGGAAACGACTCAAGTCCGTGTCCCCTCGAGCTAGCTACCCATATCGACCGGATCTGTTCGGATCCGGAAGAATGATTGATTGGATTCGATTTCCAACATTCGACCAGGTCAAGCTTCTTTTTTTTTTTTCATGCGAGTTAACAGCACTATGTAGGCACTATGTAGGCACTAAAGTAGATTCCAGAGCTAATATCCGGGATCCGCTGAGTAAGACAAAAGGCCGGCCGATAACACCTTCGCTGCGAGCTGTTAACGTTAACGTTCTGTTACCGATGATGTCCTTACGATCCTTTTGGGCAGGTTGCATGTTCCCGCCAGTCTTTTTTTTTTTTTCCCCTATCATCACTTGTATTATAGGTATTATTATAGGAACGGACATTTGCGAGAGTTATGAACAAGGAACTTCACAAAGGCTGGTTCTTAACAGTTAGCGTGTGGTAATGGCCGTTTAATTTCCAAGCAAACGAAGCGATAGCTCTTCTCATGACGTAATTCCGCACGAAGTTTCCTTTCACACGGAAGCGCCCCGAGACAATGCAGTGTAATCGAATAGAATCGGTGATAACAACGATCGAATAAGCTCGACAGCTCAGAAGGCAGAACGAGAAGGATGGGGAAAAAAAAAGATTGATGGTCGATTAAACTGATACATGGCAGATTGGAGGTGATAATGGAGGGAATGAGAGCTAAGCAAACTAAGCTTCCAATGGCTACGATCTGTGCCTGTCGACATATTGAAACCTTGATAGACTAAAGTTTAGATTTAAATTTCATATCCCAAGCCGGTAGATGTTAGGAACTAGAAGCTTTCCTTTTGTATTTTCTTTTTATTATATTCCTCACCGACAGTCCAAGGCTGGGGAGGTTTCTGCAAATCCGCAGAGCCATGTTCACTGGGAGGGTACATGTACATGTACAGAGGGTACGGAGGGTACGAGGTCGGCCCACCCACGCAACGATCCATCCAGGCTTCGAAGCCTTCAACCTGGAGAGATGCATGATTCGTCCACAGGTTACCGTACGAGTTGGTGTGAATACTTGCATGCCGTAAGCGTGTATGTAATCATAAAGTCGGAGTAGCTGCTGACCGAAGCATTCCGTTCGTGAAAGTGGTCTGTCCGCGGACGACCCAGACATTGCATTGCATCCAGACAGACGTATGTAAGTACCACCACCGGCCACCACTTCGGCCACGGTACGGGCATTACATTATTAACGAGATCTGGAATTGCATGGAATTAGTGACGGAGTTCCGCGCGAAGCCAAAGAGGAGAACCGACCAAAAGCCGGAAGGGGTTTTATTTTAAAAAGGCTAAACCGAAGGCCCGTCCAGTACAGTACTTTTTTTTTATGATTTCTTCCTTTCGATTCTTCATATGCATATGATTCTGTCGGGTTCCGGATCTGTCGTATATCCTCAACTTAACTCTAAACGCCATCGCTGTTGATATATTTATATAATAAGACACACCCTTTTGCCCTTCTTGCAACGTTCGGCATCTCCAACTTCATCTTCATCTTCATTTCCATCTTCATCTTCATATTCGTATTCATCGCCAGATATATCGAATTATAGGCCTTTCCTGGTCCTGCCGAGAGCTCTTGTCAATGTAAGTCCGTTTTTCGTTTTAATCCTGCCCGTTGACGTCATCCCTTCCGGTGTGCGCCCTTCGCAGTCCCAAACGGGCTGGTTTGCCTGAACCGTCATTTGTGCGCAAACCACATTTGATATCCTGCTCAGACACACAGACAGCGCAGAGTTATATATCAGTATTATTCTTAATATATCCTGCATACCGTATTGCATCCGAACTATGCCTAGAGTATATCTAGACTCGGTCTTTTCCTGACATTCGTTAGCTCTCAGATCATGAGGCTTCAGTTATTGGTTCTTTAACTTACTCGGCTTTTTTTTATATTAATATCCAGTCTCCCACACGTACATACAAGCTCTTGCATGCATTCCTTCGCTGCGAAGATCTGATATCACGATTGCATCACCCACATTAATATTAACAACACCCTCGTCCTACGTATACCTTCCATCGGCTACCTACTACTTAAGTACTTAATTAACTACCTAGGTGCCTAAGTACTAAGTACTAAAGTACTTGGGTAATTAACGTTAACCACCTCTTAAAGACCCTCAAGAGACATCCAGTTGAGAAAAATAATACAACGGCAGCAATGTCGGCTCTCAGAAGAGCACTGCACAAGCTCCGTGCTACCGGTGCCATCAAAGAAAATACCCGTTCGCGTTCGGCTCCACCGATCAATGAAAAATTGAACGGCGACTTGTCTAGTGGCCAGTCGGCTTCGTCTTTGCAGTCCAAGTCTAGTGGAGAGGAAAAGAATCAGGTCAGCAGAAATCAAGCTCGGAAACAAGAAAGGAGGGAGCAGAAAGAAACTCGAGTCATCCTCAACGAAAGAAGAGAGCTGGAGCGAGAAGAGAAGAGAAAGATGGAGGCTGCTCTTGCTGCTAAACTTGAACCTGACGAACTTCAACAGAGATACGGCGTCCTACCTATTAACCAGTCGCAAGAGCGAAAAAATGAGACGAGATCCAAAATCGCAAATATCACCGCTGCCCATGAAGGAGAGGAGGTAACTCTCAGGGTCAGAGTTCACACCATCAGGAAGCTTAGCTCCGGTCTTGCCTTTTTTATCTTCAGGCAAAAGGAGTTTACCATCCAGGGTGTCCTCGAAGAGAAGGAGAGTCAAGCTTCAGAGTATATGATCAAGTGGGCGGATCATATCGGTGTCGAATCCGTCGTCCTCGTTAAAGGTACCATTCGGAAAGCCGCCCAAACCGTCAAGGCCGCTACCATCCATGACCAGGAGATCCTCATCAGAGAATTCCACGCTATTTCCGAGGTCACCGAAGACCTTCCGTTCACCGTATACGAGGCCGAGATCTCGAAACAAGACTCCGAAAAGGAAACCAGCCGTGGTCATCATATCAATACCCGAACCCTTCTCAGCAACCGAGTCCTGGACCTTAGAACCGCCCCGTCACAGGCTCTCTTCAGAATCAACGCTGGCATCTGTAATCTTTTCCGTACATTCCTCGATAGCCAAGGGTTTATCGAAATTCATACCCCAAAGCTTCAAGGAGCTGCTACCGAGTCCGGAGCAAGCGTTTTCAAAGTTAAATACTTCGACCGGGATGCCTTCCTCGCTCAGAGCCCTCAGTTGGCCAAGCAGATGAGTGTTATTGCTGATTTCGAAAGAGTTTACGAAATTGGACCCGTTTTCCGCGCTGAAGACAGTAACACCCACCGACATTTGACTGAATTCACTGGTCTTGATCTTGAGATGGCCTTTGAAGAGCACTATCATGAAGTTCTCGATATGATCGATAACATGTTCAAGTCGATTTTCAAGGGCATCTACGAGAGATACCGTCACGAGCTAGATACTGTCAAGCAACAATTCCCTCACGAGGACCTTGTTTGGCTTGATAAGACCCCTCGGATTCCCTTCAAGGAAGGTATCAAGATGCTCCGCGATGCTGGATATAAGGAAGAAGATGGCAGTATTCCTCACGAACATGAGGATCTGAGCACTCGCGCAGAAATTCGCCTCGGTGGCCTCATCAAGGAGAAGTACGGGACGGACTTCTATATCATTGACAAGTTCCCCCTCTCCGCTCGTCCATTTTACACCATGTTAGATCCCGAAGATCCCCATTACACCAATTCTTTCGACATCTTCCTACGGGGCCAAGAAATCCTGTCGGGTGGTCAACGTATTCACAATCCGGAGATGCTCAAGGAACGCATGTTGGACAAATCTATCCAACCAGCTACGATGAAGGATTATCTTGAAGGCTTCACATATGGTGCCCCTCCACACGGAGGTGGCGGTGTCGGTCTGGAGCGTGTGGTTATGCTGCTGTTGAACCTCGGAGACGTCCGTCATGCATCGCTGTTCCACAGAGATCCTCGAAGTTTGCCCAAACAACCACCGGTTTCCGTCCTTCGCCACCCAGAGGCTAGCACACTGAACCCCCCATGGAAGAACAAGCCGGCATTTATCGAGGATGTACCGACAAAGGAATTGCAGCCGCTGACGAAACTCATCGCCAACTACGGTGACGCCTCGAATACCTCGTGGCTTGACGATAGATATCGTGTCTGGCGAGATGATGATACCGGTGCCGCCTGTGGCTATGTTCCCCAAGACCATTACGCTATCATCATTGGTGATCCACTTTGCGACCGATCACAATATGAACTGATTATGAGGAAGTTTATCAAGTTCATTAAAGATGAACTTGAATTGAAACCAATCTGGTTGCTCGTCGGAAAGGACGGTGAAGAGGTACTCGGCGGAAAGTTCGGCTGGAGCACACTTAGCTGTACAGCTGAAGAGAGAGTCGACCCTTCCGTTGATCCTGCAGCTGAAGACGACAATGTAGCCCGCAAAATCAGACACGCGAAGAAGGAGGGAATCAAGATCAGTGACGTTCCACCTGGCCAAGTCACTCCTGAGATCAAAGCCAAGTGTGATCAGAGGATGCAGGATTGGATGAACAACCGAAAGGGAACCCAAGTTCATTTGACTGAACTAAACCCATGGGTCGATTGGGAGCATCGTCGTTATTTCTATGCCACAGACAAGGATGAAAATGTCCATGCCTTGTTGGTCCTCGCACAGCTTTCCCACGAACATGGATACCAGGTCAAGTATGCACTTGAGTTCCCCGGCGCCCCAAGCGGAACCAGTGAATACATCATCACACATGCCTTGCATAATGCCGCATCCGCCGGCGCAAAGAGTGTGACATTTGGAGGTTCCGCTACTACTGGGCTTTCTGGCGGCCACCATATGGGCGGCTTGCGGATGAAGTTCCTTGCCAAGTCGTACCAGTCCATTGTCTCTTCTCTTAGGTTGATAAACAAGAGTGAATTCAGACAGAAGCTGGGGGCTGAAGAGGATCCAATTTATATTTGTTTCCCAAAGAATGGACTCGGTCCAAGAGGCATCCGCGCCATCATGAAGTTCTTCTCGTCCGAGGGGGCGGTTAGCGAAGAGGAAAGCCCAAAGAATGGTAGTCCTTTTGCTAGCCCAAGGAACAGCCTTGGAAGCCCACCAAAGAGCCCACCAAGAATCAAGAGCCCCAAAGGTAGCGTGAACGGCAAGCCGAACGGTGTGAAGAACGGCGGTTCCCATAGCCCACCAAAGAGCCCGCTATTTTCGAAAATTTCAAAGAAGAGTCCGACCTCCAGTCCGAGGAACAGTTTTACGAAAAATCGTATAAGTGTCGGCTCATTCTAGTGGAACATTTAGCAATCTTTTCGTAAACAAAGGGTCTCTTTTTCTTGGAGTTAATCGTTTGGGAGTTTGATAGTCATGATTCGGACGGTCACCGCGGAAGAAATTCAGTGTTTTCTCCTCTCCTCTTCTTTTTCAGCGAGTTCTGTCATATATTCTTTCCCTCTTCTATTCTTTTGTTTCAATATATCCATTTCTATTCACTAGTATCTAGCTTACCTGGTTTATGACAGTTTTGAGCGTGTTTAAAGTCGTGTATTTTTTTTTTTGTTTAGCATCCTATTCGCTGGTAACAATGCTTCGGATTCGGATTCGGATTCGGATATATCTCTAACGTTTCGAGGCGCATCTGGCCATTCCTCTGTGTCTATAAATTGCGTGATGATAACCATGATTTTTGCTTCATTTTTTGCTAAAGTGTCAAGGGTTTGAATTCGTCTTCTCATAGTATATCATTGTCATTGTTCCGTTTTCTTAAAGGTTGTGAGTTCTGCAGTGCCGCTTTGTAATATTTGCTATTGTTGATCGATAGTTAAACTCGAAAATGTAAGTAGATAGGGCCTCCGCTCACAAATTAGGATTGCAATAAGACGACTGTTTAAAAATCCAATTTCCTGACAGAGCAGGTATTTAATATATATAACAAATTTAAATTCGTACAGCTTAAGGAATTCTATAGACCTTAGCGATCTAGATTAAATGCTTATTTCCATAACTCCACCAAAACTCTCCGGGTGGCAGTGCTAATGCGGGTCTGCAATACTCCGTATAACTTTTTTTTCTTCTCTCAACTTGTTTTCCCCACAATTGGATGCAAACGGAAGATTTATTGGGTAGATTTTGTAGGGGAAGTTTATGTAGTGTATGCATAGACGCGCGTCGGACCGAGATTTTTCTTTATTTCCTCTCTTTCTTGGATATTTGATATTGTATGCTTGTTTCAGCCCGTTTTTTTGGCTTCGTGTCGAGTTATCGGGATGTCTTGGGATAGCGACAAGGTTTCGTCACTTGGTGCAGTGCGCAACACAGAAAATTGTGGTATTTTTTCTTTAGTAAGATACTTAGGTACTATTTCGGTTTCTAAGAGGGAGCTTAAGCTTGAAGTATAAATCAACTGGATGATAACAACATCTTTAAATTTATTGTAATGTAATGCTGATGGAGATACTTTTTGATCAATTGAGAACTTAGCTACTAGAGACTACCCATTCGTATCAATTGCCCCACCTGTTACCAAGTCTAGAGCTTTAAAACCATTTCTTCAAATAATTCTCCCCCTATATATGGCTCCTAAATATTGAGTATCATGTGGTCTGGAAATATCCCTCCAGTGAACGAAAGTTCCATAGAGTTATACCAGACATTGATGTCTAGACGTCCCCGCATCGATGATGGTCACTCTACGTTCCCCCACCTGACACCTCCGCGGGGAGCTCGAGTTGGCCAGACTCAGACCCTCCGTGTTAAGACCTGATCTCGAAAGCAACTTCATCCCCATCTTCCTTTCATCACTATCGATCACTATCACCTTCCCTTTTAGCCATAAATCTATCACTTAGCCATGGCAGATCCATCAGTTCCTGAACCACTAGCTGAGGGGGACAATATTCTTCATCGGTCTAATAATTCCCTTCGACACCCCGACCTGCCAATCGCGGGCGGCGAGCTCCCCTGGCAGTATCAGGACCACAACCGCCGTGAACAATATACCTACAAACTCATCTGCCTGGACAAGGACCTCATCATCTACGACGATGATTCAACCACCGCCACCACCACCAAGTTCAAGAGAAATTCATTCCGTAGATCCCAATACCAAATCAAGGCTAATAATGATAACAATGATGATGATGGTGGTAATGATGAGAAACCTCAAATCAGTTCCACCAACGCCTCGGGAAACGACCCCAAAAAGCCAGAGAATAATCCAATGCAATCAGCCACGTACAAAGACTTCGACAACCCCACCGCTCTCATTAACGATCCAATCTCAGAACTCTCGAAAATTGCAACAACAAGGCCTAGGAATTACAGACCAACATATAGGTACTTCCTCAGAGAAGCCCAGGATTTCGATTACGGCGACATGCTCGCGATCTTTTCGGTCTGTAGATCCTACGACGACGATTATATCCGTCCGATAATGGAGTTGATGCCGGACGCTCTCTTTGCAATTCAAACGATCAAGGCTAGTCTCAATGCCGATGAAATGAAAAACGGAACAAATAAGGAGTGGGAGATGGCTCAATTGTTCTATTTCATGGTGGAAGGAGGTCATGCTTGTTTGTTTTTGGAACGAAGAGAGGCGAGCAGATTGAAGATTTCGGCTGAAATTAGAGAATTCATTCAGCAGGAGCCGGAGGATGGGGAGGGAAAGGTGGAGCGGCAGGGTAAGTACATACCTAATTTACTTACGCATATATATCCAACTACCTTTTATCAAGACCAAAAAACAATCGATCAGAACCTCAAATTGAACTAACGGGTCATTATCTAACATTGCCTAACAGTTACTCCGAAGCGTTCACTAATCCGCAAGTTACTCAGACTTCCACCAAAGAAGCCAAAAAGGCCCTTAACCGAGGAGGAGATCCGTCGTACCGAGGAAATCATCATGGCCATTCGCATCATCTAGTATTCATTTTAAGCGGTCTTTCCTATCATCCTTCTTAGTCTCGCTTTTCAAGCTTTAACATTCACTCTTCCCTTTTCTCCCCCCTTCTTTCTTTCTTTCAAACGGCGGTTTCTTCTATTCATGTTCATGTTCATGTTCGTGTATGCATGTGTTTCCCTCTAGCCATGTCATGTCTAGTCCACAGCTGCAGTGCAGTGTTGCAGTTTTGTGTAACCCTGTGTTGTGTTGTCCCTGCATGGTTACACAGGCTTCTCCATGACACGTCCACAATTCGACATCATCAGCTTCGCATGTCTCTAGCCAAACGACACAACCGTAAACATAGTGGTACATAGTGGTACTACGCTTCATGTTTCTTAATTTCTTAAAACTATAACTCTACAGCCTACAATTCAATTCGTTTTTCC